GTATGAAGTTTAAACATTTTATTTTATAGACACAGAAATTCACAGAACAAGGTATTGGACACATAACTATGCATTTATAACTTATTAGTTTGCAATGATATTTACTGACTGCTATGTTAATGCTGGTTAATCTGTGAAGCTTAGAGCTACGCCAAGCAGGAACATACTAACATTGAGTCACATCTCCTGCTGTTAGAGATACTTGGCAGGAGTAACTCATGGTTTCTCGGACCTGAAACAAAACTACGATTATTTTAGTTGTCATCTATTTTAGAGCTAACCATAGCAATTGAATGATCTTGAAATTATCGACCAACCACGGATTAATCGACAGTAACTTTTGTTCAACAATCTACGTTGCGTTTAAAGATTACATAATTAACCATCTATCTCTCTTGCTCTCTATAGCGTGACTTCGCCATAAACATTTCAACATGAAACTCTACTACTTCACTTTTTCATCTGATATCAGAGTTAATGCAAAATACAAGAGAAGAACACGAATAGCTAGAAGCTTGCAAAATGGAACGCAATTGGATACTGTTAAACCTTATAAAAGAATGTATGAACATATTTTACTCTATATTCAAAGCATCTATTATCGTTGCTGGAACTCTGTATGTATGTTTAACATCTTCCATCTCCTGGAACTTTAGAGCATTCTATACTGTAATTTTGGAAGTATTTTGACAGAGATTCTAGATATTTTTCACAGCACCATTTGACTACATCTTGACAAACCTATTTTGAGAATTATCAAGTAATTTGAAACGGCATATTGACACTTTTAATTTTCCAATGGCTGGGATTTTCTAACTTACATTAATTGATGATGAACTATATCTCTAAAATACGTAAATAACCTATTTTAATACACTTTTCATTGTAATAAAAATAGGTTCTATATGCAGCGTTGTTGAGAATCTATTAAAACTCAGCATCAATGCAAAGCGTTCATTAAAATAATGGTAGTTTATAGCTAATAAGAAAATATTAAAACTATACACTCAAAGTAGAGATTGCCGCCAACGGCATCGTGATAAATGTCTGGCTAAAATGGCATCTGTAACTTCCAACACAGCTAGATCATTTGTAGTCAAGCTTTGTTCTTACAATGATGGCTAAAATTGGATTTCTAAGTGGATTTATTGAATAAGCTTAAAGACAACAGAGCAATGTGTTAGCTTTATTCATCTTGCAACACTCAGTATCCTCTAGAAAACGCTCCACAGCACTACATTGAAACAGATACATTTACGAGTCAATGAGGAAACACGAAAGTAATATTAATTGAGGTAAAGGACAAATTTTGAAACATCCCTAAATAGTTTGATATTAGGTTGAGCTTTTCAATATGCAAATTTTGCTTTTATTTCAATGCCATTTGGGCCAATGTAGCTTACTATTTTCGGTAATCAAATCGAAGTTTTAAAAACATAATAACAACCTTCTAACATTCTAAGTTCACAATATTCAAGGGTAAAAAGTCCATCAAACTAGTGACAGTTCAATTATTCGCCAATCACCTAGTTATGTAAAATGCAAGACTTACTTTCACAGTTTCTAGCCATCAAAATGCGATCTTCAACCTCTAGGCCCCCAAAGGGACGCCTATTTTTCATGTGACATTTAAAAATCTGAATTTTCCTAACTTTGACTTAGGCTAACAATATTACAATACAGCTGTCAGCAACTTAATCAAGTAACTTAATCACGGTGACTTATGATATCGAAGCCACGGCAATGGACTGCGTCTCGCTTAACTTTTCTGTGCAGCCCAGGGCCAAAATGGAGGAACAATATTGCTGACGCTATCCACGTATATCCAGAAAATCTAGATATTCTATATGTTCGAATAGTGTCCATTCGATGACGAAGAGATTACCTCAATAGACGGGCCGAGTGGCAGTCCACAGTGACTGTGGCTGTAGCTTCGATGTCATAAATTACCGTGAGTTAACGATGTGATGCTAGGCTGATAGATATATGATATCATACACATGACATTATAACCATAGTATAAAAATACCAAGCATGCTTGACCACAAATGTTGAAAATCATGTTTTATCTATGCTAACGTCCATATTAACTTAGAAAACCCGAAATACAACCAGGTGACCCACACTACCTACTACTGAATATTATTAGTTCATGAACTGCATCAAATGGAGTAAGCCACGAGAGTTCAAAGAGTGATAAGCATACAAATGTCTCAATATTTACTCATTTTTCTCTTTATTAGAATAATGTGTAGACTATTGGACCATGGAGATTTACTAATAGTATTGTGAGATAACTTGGAGGAGAAGATCATTGTAATCAGGATTGATTCTTACTCTCAGAAGGCACATCACAGATAGACTTGTCTTTTCTAGGAAATCTTCAACTCTATATTAGTTCGACTAACATTTAGATCAAGTGTCCGTTATTGAAAGATTTAAGGCGGCACGACATCTGCAGATACTTTATATGTCCCATACGTTATATCATTACTCTGCCAGAGATAGATATGGCAATGGCTGTCAGACAATTTATGTTTTTCCATTCGCCAGATGATAACATATTTTTTCACTGGATTTTGAAATTGAATTTCTTATCTGATATTCTTTATATCAATTCGAGGTGTTATGGTTACTTTACAAAGTAATATATCAGTAGAAATGCAATATAAGCCAAGACGATTGTTTACATAGATTGACATATTATACAGGTACATGTACCAATGAGGTCGGGACCTTCCGTACATTGTCCCTCTGGCTGAAACATAATAGTCTCGCCCATTAATCATGTCACTTCCACGCTATTGACCCTCATCAAACCTATTCAAATAAGAAAAAGTATCGGGGCAAAAACAAAACAAAAAGAAATCAGGCATCACCTAATATACGATAGGTTAACCACTTGTAATATGATTGATATATGATATTACCCACAATCCCACATAACGTCTGCTATTGTGATGCTGTTGATCTATTCGTACTAATGCTAGATTGCGTCTTGCAACTTTGACTTTCTCATTACATTTTATAGCGAATAGTAATATGGCTGTTTTTTTTATATCGTGGCGCACTCTGATGACTCTTGTATGTAGTCATTGGGACTTTTGACTTAAATATTGGGAAATTCATGGAGTGTAGTGTATGCAATTTGTGTGAGAAACAAATGGTTACTTATTGGGTCATTAGGTTTATTTGTTTCTTTTGTTTTTCAAATGTTGCCCTTTTATGCTTTCACGTATTCCAGGTTCCGGTTCTGCTTTATCCGAGTGGGCCATTGAAAATCCAAGCAGAAATTTAGATCACTGTACAGGTGGACAATGTACATAGAGAGCTTCGGCATCCTGAGAAAACATTGCATAAAAGTCTTCATTTATTCGGTATAAAGCGTCTGTAACTCGTGTTTGATGATAAGCTATGATACGGACGACTATCCACCGGTTTATAATGTCATACATCAGTATTATACATCTAAGTATTTGCCAATTTCTCACAAGTGTCTCTGAGATAGAGGAATAGGAAATATCCGAGGCCTCATCCTGTTAATAAGGCGACGATTATTTGAATGTATATTTATTCACTCTTAACTCAGAAGTAGTTGGTTAAATAATGGATTTTTCATCGGGATGATATAACGTTTTCGGATAAGCTCAGCGTGACGCTAAATCTGTCCTTGCGTTTATTATATAGATGATAAATATTCAATCATTTCCGTATATTTATATGATTATTTTTAGAATAGTGGTGAGAAAATGAATCATTATTGTGATGTAACCAAAAGGCGTCGTGATCATTAGAATCCCACTTCCACACGTATTCAGTTACATAGGCAATTAGGCAGCCTCTACAAAAGACGCCAAATACAATAGTAGTAACCGAAATTCAGAAAATCCAGAAATGTGCCATATTAAAGAACCCTAATTCTTATCATTTGGAACCTTTAGGAACCAAATCGCTTAGAATTCTTTTGGAGGATTTCAACATGGGACGATTTTTAACAATTATTTGAAAACATTTTCAAAAGAAATTTCTACACAACATTCACAATTATTTCACATAAAATATATAATTAAGAACCTGACAATGTCGGAAAAATAGGACAATGAAAAATAACAGAACAATACTGTTATTTTGATTATTTTTTTGTAGTGCACTAATAATGCAGGTATAAAATGTCTTTTCAACAATCCATTAAACGATTAATCAAAAACCCTTAGACCATATGATAGAAAATACTTTGAAGAAGAAAATACTTTTTATTTGCATTTTGAACCATATTGGCATTCCTGTATTTACTAGGTCTTGATGGCCCATGATGTATTTATAATGACAATTCAATATTAGAGAATTGTAATACGATTTCCATTTTTTGAATTTGATACCCTAACCAACATCAATAGGACCATACCCTTTACATTATGTGTGATCCACACCTGTGGTGCATACACCAGTATAGGCGGTCCAATCCTTGCTTTACATGCAGTCGTGTAGCATTTGTGACATAATAGATTCTATTATATATACGGCTGCTTCAATCAAAGGACCCTTACTTCAATCAATTGCTTCTGCAATTTTTGGGATTGCCCTCACGCTTGAAATCAATTAAACCTTCATAACATTTTATTGAATAAGAGCAATCCATTCAAGCAGTAAATGAAGCTCTTGATTAGGTTAAACTTTTATCCTGTCACGAAAGAAGATAAATACAAACGAATCAAAGGTCTTATGGAAATCATCTTATTCTACACAACCAACATATGCCATTTATTTCCATCAATATAGCATTGATTTAAGATCCCAGGAGATATTCTAAATGCTTAAGTAAAAAGTTAGGCCATAATAGGGCAAACGCCTGGAGTGAATATTATTGTAACGGAATAAAATAAAACCGAATGTTGTAAAGCATTAGATCTAATGAAAGCTAAAGAATGCCAGATGTTCGAAGTAACATGTAGATCAAGCGTTGTTTTGTTCTTCTCTTATGTTTCCTTTTCTACTTGCAGTTGTTGTGTTGTGTGCTTCACCTGATTCCGTCAGGCAGATAATGCTAACCGCCGCAGAAAATAATTTCAACAATGGCGAATACGTCTTCTTCAACATAGACCTTTTCAGTAGGTAAGTACACCTTAACCCCGAGGATCAGAGTCTCGTTGTTTAGATGATGTTCTGTTTTGAAGATGCCAGATCAGATTTTATTGGAAAGAGTACAGTACCACACCATATAATTTAACGCCTACCTGCAATGTTACTATTTGCATTATTCATAAATAAACTATTTCGTACAATGTCGTCATTGTTCTCTGCTGCATATACCACAGAATGGACAACAACAACGCCATAATTTTAAGTAGTAATTGATAACCAAATCCCATACAGTATTATGGCTGGAATGAAAGCTATGATAAAGTATTAGCGTTTCAATACAATGGCCTTGTTGAAAAAAGCACTAATGGCGTTTTGAATTTATGGTTCTGAAGTCAGCTTCTTGTTGATTAATGTGTTTCCTCAGCAATGGGCATAACCTTATCCTTAATTGGTATATCGTTAACTGCATAATGATGATATTGTTGGTACCTATAGCTATATGATAGCCACATTGCATGCAGATAGGAATGGAAGGCATGGCCAGAAAGTACGACTGGCACTACCTCTCATAAATACAAACAATGTGGCATGTGCATGACAAAGAGAAATAGATTCATACAGACTATAATTCAATCTTAATTGTACCATAGTTCTATAAAAGTACGGTATAAGATGTAATGACTCCCAAAGATCCTCGCGTGTACGGACTACTTGTTAAACAAGGGGTATAATGTGGAACTGTCAGAGCTTCGTTGCAAACTTAGAAATCTGCAAAATAAGTGTGAAGCATTGCAAAAATTATTTTAAAAACTGTTTCATTCAACGTTTGCCAGAGGAATTATGAATTTTAAACATGGTTGTATTCTAGCAACAGGTCACATGCATTGGACTGACTTTTAAGACAAACACCACATGAATACATAATATGTTTGTGTACGTGTAAAGACGACAACATGTCTTAAGGGCTCTTTTTGTCAAACAGCGGATATTAATGAAATTGGTATCGTCACGAATGTCACAAAATATCATGAAACAGACCCTAAATGAAAAGAAATACGATTTTAAAGCGTGCTTTTAATACATTTTAGGATTTCCCCTTTTCCTCATTATAAATGGATTACCTTTGGTATGTTATGTCTAAAACAGACATATCTGACTGACTGATGTTATCCCAGGGACTCTGTGTTGATTACATGCTTTTTGATCTGCAACATCTCTGACCATTTTTTTACTAAATAGGAATGTGAAGTTAGGAATCACAAGTCCAGAGATCGTGTCTTTTTGGTTTGGCCATTCATGAAATTGATATCGTCACGAAAGTCACAAACGATATTGTCGTCTTTACACGTACACAAACATATTATATTCATGGTGTTTGTCTTAAGAGTCATGTCCAATGAACGTGACCTATCTATTGCAATGATACAACCAACTCCAAAGTCCAGAGATCGTGTCTTTTTGGTTTGGTCATTCATGAGATATTGAGGATTGGAACCTTCTCATTGGCAATGCTCTTATGTAATGCTCTTATGTTTCTAAATCGTATGTAATACATTTTGTACTTTCATAATAAATTATCATTCCATTCATTAGTAATAATTGGAGAATACTAACAACATGAGTAGAAATCTTTAATTGGAAATATTAAAATTGCATTACTAGTATATCCGGGTCATCTGTATATTCATTGCACTGATATGATTTTCAATTTGATATGCATCTAATGATCATTAAAATTATGATTGAATTTATTATATCGCATGTATCGCTTTCAAGAGTGTTTACTTGTTTTGCACAAAAACAGAAATGGCATCTTTTTGCAAAAATATTTTAGACTACATGCATTTTGCAAATGTGATTTTCTTATTCCCAAGTCATATTATTACCTTGGTCATGAAACTGCTGTGCTGTGTGGGGATGACTACAAGTGACAAATCGAGGAAAATGATTATTATTTAAAGACATATTTTAAAATACATTTAAAATACAACCTGTGATAGTTAGATATAGGAGGAAAACACCAGTGTCTAAAAACAATGATCTTTCATACATGTACAAGGAGACGGTTTTAATGCACGGCCATCCCTCTTACACCCAACTTTTATAGACCATTATCATAATCCAGAAACGTTCATCCATCAACTTATCTAATCCATTTTGAATTAAACTTAGATTGATTACTTGAAATATTTTCATTATATATATGCAGCAGCAAAATGATTCACGTAGCATCATATTGTATCAAGTCATTACGTTAGAGTTCTATCATATATGAACACTTCAAAGGCATATCATATTTCTGGCGTTTGTTTGATAACTGGTACTTGATCAATACACTCTGCTATACCATGTTGCGGCAACAAGCCAAATCTGGGATTTGGTTTTGTATTTCAATCAAGTAAAGTCGAACTGCATGGGATTCACCAGACTAACTCCCAATCCAAGTTCAATCCTTGATATTAATTTGGCATGTAAAAGTCAGCTTAAAAAAGGAGTGGGTACCCTGATTGAGCTTGATCCAAATTAATGTAAGGAAACTGCTAATGTATCGAGTAAATCACAGATGATATGCAATGAAAATAGACAGTTAATGATCTATACGTTCTTGCCCTGCAAAAGCATATATCCATAACGATAGCAACATAACAACCCTCTAACATGCTTAAATATAGTATGTATCAATAAACTTTGGATAAAACAGAAAACATTCAGTCCTTTATTCAAACCAACGATACAATCGATTGATAGATATGAATTCAGCGAAATTCAATTTTGAAATCAATACAGCGCATAGAAATCACACACTCGGGTACTTATCGTACAGTATACTATCGTAAATTCATTTTGAATGTCAAATTATATAATAATTTCAAAATTAATATTATCATCAAAGGTTCTGAAACAAATGTGTTCTCATAAAACGGAAACTCATTTCCTAGGGAACTAGAAATGCAGTCATTTTGAGGACTAAGCAGTAGCAGTTGCAAGTGCAGGTCAAACATCATACATTTCATAATACGCTTGCCCAATTTATACTAAGTCCAATTAGATTTAATTATTACTGAATTACTATTCTTATTGTCTTTTAATTACAGCAAAAATGAAAGTGAAAGACCATGGTATCGTGAAAGCAGTACACCGAAGGAAAACGAAGATGCCAAATCTGCTTATGAATCCCTAATGACTGTTACTCTAAGAAAGCCAAACAGTCCCGAATACCATAAGTTTTCAGAAGAGGTGAAAAGTCGAGCTGGAAAGCAAGAAAATTTCACATACGGTGAAGAAGAGGTACCAGTATATGTTAATAAAAATATAATATATACATTGTACATAGAATGTTCACCCTATGACTTGTATACCATTGTAATTTGAGAATACCATAATTTATTGAGTTTAACTAGACTGTCATCCAAACAATACAGCATTGATAAAGGAGGTCATATTAACAAGCATGCAGTTTGTTAAAGGTGATTGATTTATATCGATAAAGCTAATTATTGTTATTTATTCCTTTGATAAAGTTACAATATGAAATATGTTTCCGTACTACCTACAGTTCTATTATTTATTACATTACGTTATTGTATCAAATGGTAAAACATGCGGAAATATATTCCAATTGAATGTATTTCCCTATAAATAACAGATATTAAGAGTAATTTTCTATTATCCATACACTTCTTAAATCGGGTAGCATAAAATGTAATTTCAAAGAACCTGTTTACCAATATTTCATCCATGTCAATTTAGTCAAAAAGGTATATAAAATTGATAGTTTTCTAATCAGAATTTGACACATACCATTTATAGCTGCCTAATAGAAAGGTTTCTCTAATGTATCACGGTGAATCAGTGTCTACTTTAATACAATCCAACTGGAAAGATAGCTCTAAAGTTAAAGTATATCCAAGGTTTTTTGCATGAAAAATGGACAGACATCTTCCAATCTTGGAGGTTAATGAAATGGTCAATAACTAATTGGAATTATATTTCAAATGATGAACTTGGTACTCAACTCACAAATTGGATATACTTGGCAATCAAGCATATCAAATTGCATTTGCAGTAGCACTAATAAGGAACTGCCTTAAAATAAATTAAGCTCAATGCCATCTATGAAAAACGTTTATTGTCATATTTCATTATGTCATACCAATATATTCCTTAAGTTTTGATATTATAGGAAATGCTTCTTTGGATCAAAATGCTAACATGAAGTAGTAGACTATAGTGTCTGGTATTTCATAATATTTCATATAATTTCATATAATACAGGGTGACAAAATATGCCACCCACATAATGTTTCATAACTTTTTGTCTTCATGATATCTGGATTGTTCTTTAGCAAACTAAAACTAGGCTCCATGGAGCAACTCCATTAGAAGTTGGAATCAAGTATTTGTGTGGCGAAGAACAAGCCAAAATTCATGAAAACAAAAAGGTTATGCAACATTGTGTGAGTATTTGGCATTTGTGTGTCACGCGGTATTTTAGTTTTTAGGGATAGGTACAAAGTATTCAAAATTAAAATCCAGAGGTAGTTATGGTGAAATTATTTGATTTAGGTGAATAGCTTTGTTGGGGCGTTCCACGATGCTGTTATACTCTATGCTCTTGCGTTGAATGATACTCTGGCGGCAGGTTTTAATGCAACAGATGGAAAAGAAATAACCAAACGAATGTGGGGCAGAACCTTCCCAGGTATGAGTTTGAGTTGGCATTCATGATGTGATCATTATTTGTTGGTACAACATAGGGTAATATATCAAACTCGCGTTACAATATCCCTTACATTAAAGGATGTATATATTGAATAATCATAATCTAAAATAAATATATTTCCATTATCATTTATGACTTCATTAATCACGCCATTACAGGAATAACAGGAAATGTTAGCATCGATACTAATGGGGACAGGAATGCAGATTATTCTCTTTTGGATCTCAACCCTGAAACTGGAATGTTCGAGGTAATCTTATTCAGATTATGCAACGTTTCAATCAATTTGATGTCTGTCTCCATTCGTAATAACCCCAGAGCATCGTTATAGTAAAGCAATACATTTAACTCACATATATCCACCTACAAAATGAATCTGATAACTATTTACAATTCAAACAGTGTTGGAGAAATTGTAAAGTATATGTATAATGGATTAATACGATTTGATATGATACGCTGTAAGTTCAAAGTGTCATTTCAACATACTGATTGTGTCTATGTCTGTGTTATTAACTTTTATTTTGGTGAAATGTAATACCTGGCAAATAGTATACAAACAATATATAATCTTTCATTAGGTTGTGGCGAACTACTATGGCAATGAGAAGAAATACAGACCAGAGCCTGACAAACAAATACATTGGGCAGGAGGACGTGATTCGGCACCTCCTGATACACCCAAATGCGGATTTGATGGTTCGGGTTGCCCCCCTGATGGTAAGTTCACTTAAGTTTGTACTATTATCAAATCTAGATTCATTTAAGATAGGTATTCCTTTCTCTTGTATATCATAATGGATTTTACATCTGAATACTGAGTTCTGACAGGTAAATAGAATGTTAAAAGTCAAGTTGAATAACGATTAATTACAAGACTGACAACAGCCTTTTGAAAGAGAGATGCTATCTTTTTTCTTTCAGAGCCGTTCCCTGAGTATGCCATAGTGATCATTGTATTAGGGTCAATGTTACTTATAGTGTGTATCATTGCATTTGGTGTGTGGAGGTGAGTAAGATATAACAATTTAAATACACTATTTTATAAAAGTATCTGAAGCAAATAATGACATTCATGAACATATCCTTATGTTAGCCTTTGACACAAATAAAATGAAACTTCAAATCCGACCACTTTGACAGGCATTACAAACTAGAAGCTGAGTTAGCGGAAACAAACTGGAGAATCAAGTTTAGTGATATAGAGTACAATCTTAAAGGTGCAAAAAGCTCTAGTCAACTGAGCTTGATAAGGGTGAGTGTATATGCCGTACATGCACAGCACTTTGCCTAAGGGTACATAGGTCCCCTAAAATCCCCAACAACCTCAAATCACACGGGGCACGACTGGTGTATCAGTAACCTTGGCCCTCACATTGCTTGACTAAGCAAATATCAAAAATGTGATTCGTTATTGTATTCCTAGTCAATTACGAGAATTGAGCACTCAGTCGTCACGAGCCCCACCCCAGAGCAATTACCCGAATGTATCCTTTCATCACTCCAAAGGGGTATAGCCTATGGTGATTACAGGCATGATGAATACTGGCATATCACACGTGGCCAGTGTTTTACAAAATCGGTGACGGCACCAAAAACAACACTCACATAGTTTATTTTGGTATTCACTGGTTATCCCTGCTAGCACTACCCCTTTATTTCAGGCATTATAAACTGGAGGCCGAACTTGCAGAAAACAACTGGCGTGTCAAATGGGATGATATTATGATAGGTCGAAGTGGAGGTGGAGGGGGAGCAGGACGAATGTACCGGTCTGGCAGTAGAGTCAGTCTCGTCAGGGTAGGGAATCAATAGATACACTATCAATGTGAACTACCAATAGAGAAACGGAAAACACTCTGGAGAAAAAAAGCAATCAGTTAACAATAGTGATGTTCCCGAAGTTCAGATTTATTAAAACCACACATCCAATATTATTACATAACGTCACGTGTAGCATCTCAATTGAATATAAAACCTTTTTGAAATAGATTTATTAAAAACTCAAAAATAGTGTGGAACCTCGTCGGACCTTCCATAAAAGCGCGTATGTTACATTGATTTTAGAAATTCATAAAGTCAAATACCGTTTCAAACTATCGTAATCAAGGAACACAACCCAAATGGAACTTCCGGTTGCTAAATAGACTGAGGGTTTGTTTCTGTACCGTACCATCACTGGGACTATTGGGATATAGTTAATATTCCACCTTAATTAAGATGCCCATGGTTATCACACACAATACATATATGCCCATGATTACCACACACAATACATGCCTTTCCCTTACCTAAGCTTAGAGGCTTAACATCTTGAAATTGTTTCTTACTCTAAGTTATGTATCAATACCATAAAAATGTATCAATTGAGCTTATACTAAACAATACAACCATATATCATTACATTACTTTTATTTTAACATTGTTGATATTACTTTTTGCCTACTTTTCATATCATATAAATTACTAGTTTTATTTCCAGAGAGGTTCCCAAGAAAGTCATATATCTGCAGACACCATAGCTATATGTCTGAGTGATATTGGACAACGGCAGCTATTCACGAAGACGGGATACTATAGGGTATGTAAATGTATAACAAATGATAATATAGTCATATATACAAAAGGGTATATGTTAGAGTATGATAAGAACCTGGATACAGTGTGTCCGTTTACAATGGGGAAAAATATTGAAAGGCAAAAAGTGTGCAATTGTTTACAGTATTTTAGTGCAGGTTTATAACTCGAGATGACCTTCATGATATATATTTATTTCCATGACAGAAAGTATGCTCATTATATATAGTATAAACATATATATTCTTTTATTTTTCAGTCAACACTGGTAGCCATCAAGCCAATATGTAAGACTGGGCGTATAGAAATAACAAAACCACTTCTTATGGAATTTAAAAAGGTTGGTATATGAAAAAATAAACAAATATTTGTATCATCATAAGTCACTGTTTTTTGCAACCACTGTTAGTCTAGGATAAGATTATTGTTTAGAGGAGTGTACGCGTTTCTTAATGTCAACTGAGGAGGTATACAAGCACAACGTTTCACCAGACCCCCCAGAAAGAAAACCAACAGCAACAATAATATCCTGATCAAAGATATGTAGTTTGAAAAAGAAAGTACATAATGTCCCCCACACCATTCATGATTCATTATCACAATCCAAAAAATAACTTTACGTCATATGATAAAGCTTATGTACGGGGTGTACCAAAACATACATTGCATTTTTTGGTGCATATATATATTGCATTATTTGTATGTGCTTTAGGGCATAGTAAGTTAGATTGAGATGACCAATAAGAACCCCAAGTCATTTCTATAATTATATTAGTAGCTAGTGTATGATCATTTGTTCTTATTATCATAAAATTAGAATACGTGTTTGCATTCTTTTCAGATAAGAGACCTGGCAAATGACCACGTAGTTCGTTTTATTGGCGCTTGCATTGACCAACCAAATGCCTGTATACTAACCGAGTACTGTCCAAAAGGAAGTCTCGAGGTAAAGCCAACTCTACATTTTCTTACATTGTTTCTTTCTAGATCCGCGATATACAGAGTGACCATATAGTCCGCTTCATAGGGGCGTGTATAGACACGCCAAATCAGTGTATTCTGTCGGAATATGCTCAAAAGGGAAGCTTAGAGGTATAGTGAACTTATTTGACAATTCTGTGATTTTTGTTTGCTTTTTGGTGATGGATAGTAATCTACATGTATAGAAGATAGAAGATGAAAGTAGAGTCTGTAAACTATTTTATATTCAATATAAATAAGTATACTGTCAAATATATTTATCATAGATAAGACATTGTCTGTTCAAATGACATAATGAAATTATTCTGGATTAAAAAATCTCATCAATCATGGTGATTTGTGATAATGAATTATGCACATAAACATCATGTACCAGTAAATAACATTATTTAATACATATGCCTGATATATCGTATTCCTTTTCAATAGTACACATATTATGCAAATAAGGAATTAAATGATAATTGCTGTTTTTCAGGATGTTTTAGAAAATGAACAAATCAAACTTGATTGGATGTTCCGCTATTCACTGATGCAGGATATTGTCAGGGTAAGACAAATACAAATGAATTGTTCATATTGATCAAACTGTTCAACACAATAGACATAAACAAATGATCTAGACATGTTAATAACAGTAAACTATAAATATAGCATCATCGTATGTATGTGAATAAACCAATGTACATAAAAATTCTGATATTAAGTAAAAAGAAAATACAAATACGTTAAGACACAATAGAATTATTTTTATTTCCATATTTTTCAGGGCATGGCGTATTTGCATTCAAGTGACATGAAGTCGCATGGCAATTTAAAAACCTCAAACTGTGTCGTAGATAGTAGGTTTGTCTTAAAAATTACAGACTTTGGTCTCCATTCACTCAGAAGTGTCCAATCTCATGACGAGGATGTCGAATCATACCAATATTACGCTAGTGAGTGAATATGTATTATATGGTTCTATAAGTGAATATATTAGTAATGGCATCATTATTGATCAGTTAAAATGTAATGTTTGAGTGAATTGTAACATAGAAAATTAAAAAATGTATATGATTTACTTTTATATGTGCATCTTTTTACAATAAAGAGAAATTGTGGACGGCTCCTGAATTGAGTCGGATGCAGAACAGGCCGCCAGAAGGCACACCGAAGGGAGATGTCTATAGTTTTGCTGTGATATGCCAGGAGGTTGTGTATAGACAGGGACCATTTTGGGTGGAAAACATGGAACTGGGTCCCGATGGTAAGATATCTGAATACAACTTTCCTAACATGGACATATGCAGCATTTGAAAATTAATGAACTCTCAAAGTGAAATGAAAGTGACATGACACATTTATATTTAAAGCGTAGACTTTCCATAAATATTGAGATATGCAAACAAAAAATATAAAAAAGTTCCTGTAACATTATTTCTTATATATAATTTGATAGGTAATTTACAAATTGAATATCACTTCATTTAGAAATCTACAAAAGGATACAGAGTGGAAGCAAACCATATTTCCGTCCCACAATGGAAGACTACGAATGCAGTGATGATCTGGCCAATCTGATAAAACGATGCTGGTCGGAAGATCCGATTGAACGACCAGACTTCCAACAACTGAAAACAATTATAAGAAAAATTAATAAGTAAGGATGTCAAGTTACCCTTTTGATGTTTAGAATAGAAAATGAAAAATTTCATATAACAAAAAAACATTTTAGTAAAAATATATATTTAAATACAATATTATTACTAAGTCATGATTTCATGTAAGTATAGCTTGAATGCGTTGCGCATATATTTGAATACTATATATTATAGAGCTGGAGATAGTGGAAATATATTAGACAACCTTCTATCTCGTATGGAACAATATGCCAACAACCTCGAGTCTCTTGTGGAGGAGCGAACGGCAGATTACTTAGAAGAAAAGAAAAAAGCAGAGAACCTTCTTTACATGATGCTTCCAAGGTACGGCGAATTTACAATGTTGATTTTAATAATAGAAATACTCCCGTGATATATAGGTCACAATACAGCTCCAATTGAAACATTTTTGTAAGTGAAATACCTCTATTAAAGCAACACTTCAGAGTCCCTTGACCCATTAACTCGGTGTACCTCGAACACCTTCCAAGTGGAACACTTTAGATGTACCAAAGGGGTTCCACTTAAAATATATTTCACTTTATTGTCTCATCCTATGATTTTGATAAATTACGTGTTCATAAAATTGGTAGGATACCATATGTCATGTCCACCATATGATTCTCACATTTTTTCATGATGACACTCTGTATCTTTTATAGGGCGGTTGCCGCCTCACTTATAAGAGGCGACCCAGTGCAACCTGAAAAGTTTGATAGTGTTACCATTTACTTCAGTGATATTGTTGGATTCACAAAAATGTCTTCTACCAGTACTCCTATGGAGGTATGTTCACCATATGCTCTGCAGATAATTATTGTAACATGCGACATAATTTGATTGTGAGATATTTGTAAATGCAATTGTAGTGTTTCGTAAGTACAGTATACTTACCTTGATCGCATGTTATTTGCTCGATTTATCCCAGTGCTATAATGAAGAATACATTAATTGACTATTGAAACAATATTCTCCCTGTTCACGTCTCAATCCGTATTGTCATTTTTTATATCTTTGGGGGTTAATGAATATGCGTTCAATCTAGTGAACCATTAACTTCACAGGCGGTTAAAATGACCACCCCTTGAACCACATATATTATTATTGCAAAATGTCATTGCAATTTTTGCAATTTTTCAGGTGGTTCAGTTCTTAAACGATCTCTACACTTTATTCGATTCCATAATAGAAAACTACGACGTTTACAAGGTAACTATTCGAGAAAACTGCTAAACATATTAATCCTTCATTATTTGGACTTAGTTAAACAATGCGTTTCTCTATTATGTGGTAACCCATCTACGTCACATATTCAGAAAAATAGTAAACATCTTTAAATATCATAAAACATTTTTAATTTTTCTATTTTCGATGCCAATACCTACGATGAGACATATTTTAATTATCTATCTCACACATGTAAAAAAGACCAAGGCATGATGTAGTATTCCATCTTTGTTCAGGTTGAGACAATTGGGGACGCTTACATGGTTGTGTCGGGATTACCGATTAGGAACGAAAATAGACATGCTGCAGAAATAGCACGGATGTCAATCGCCTTACTTAATGCAGTTAAAACGTTCAGAATTCGACATAAACCAGATGAGCAGCTCAAATTGAGAATAGGAATGCACACAGGTAGACCTAATTCACTGGGACATTTATCTAATTATTATAGGTTTTTCTCTTTTTAGGGAACAGTAATAGTGTATCCTGATGATTATAAAAGTAAAACAAGACAAAATGTGGGACTCTTAACTCAAGACCCTTAGATCCAAAATTTGGAGCAGGTCAACATCTATTAAAGCTCGTTACATAAGCATTTACTCACACTTAATTTGATTTAAAAGTAAACATTAAATTATTATAGTATCGATAACATTTTCAAATGCATATTTTTAGGGTCGTGTGTGACAGGTGTAGTAGGCCTCAAAATGCCACGGTACTGCCTCTTTGGGGATACGGTAAATACAGCTAGTAGGATGGAATCTAATGGAGTCGGTATGTAGCATTGTTTATTTAAAACAAATGTATATAACTCGCCACAGGGTCAGTGCGCAATGTCTCATTTTGTTGTAAAACGAGCGGTTGTTTATAAACCTTTCAAATCCATTTGCTAACCAAAGTAAAAGTCGTCCTATGTTTACTTAATATAACATCACTTACGTGCTGTGCTATACTATATTTTACGTGACATTTTGTAGAGTTTTCAAAGGTCCATGTGCAGTATGGCAAGTGATTTTAGACGGTCATATCTTTCACCATGAGTACTTTCTGGCCATAAATACAGTGTTTTTTGTAAAAACAACATGTTTTCCTTCAAGTGAAGTTCCTGTGATAGTAAAATATCAATCCAAGTCTCTGAAAAATTTTGGTTTAGGACCCCATCTAGGCACTTTTCAAATAATGTTAGGCTTATTTTCTGAAAAGAGGATCTCATTTTTCTCGATTTAACCATATTAAAAGTTTCTTCTACACTATATTTACAACTTCTGAAAAGGGGATTGGTAATGAAATGCGTTAAAGTTAAAAACCACATATACCATGTTATTTTCCCATAGTGAAAACTCGTGCATTTCACTGTTTTCAGCATAATTTTGGTCATCGAAAATTGATATCTTCAAAACTAGACTTTCAATACTATTCTACTTTTGGAGAAGTTTTAGACCCCTTTTTGAATAATCTTTTCATGCAGTAAAAATCAGAAAAATGAGATCCTCTTTTTAGTAAATAGGTTCAACAAAATAGGTTTGAAAAAATTGTTGACATGGGGTCCATATTCATAATTTTTTGAAATGTTCGATTGATATTTTTTATAATCATTGGTACTTCACTTGAAACAAACCATATTGTTTTAATAAAAAAAACACTGTATTTATGTCCAGAAAGTACTCATGGTGAAAGATATGAGTGTCTAAAAATGAATGGTCCACATTCCTCCTTAATATTAAAGGAAAATGATGATCAGTGGTTTTGACATCGACCATGTCTTTTATATTCATCCTTGCATATATTTCAGCTATGAGAATTCATGTGAGCCCGTTCACTGAGGTGCTTCTAAGGGAGTTCAATACTTTTGACCTAGAGTTAAGAGGGGAGGTAGAAATGAAGGTAAATATTTTAGATAAAATATATATATATTGATTTACGTTCTCAAATTCAGACTTGATGAAACATGTGCCAGAATAATAAGCCTGTGCGTATTTATTTTTGCAAAATGTTGAGAGAACCTGGTCTTAAATGTCCAAAATAGAGAATCGGGGTACAGCACAGCTAATTTTTATTTTCACCGAATCTTGAAGGCTGGCCATATAGTCAAGTGGCACATCGACATAAAAACTCAAAACAACATTTAACACAACCAGTAGATTTTGACATAAACTTTTTTCTGTCAATATTATTATTGCTCAGTAGTTAGTGAAATTGTAATGTGTACATGCAAATATATGTGAATTTTGGTCATCAAACCACGACCTTCTATTTTGTTTAAAGCTATACAGGCTTTTTGTTAAAAGTTACTTTTAATGCATGACAAAATTAAATGACAACACTATACAAATGCAAAAGTTGGAAATGATGTGCAATATTTTATACTTGTCTGATATATTCCAGGGTAAGGGGAAGGTAACTACATATTGGTTGAATGGAGAACTAGAGGTAGATGAAAATACAAACACAAAGGATAAACAATATACCAAAACAAACATTATAGGAAACAATACAAATAGTAACAGTTCACATTCGTTAAATCTTAAAACAGAACTGCATAATAGTAAAAACAATTTAATGGAAAATCAGAACCATATAAACTTGAAAAATACGTATATATGATACGTGTTTAGCACGTGGTATATATCATGTAATTAAATTCATGTGGAAATGCTCACGCCCTTGGTCGATAGATGGCGTGCTTATGCCAAAGGACAGTGTAGTGTGATTTCATTAAAATAATGTTATTCGCCTCACAGTATAACGATTTTTACTGTGATATATGTGTGTTAGATGACAATACCTCCCCCAAGTAGGCACTGCACAATTCGGAAGTGCGCGGTATAGGATAACACATGGTCAGATAAGACTTTATCTACGTATTGAAGGAACTCCATTACTGTCAAGGACATAGAACAATTGGAAATCAACTGAGTCGATATCTGCCACAATTAAACCATGAAACGTCCAGTCATCGGCCGAACAGTCGGGACGATATGAATACTACCTTAAAGCCATTAATGACTTATACAGTATCTGTTCCAGATAACAAATTGGAATACACGGCAAATATAATTTTCTGGACCATTGAGAACTTTGAACGAAGTCAATGGTGGTTTCCAGACGTTGTATTATACATACTTGTACATTTATAACTTAGAACTATAGTGACATGAAAAGGATTATTACAACCAGCAATTGGTGGAGAATAAATAAGCATTAAAAGGTATTTTAGTTTGAGTGATAAAATAGCATTATTAAAGAGTTATATAAGGACATATGTGTACAAAATGTGTGAACATTTACTTGCTTACAAAAGTCAGTAGTCAATAAAAAAGTTGCATGGTCCTTTATCAACTATAACATTTTCCATTATTTGTATCATTAAACTGCATTCTCGGTATATTGGGTAACTATTTTAAATATCTAGTGGAAATCCTAAGAATTGACGAGAATGTAAAATGGTAAGAGAATATTAAAACAAACTCGCACATCTCACTTAAGTAGTGAATTTTCTCTCTACATAGTTTCATTTTTACGTTAAATGGGCTCTAAACTGATTGTTTTCACACAATCACAATATATGGTGTCACACAATATGCTATCAATGAACACGAATTTCTCATATATATATATATGACGTCAGACTATCATAAAAGATCCAAAGTGATTTTTTGAGTCGTTCTCATTGAACATTTTTAGTGTTATTCTATGAAATTTTCTATATTCGATTAAGTAAAGATATACTGTATTGTACCATTGAACGTATTTTCAAAAAATATTTGATTATCTTTGATAAAGAAGCATGCAGCTTTTTATTTACATATGGATTTTTACAATTTCAAATTAGGAAGGCGTATGTTTTGCCCCATATGTCATTTAATTTATGAGTACAACTATATAAGTGACATCCACTTGTACAACATACTCATACTCGTACTAATAACACATTAGTATGTGTACAGTAAATCGGTATCACTTTTACCAGTTAACTGGAACAGACTTCAAATACTATTCTTTAATTATAATAATGACAATGTTTTAATTTAAAATCGTTATTTGAGAATAGTGCTCTAGTCACATCGTATATTAAGTAGTATAATTATAACTTATTCAGTGCTGCGTTATTTTATATTATAATACTTAATTATAAATTTGTAATGTATGATGTTTTTGTAATTATTATATGGTATACATATGTAATAATCTTCAGTTCAGGCTATTTTTGTTGACATCAAGTATAAAGATGAATCAATAAAAAAATGTAAATTCCGAAATATTTAATTTATTTTTTCAATTGTTGTATACATATCAACCGAAGCAATAACATAATCTCGCTCAAAAATAGAAGAAAACTCAAACGAAGGGCAACATTTAAAAACAAAAATTGACGTTATTCTTGACAAAGTAGTTTTAGTTCATGAAAATACGAATACAAGAAAGACAAGTATTTATCCATCCATTCATCTGAGGAGCATTCGTAGTGCTCTGGAGGGGACCAATGACACTAGAAGTGATCTTGGATGTTAGCGCCAGGCTTTAGTGGTAACACATTCGCTCCATAAACCCTTCGTCGTGCCTCATCAAAACCTTCATAAGAATTCCTTAATACAAAGTTCCCTTGTGGTGAATATCTGCACACAACATATGTACCATCAGTTGATTCACTCAGTCCACATCCAATTTCTCTGGAATCTCTCCAAACAACCTAGAAGCAAAAAGCAAAACATTTCTAAGAACATCCATTTCTTTTAGGAATGATTCTTAGAATGAAATCAAGAACTGATTACTTTTTGTCATTCTGCGTAAACCTTTAGGTGGCCATTTTGGATTTCCGTCTTTATATTGTCTGTAAAGTCTTGCTTATGCATTTTCAGGTTAACCGTTTGAGAGATCAATTCAAACAATGTTTCTAAATATGTAAACATAGAACTGACTACCTTTTCGACATTTTAAGGTGACCATCTTGGCTTTTCCATCTTAAAATCTTGTATGTGAAGGCTTGTCTACTCATTTTCAGGTTATCTGTTTGAAGGATCAATTTAAACTGTTCAGGGCTGCTTCTTTGTATGAAAATCTAGAAGTGATTATTTTGTCGGCATTCTGGGTAAATTTTAAGGTGGCCATTTGAATTTTCTGTCAGGGTGAACTTTGATGAAATTTAAGGCCCATGTGCTATTTTCAGATAAACATAACTAATTCCACACACCATATACATCTTTCATTCTTGCACAAAAGATACATTAATGTACCAGCTAAACTATTAATTGAGGGTTGATAATTCTTCAGAATGTTTGAATAACTAGAATATTCAGTGGTTTATTTTTCAAAGTTGCAAAAAAATCCAACACGCGCCCTGGCGTGTCTGTAAAGTCATGTCTACTCATTTTCAGGATAATCATTTGAGGGATCGATTTCAAATTGTCAGGGATGATTATTGGTAAGAACATCTTGATGTGATTAGTTTTTCCGCATCTGAGTTGCCATTTTGGTTTTCCGTCCTAAAATCTTCTCTGTAAAGTCTTGTCTATGTGCTTCCTGGCGAACCAGTTGGCAGATTGATTTCGGGAATGATTCTTTGAATGAAAATTACTTACTTTTTGGGCAGTCTGAGTAAATTTTTAGGCGGCCACATAGGATTTTCTCTCAAAATCTTGTCTTCAACTGATTAGTGTTAAGTTCGGCAGTCAGGATGAAAAGACTTTCTGTATATATGATCGCCCATTGGTGGGGACATGTCGTACACGTTTGTGTTCTTGTATTAAAATACAGTGTTGATAAAATATAATTAAAGGCCCCATATAACGTTTAAACCACTTTGGCTTATTTTGTAGTTTTACTCAATGTTATCAAAAATATGATATGTGAAACCTTTTCCTTTTATATTGTGAATTCATTTTAAACTTTTTTTAGAGGCCACACTTATCTCTTAATAAGCGATACTTCACATCAATGCATAGCAAACATCCTTTAAAGAAGCGAGAAATGAACTCATCCATACATGGAATTCAAAGTGGTTCGAGAAAAATGCATTTCAAAATAAAACATAGTATATTCTTTTCAACCTAGTGAGACAATCAACATTGGTTTATTTCCTAAGTTTAGCATATTTAGAAAAGATTGATTGACCTTGCAGGAAAACATTTTTAGATTATTTTCAAAAATATTTGACCCCTGAGTGACATCATGATGATGTCACTAAGGTTGCAAAATATTTTAAAATGGTACACTAGATATGACGTTTTATTATTTAAATACTGTGTCCTTTGTTCAATATTTGTTATGGTGTCAAAAAGATAATGTGTTTTGCATTTGCAAAATGACATCTATCTGAATGTTAACTTCACATGTTACAAATGATAGGAAAGTTATTATTTATAATGCCCAAAACTTACATGTGAAGTTTACTTTCAGTTATACGTTACTTGGGACACCCATACCTTAACATCGGACACCCTTATTAATAATTATAAGACGTATCAGTTCAGGGAAATACCAACTTAATACATACCTGCGTGAAGTGCCCAATGGGGTCTACAGAAGTTTTTGATTTGGTTGTGAAATAAGAATAGTTATCTTGCTCTTTATACCTGAAAGAATAATTGAAGAAACTTGTAACCAATGTCTTCATCGATCAAAGTGTTCCCGAGAATGTTGACCCAGTTATGCCAATTCAGAAATATATGTTCAACCTTATGCAAGCTTTACACTAGGGATGCTCACGGATAAGGAATAAATGCTTTATGTCAGATTGTATTGGACGCCACAGTCACGAGGAAATACGTTTACCACGCCTCGCGGAATCGTTGAAATAATATGAAATAATACGTGTTCACCTTATACTATGAACTATTTATTTATTATTCAATGTTGTATTCACAAGTCGCCACTTCTCACTCTGAAGAATTCACACACTAGTTAGTCACTGGCGGATCCAGAAGCTATAGCAAGGGGGCACATTTCAAGTCCGGCAAACTATTGGAAAATTTAGCCTAAAAGGACCAAACATGCACCTTTTTTGAGGCCCTACAAAATTTTTGGGGCCCTAAAAAATTTCCGGACACACCAAAGCCCCCCCCCCCCACATGGATCCGCCAGTGTTAGTGGTTCATGATGAGTTGTGTTCCCATTTCCAGCAACTTTGACATCTTTCTTCAAGGCACTTTAAACTCGACTTGAACTTCAGTAAAAGTTAGTAAAATGCTTTTCCTAAATTGATATGAGAAACTATACATAGTATTAGGTACTTACCAAGCATGGACTGCAGAGCTGCATGGATCGTATTTAGAACTCATGCTTGTCCAGTATATGTTCTCGCCATATGAGTCCCTACGGCTATGTTGGAGCTTCCCAATAGAAGTCAAGTGATCCGCCCATTCTTTTGCCGACTTTGCCAAATCATCACTGTACGTTAGAGCAGGTGTATCTTGATGCATGTTTCGAAACGTGTTATGTGCAGTCAGACAGCTTTCCTTAAACCCTAAAAACAGATCAATACAGATCAGTGATAATTTAAATAAATTTTTCAGGGAACATGCATTTTCATCGAATTATAAATGACTACGGCCTTAACATTGCAAAATGTATATTTGATTCGAAATGATCAGAAACGTCATATTTACTCTCAAATCCTAAAATACTAAATATCTAAGCACTTATGCCAAAGGGAAATGACCAAAACTTGTAATTTAACCGAGCAAGAAAAAGGCAATCTCAAAGTATACCAGTCATAAGAAAAACAAATCCCATATATCCCAAAACCATGATCTAATGTGAAAATAAAGGAAGACGTTAAACAAGAATATTATGCCGTTTTGATTTCATACAATAACAAACAAGACACAGAGTGAACAGAATCGCACCCTTGAATAAAATAGACAGTATTCGTGACGGAACGTCTTAAACAAAGTTGAGAGTTGATGACATCACTTCCTGAGTGAAATTTTAAAAGATGGCAGCCTTAACATTTACTCAGAATGCATCAAAACTTTTTCCTACCAAGAGACATCCCTAAAAACCCATGAAACAGTTTGGCTGGAAACTTGTAAACAAGCCTCGACAGACAAGATTTTAGGACAGAAAATTCAAAATGGCCACCTTAACATTTACGCAGAATGCGAAAAAAACTAATCAGTTCTAAACTTGAATCAATACTATACGTAAAAACATCCTTGGAAATTTCTGATGAATCCATAATTTAAAATGCTAGGTAAGCTTTCAGTTAAAATCTTCGCAAAGCATAAATGCCGCGAATCCGCTAAAATTCAATATTCTGATAATAAGAATAACTGGCAAAGGCAAACACGTGAGCTTTTGATTTAGTGGGATATTTGTTGGAATTTTTGTGACAGGAAAGTGAGATGTTTTGCTGTATTTCTCTGAAATTCTTTGAAAATCGATGGTCTGCGATTTGAGAAATTCTAATTTGCACTTTGTCAATCTAACATGCATCTCAATGGTGCAAAAAGTAAGAAGAGTTCTACAAATGTCCTATGTAACTATTTTACATCGAAAACATATTGCTATTACAGTTTTTATATTGTACCTTAATTACTCTTCTACCTCCATGGGGCATGTGTGTACAAACTATAAACAAAATCGAGCCAACAGTATTTAAGTTATCGCCAGAACGGACGGACATCTTGTAATATATAGATACACTGGTCCACATGTTTTGTTAAAGAGCAACTGAAGGATACAATCTTTCCACAAAGATAAATTCAGACCAACATTTGGATATCTACATCAAGTAGGTAGATTATTATTGATTTTATTTATTTGTCATATCCGGTATTTAATTTATTATAGGTTTTAACCCATGTTAATATTAAAGTCATATTTCGTAAGTTTAATCAAGTATTATATTAATTATAGGAAATACCCATATTAATATTTAAGTCATGATTGGTAAGATAAAAATTCACATTATATATAAAAGCAGGTTCCTCAGGCTTGTGACTGGGCATATGTGGGTTTAACGGTTTAGTCCATGGAAACACTCCCCTTCCCTGCATGGATTTATTAAATAAGACATAACTGGGTTCCTGAACTATATGAACAAGTCCGATCCATGAACGCTTCAGTGTACGGTATATTTTTATAGTTAACAATTTCATTTGTTTTCTATTTTTTAATTTACATTTTATTTATTTCATTTAGACGGACGGAGGCGTTCCCTATATCCAACCGAACTTCGTTCGACGGGATAATAAAGCAACCAATGCTGCGATAAAAGGTGTTGCATTGTTTAAGGAAAGTGCCACATGCTGAAGTTTTCAAATTTGGGTTTTTGATGGTTTTCATCGACTTTGTCAAGAAATAAATTCATGAACAAAACCTTTGATAAACATGAATTGATATACTGACAATTTTAATCTATATATTCATACATGTACCTGGTTTGGGCCCACATTGCAGTTTTTCTGGATACCAAGAGTTGGTCGAGCATGTATAATACGCCTCTTTGGCTGAAGTAACACACTTCCATAGCTCATAGCCTCTATGTTGTGCCTGTAACCAGGCACCTGTGGGGGTATTGGCTTCATCAGCACAGCTTTCTAAAGAAAATATTTTGAAGGTCAACTTCATGAAATGAGGTCACAGAACTATTTTCACAATTTCTGAAAGCTCGAGATCAATATTTTAAGATTTAATGTTCGTTGTGATTGCACCATACCTGTAGTTACTTAAAACTCTGTTTGTAGTTGCAATACCTGGTAACTATGATCATGATACGTGATCTGTTTTATTGACACACAAGATGTCATCTAAATAAGTAGTGCTTTGTTTTTAATGTATATTTATTTTTGACATCATATTATTCAATTTCTTTTAAATTTTAAATATACCTTTTCATGGAATTACACATGGGACATTTTTGTTATATATTAACCAGAAGATAGTCTCACGTTGATTGAACATTCAACTATTTTATTTGAAAAAAATAGATAAAGCCACAGCCCTCACGGTATCGCTTTACGAAAGACTTAGTATGTTATTACTTTTTTGCAAGTGATCGTCATAAAGGTGTGATATGCAATTCGATATTCATACAATTTATCAATATTAAGGATTAAGGTGTGATAAAACAGGTAGCCATTGACGATTGAAAACAATTTTTTCAAAAACGTAATTCGAAATATCACAAAGCAGTGAAACTGGTCGATAATTTTCCTTTTTGTGTGGATTTTCTTTTTTAAAGATCAGGGTATTAATTGGCTTTTCTCACAAATATTGAAATTCACTCTTCATTAGGGATACAGTTTAAATACTAGCTAAAGGAAAACTAATACAATTGGTGCACATCTTTTGTTTGGAATTTTATCCCATCTCCCACTTTATGGAGGATCTAAAAATTGCAAAAGGTCCCTTATCTCTTCGAGAGTTGTTCGGATGTTATCAACAATATCAGTCGCAGTTAGATCATTTGTAATATTGAGAGCTCCGCCGACATAAATGTCTGAACATAAACAAGCCACAGGGTGAACAGAATCGCACCCTTGAACAGAATACACTTTTAGAGATGGAAAATTCAAAATGGCCACCTTAACATTTACCCAGACTGCCTAAAAACTAATCAGTTCTAAACTTTCCATAGAAACATCTCTAAAATTTTAGGATGAATCCATGAAACCTGTAAACAACCCTCAAGAGACACGTTTTAAGGTATTACTTCACAGTGTACCAGCTTTTTTCTACAATTCAGATTTTCTTGAAAGAAATCCTGGTTAAAAATATACTGATGTAATACAATTATGTGAAAATTGGAAAGATTGATCGTTCAGTTATTTCAAAAAAATGTTTTAATTTAACATTGCTTTCAATGGGAATTTTTTTTTTTAAAACAAGCCTTCACAGACACGATTTTAGGACGAAAAATCCAAAATGGCCGCATTAACATTTACCAAGAATGACGAAAAACTAATCAGTTCTAAACTTTTATAGGTAGAAATATCCCTGAGAGTTTCAAATGAATCCCTCAAATGGTTTGGCTGGAAACCTGTAGACAAGCCTTGACAGACAGGATTTTAGGACGGAAAATCTAAAATGGCCGCCTTAACATTTACCTAGAATGCCGAAAAACTAATCGGTTCTAAAGTTTCATCCCTGAGAATTTCAAATGAATCCCTCAAATGGTTTGGCTGGAACCCTGTAGACAAGCCTTGACAGACAAGATTTTAGGACGGAAAATCCAAAATGGCCGCCTTAACATTTACCTAGAATGCCGAAAAACTAATCAGTTCTAAACTTTCATAGGTAGAAACATCCCTGAAAATTTCAAATGAATCCCTCAAACGGTTTGGCTGGAAACCTGTAGACAAGCCTTGACAGACAAGATTTTAGGACGGAAAATCCAAAATGGCCCCCTTTACATTTACCCAGAATGCCAAAAAACTAATCAGTTCTAAACTTTCATAGGTAGAAACATCCCTGAGAATTTCAAATGAATCCCTCAAACGGTTTGGCTGGAAACCTGTAGACAAGATTATTCGGGACGCCCGCCCGCCCGGCAAACTGATTACAATATAGCGCCTTAGGGTGCGATAAAAATTAAATATTACCTTAATATATCAATAAATACCATCACTGAAGTGTACGTGTCTTGTATTGATGTTAGATCGAATATTTGCCAAAATAATATGCTATTACATTCGCACATACTAGATAGTCTACTTGTCATGATTTGCCCAGTGTAAATTAGATGGTAATCATTTTACTTACCCTCACTGGCTGCAATGTTTTCAAGGGATACCACGAACAGTACGAAAACACCAATGTACCTGTACATATTTGAAGGTTTCCTCTGAATAATGGTGTTGTATTCTGATGTCCTCGTTTATTTTTTTTGCAAATGCGATCAAGCCAATAATGTTATGCATTCAAACGCATTTACCAATAAATCGCTACTTGATGGTAGTTTTGGCAAGATGCCCTATTTATGTGCACCCTATGCTAATTGATCCTACCAATCAATTTCGAATGTCGCTGGTAGACACGACGACTAAAAACCAAAAAAAGATAAGTACCATTATTTTTGAAGTTGTATTTCTATAGTACAGGGTGATGACATTGTCAGAATTCATGTTTTGGAGAGCCCCCCCCCCCGCCTCCACTGTGACAACTGGCTGTGGAAAATAATAATGCCTCATATATAATCCATAAGCTCTTGCTACTTTTAAACAATCAACTATCGGCGATAGGATTGATGGATAGAAATATAAGTCGTATTAGAGTAATCTTCTTGTGAATATATGTATAACATTAGGTTGTAAGTGAAAGACGTTTGCAGTAGTAATGACACTTTGGAGGACGTTCCCGTCGAAATGATGGATTTGGCCTTAAAAGCAGAGAAAACAAGACACATACAAAGTACAAGTCAGGTTTTGAACGTTTTAAAAACTGGTGCTACGGGCTTACTTTTGACGCTTTACCAGCAAATCATATCCACGTTTCCATTTATTTGTTGAGTATCTGGCAAACTTCTTACAGCTTCAGTCAAATTATTGCTGCTAAATACATTATAGCTTGGGCACACAATTTAGCATGTTTGCCTAACCCCTGTGAGCATCAACTCATTAAAATTATTACTGATGGTGCGTCACGTCAAAAACATAACAAATAACTTTAACAGTTGAAACGATAGAAAAATCGTGCATAAATTTGCTAAGGAGAGCTCATCGATTTCAGATTTGAGAACGGCAACTTTCATTGTAATAAGTTTCGCTGCCTTTCTAAGATTTGATGAGGTTTCTAGACTAAGATGTTCAGACTTTGTTTTCAAGGATTCATTCTTAGATGTTTTCATAAAAAAAAATTCTCAATTTTTTTCCTCAATTACAGTAGGTCGAAAATTGATGATAAATATGATGAATTTTTGAAAATCGACATTCCCATGTTAACCAATGGGAAATGGTAGGTTTGCCGCAAGTCATATGACAGAATATCAATCCATCCGAGTCCTTGCAAAAAATAATTGAATTTACTAACTTTATTTAACAAAAAAATGATATGTTTCTTCAGGTTGAACAAAGTTATAAGGCTTTAAAGTCAAAATTGTTTTTCAAAAAAAACCGCCCATTGAAATAACACAGGAGGCGAAAAATTATTTTCAAAAATGACTTTGAAGCGCTGTAACTTTAATATTCATCAAATAAACTTTAGAAACACGTAGTGTTCATAAAAGTTAGACAATTCAATTTTCTATATAAAAATATTTTTTTGCTGAATCTTTTACTGAAAAGATATCCTGATTTCTGATTTGCCCCGAACCCTCCATTTCCCATTGGATTACATGGGAATGACGATTTTCAAAAATTCATCAAATTTATCATCAATTTTCGACCTATTGTAATTGAGGGAAAAAATTGAGAAAATTTGGAGGTATTGGAAATAAAGTCAAGTTACGTTTCCATCAATATTATAAGTTATTTCATCGCCGGTTAAGTAAATAAAAATTCAAACGTAAAGAGGCTTTAACACGTAGTTCAATGGGGAAAAAAGGTTGCCAAACTTATGGAGGGGAGTGTATGATAATCCTCAGTTCAGGCTATTTTTGTTGACATCAAGTATAAAGATGAACCAATAAAAAATGCAAATTCCGAAATATTTAAACTGTTTTTTCAGTTCTTGTATACATGTTCAACCAAAACTATCACATAATCTCGCTCAAACAAAGGGCACCATTGAAAAACAATATCAGTATAATTCTTGACAAAGTAGTTTTATTTCTTAATACCAATGTACGAAATACACTTTAACATCTATCCATTCCGTTAATCTAAGTAGCCTTTTGACATATAGGTCATATTAACGATCTGTATCAATGTGACCATGCGACATACCGAAGTGATGATCTGAATGTTAGCGTGACTTTAGTGGTAACACATTCGCTCCATAAACCCTTCGTCGTGCCTCATTGGGAGTTTCATTAAGATTCATAAATACAAAGTTTCCTTGGGGTGAATATCTGCACACAACATATGTACCATCAGTCGATTCACTCAGTCCACATCCAAACTCTCTGGAATCTCTCCAAACAACCTAGTAGCAAAATGTAAACACCTCTTAGACATGTACAATGAATTCATCCGATCAACATAATGTTTTGATACGTAAGTATACCGGTTACTGAAAAGCGAATCAACCAGCAACCAGGACTTTTATACAACACAACCAAAACGTTATGAAGTTCACCAGATAGCGTTCTGGTTGCCGAAGTGAGGAGATTCTCCCTCGATTATAGGAGCCCATGGATATGGTGCTGACAGAGTAGCATTCAGTACCATGGAGACCGTACCGTGTTGTGTTACATAAGTGACATGTTTATTCTTTAGACAATACGACGGATTGGTTTCTTAGTAATATGGGCCCCTATGCCATTCAGATGATAAATTGTATATAATTATACAAATAGTGACTGCCATTGAGGGCAATAGGGCAAACTTCGAAACAACCAGCCATATGGTATGAGTACCGTAATCCAACACCAAATTCGAAAATTCATAACAATACTTTGCACATATGGCGTTCGTGACCAACTATAAAACGCTTACCCCCCATAGTGTTATATATCAAAATGTATCTGTTCATATAGGGGTTCGATTGATCTACATCATATTATAGGGAGTCAGGTTACTTTTTGAGATATCAGCGTCCATTTATTGTGACTCGCGTTTGCTACCACTTCCTCAATTCTGATATGCCGGGCAAACGCGCAGTAAACACCTTCACGTCGGAACTATTTTTGACCTACATCGCTATTTTCGTAATTCAAATGAAAGTTGAACTCCTCCTCTTTATTTTGATACCAAATAGTGGCATACTAGGTACCCTAGAAGCAAACTATGGCGTTATTTAGAACAATACCACGAGTTTTTAAATGGACTATATAGGGGTCATACCTTTTGGCGGATGGATATGGAACCTCATACCTTAATGTGTTATGACATCACACTGATTTTTGTCTCTGCAACTTTTTTTGGCAGAAAATATCATTTTTAGTTCAAAAATGCATAAAAACGTCGGAACTGGCTGAATATGTGAAAAATTTATCCATTTAGGCTAGAAAGGGTTAATTTGCCCTACCCCAAATACGTCTAAATATGCTAGTCTAACTTTGCCACTGTGACGTCACAAATCTAACCTGACTATCTCTGAGTTTATTGAAGAAGATGATACGTCTGACAAACAGCTTTCATTCCCTATATGGCACACCTTCTACTAAGAGTTGCACCATTGACTAAATCTAAGACAAAGGCCCTGTGTCCCGAGGATTTTGACTGAAATTTGGCCATTTTCGCCCAAATCTAACTAAATTGCAGTTTCCCTCACACCTGTATTTTGAAATAAATATTGCTACAATGTAGCAATTTAAAAATCACACATGATTACTGTTTCTGTCGACCTGACACGTGTATCTAGCCTGTAAAAATGAAAAATCGCTACATTGTAGCAATTTCACTGAGATATGGGCCCTGAAAATCATGTAATTTTAGCAAAAAATGAAGAAATAACCTGCAATTTTGACGGAATTTCAGAGGGCTCTCTTTCATCCATGACCCTCCACGGGCCTCTTATGACCATTCTTATACTCACAGAATGGTTGAAAGTGATTTCAAATCATTGTTTGCCCTACGCAGAACGAAAAAAATCGATTCTGTTCTCAAATTCTGCTAGAATATTGGTCTCTGGCCAACTAGCAGACAATTTTAGGCCTCATATTAAGGTATGAGTACCGTAATCCAACACCAAATTCGAAAATTCATAACAATACTTTGCACATATGGCGTTCGTGACCAACTATAAAACGCTTACCCCCCATAGTGTTATATATCAAAATGTATCTGTTCATATAGGGGTTCGATTGATCTACATCATATTATAGGGAGTCAGGTTACTTTTTGAGATATCAGCGTCCATTTATTGTGACTCGCGTTTGCTACCACTTCCTCAATTCTGATATGCCGGGCAAACGCGCAGTAAACACCTTCACGTCGGAACTATTTTTGACCTACATCGCTATTTTCGTAATTCAAATGAAAGTTGAACTCCTCCTCTTTATTTTGATACCAAATAGTGGCATACTAGGTACCCTAGAAGCAAACTATGGCGTTATTTAGAACAATACCACGAGTTTTTAAATGGACTATATAGGGGTCATACCTTTTGGCGGATGGATATGGAACCTCATACCTTAATGTGTTATGACATCACACTGATTTTTGTCTCTGCAACTTTTTTTGGCAGAAAATATCATTTTTAGTTCAAAAATGCATAAAAACGTCGGAACTGGCTGAATATGTGAAAAATTTATCCATTTAGGCTAGAAAGGGTTAATTTGCCCTACCCCAAATACGTCTAAATATGCTAGTCTAACTTTGCCACTGTGACGTCACAAATCTAACCTGACTATCTCTGAGTTTATTGAAGAAGATGATACGTCTGACAAACAGCTTTCATTCCCTATATGGCACACCTTCTACTAAGAGTTGCACCATTGACTAAATCTAAGACAAAGGCCCTGTGTCCCGAGGATTTTGACTGAAATTTGGCCATTTTCGCCCAAATCTAACTAAATTGCAGTTTCCCTCACACCTGTATTTTGAAATAAATATTGCTACAATGTAGCAATTTAAAAATCACACATGATTACTGTTTCTGTCGACCTGACACGTGTATCTAGCCTGTAAAAATGAAAAATCGCTACATTGTAGCAATTTCACTGAGATATGGGCCCTGAAAATCATGTAATTTTAGCAAAAAATGAAGAAATAACCTGCAATTTTGACGGAATTTCAGAGGGCTCTCTTTCATCCATGACCCTCCACGGGCCTCTTATGACCATTCTTATACTCACAGAATGGTTGAAAGTGATTTCAAATCATTGTTTGCCCTACGCAGAACGAAAAAATCGATTCTGTTCTCAAATTCTGCTAGAATATTGGTCTCTGGCCAACTAGCAGACAATTTTAGGCCTCATATTAAGGTATGAGTACCGTAATCCAACACCAAATTCGAAAATTCATAACAATACTTTGCACATATGGCGTTCGTGACCAACTATAAAACGCTTACCCCCCATAGTGTTATATATCAAAATGTATCTGTTCATATAGGGGTTCGATTGATCTACATCATATTATAGGGAGTCAGGTTACTTTTTGAGATATCAGCGTCCATTTATTGTGACTCGCGTTTGCTACCACTTCCTCAATTCTGATATGCCGGGCAAACGCGCAGTAAACACCTTCACGTCGGAACTATTTTTGACCTACATCGCTATTTTCGTAATTCAAATGAAAGTTGAACTCCTCCTCTTTATTTTGATACCAAATAGTGGCATACTAGGTACCCTAGAAGCAAACTATGGGGTTATTTAGAACAATACCACGAGTTTTTAAATGGACTATATAGGGGTCATACCTTTTGGCGGATGGATATGGAACCTCATACCATATTGTCGTCTGAACTGAACTTTGCATGCGCACTAATGATGCGCAGTCGTTTTCCTGGGATTTCAATGACGTCATCGGTCATTAGTAGCTTTAATCTTCCCCGTAATCTGCGAAAGCGGGGATTTAGTACTTTCCAGGGAATTAGTCTATCTATTTCATATCATGTGACCATGAATTGACCAATAAGCGTATAGAATTTACATATGAGGTATGTAATAATAAAACATAGTACATACCTGCGTGAAGTCCCTTATTTGTCCATGATTTTTTGATTCAGTCGTATAATAAGAATAGTTATCTCTTTCTGCATACCTAAAAGGATAATTTAAGAAAATCGTAGCCATTACCGTCATCGAGCGACATGTTCCCAAGTATTCAGAAATCTTTGTTTACCTTCTGGCAGCTTGTCATTATGGGAAATATAAAATTGAAATTACACTGGACAAGCTCACAGCCGAGGAATATGCTTTTAAGATTGCAGTGGACGAAGTCACGGTCGCCGGGGAATATTATGAAAATGTTTCATACTATCGACGTCAATACCTGTTCATCTCAATGCTTTTAGCAAGGTGTATTTCCCGAAGAGCCAGGGAATTACTACTTACAGAATCATTGAAAGTGCAACAGGTATGCAATAGGAAAATAGTAACTTGTGTAGCTTTACAGATTCACCTGCAGTATATGGCATACTCACGAAATACGAGAACGCAAAATTGAAGTATACAATTGTCAGTTGCATCGCTTGAACGAACGGGTAAAATGTCTTAAGTTAATAATAATTACTGAATCAACAGTACGTGTACAGTACATTGAATATTTCAAATAATACCGTTCAATAACATACAAAAGTACCTGTATTGTTTGAAGTTATTTTACAGACTTTATGTATGTGTTAACATATACACACTTCAAGGGAAACATCATTACACATAAATAAATAAAACTACGTTCGTGGAGCTTATGGCTGACTTTTTACCAAATCAAGATTGACATTGTTTTATTGGCAATTACGATAATCTCATTTTTGATGCTTTAAGAAGTATCATTCAGCAATTACACGTAATTAAATTAATCCAGGATTCATATATCTATACTCCCCTCCATAAGTTTGGCAACTTTACCTCCCCCATTGAACTACGTGTTAAAGCCTCTTTACGTTTGAATTTTTGTTTACTTAACATGCGATGAAAATACTTATAATATTGATGTAAACGTAACTTTACTTTATTTATTTATACCTCCAAATTTTCTCAATTTTTTCCTCAATGACAATAGGTCAACAATAGATGATAAATTTGATGAATTTTGAAAATCGACATTCCCGTGTTAACCAATAAGAAATGGTAGGTTTGCTGCAAGTCATTTGACAGAATGTCCATCCTTGCAAAAATATAATTTAAGTAGGCAATTGAATTTGCTAACTTTATTTAACAAAAAATTGATACGTTTCTTCAGGTTCAACAAAGTTATAGGTCTTTAAAGTCAAAATTGTTTTTCAAAAAACTAGATTCCATTGAAATAACACAGGAGGCGAAAAATGAGTTTCAAAAATGACTTTGAAGCTCTGTAACTTTAGTATTCATCGAGTAAACCAAATACTTGGTGTACAAAAAAGTTAGTCAATTCAATTTTCTATATTAAAATATTTTTTGCTGAATCTTTTACTGAATAGATATCCTGATTTCTGATTTACCCCGAATCCACCATTTTCCATTGGTTTACATGGGAATGACGATTTTCAAAAATTCATCAAATTTACCATCAAATTTCGACCTATTGTAATTGAGGAAAAAAATTGGGAAAATTTGAAGGTATTGGAAATAAAGTCAAGTTACGTTTCCATCAATATTATAAGTTACTTCATCACAGGTTAAGTAAATAAAATTAAAACGTAAGGGGGCATTAACAATAACAATATCGGTAATCCAGCGTAGTTTTACAATTCTTTTGACCGATCAAATCGGAGGTATTCTGTATCTCGTTTTCATCTGCAGTATATGGCATATTCCGCAGGTGAGTATGATATACAGTATTCCGCAGTTGAGCATCAGAGGCCTTATTCATGAAGCCATCGTAGTTAATACGTATGACGTAAACAAATACGAACCCGCAAACCTGTCGTAACGCATACGTTTGCGATACGATACTGTCTTATTCACAAAACTATGCGCGCCAAAATACGAACACGAACCGATCGTATCATGTTGAAAACACATGTTAGCCACATGGGCACCTGTAAATGTCAGTGTTACATTGTGAATTTACACTTTGCTGGCCAATGCCCACACATTTGTGAGTCAGAATATGAAGTTCTTTAAAATTTATTTTGATATTAAGTCGACATTTTTGCGTAACATAGTAAACAGAGGTTCAATCAATATTGTTGTTTGGTTTATTTGGTTAGAAATATCACATACATGTACATTTGCAAATGACCAACTGCCCCAGCCCTACATCTAGGAATAAGGTCATCCATTTGGAGTCGATACCGTCTTATAACTTCGTCAAATCTGTCATGAAAGATCCTATCATGTTTCGCCTTCTCCGAACAACATCATTTTGCAACAGCAGCAATGCCATTTCACTCCTTTTAATCCGTTCATGGATGACCTATTAATATGACGTCAAAGTCAAATTTGAACGGATTATTTATCAACGAAGAAGTGCAATGCGATGCCCATACGCACAGATCGTAACTAATTTATCCAAATCGTTGGCATATGAAAATAGAAAATCAGTGAATTATTATTTAATCCACGATGCTTTAAATTCTTCAAAAACGAATAAACTAAATTGGATCGTGATCGTCTACATACTTTCTAAACGCCTATATATTAAAACATTTGAAAATATAAAGTTTTATTGGTAAACTTTTGAGTTAAAAATGGTACGTTTATACGCACTGGTTGAGCATGGTCTGGAGGTGACGCGTAAATTATGGTTAATTTTACGAAGATCGTAAAGTGATCGTATGACGGCATACGAGTGCGCGAGCTTACGTAGCCTTCATGAATACAAAAAAGGCGGTCACGCATCCGTTACGTCAGGTTCGTGGCCATACGTACGCTTCATGAATAAGGCTTCAGGTATTCACTGAAATCAACGTATCGCATACTCACTGCATAAAGTACCATATACCGCAGGTGACAAGCACAGAAAAATGTGTATAGCATTGCGGTAAATACTTTTGCATCTTGGGCTAGTGGATTACTTTTCCTAAATTGATAATGTGAAACTATTTGCATTGTTCTGTTCTTACCACGTATTGACAGCCGAGCTGCATGGATCATATTTAGAAAGGCTCGTCGAGTATAAGTTCTCTCCATATGTAGCGTCGTGAACGCTATTTTGAAGCTCCCCGATTAGAGCCGAATGATCCGCCCACTGTTGTGCCGACTTTGCGAGGTCATCATTGTACGTTAGAGCAGGTGTATCTTTATGCATGTTTCGAAATGTGTTGTGTGCAGTCAGACAGCTTTCCTTAAACGCTAAAGATACAGATCAGTGATGATTCAAACATATGTTGAATCAATATTTACGAGAACATGGCTCGATGGAAATGCATTTATCGAATTATAAAAGACATGACAGCATACTATGGTGTTTAAACTGCTTCTTTATTCGGTACATTAATATTCCATAAATACCAAATAAAACAAACAATTAACCAAACCTTTACCCAATCTATCGAAAGTTTTTTTATTTTATCAAATGTAATAATCTATACAATTTATATTCGCTAAATAGTTTCACTTGTTCTTTGTATTGACATTCACATTTGATATTTATACATGTGTTTGTGTGATGCAGCGAATCAATTTGTTTTCCTTAACGCACGTATAATTCAATTAACTATTTGTACATTCGGTATTTAAATTATTTATATTCGGTAAATACCGAATGCCACATTCGATAAATTTCGTTATTTTCGATAATTTACGAGACTTTCAGTCGCGTGATATATTTGTACGATGTAGAATAGCTGCGCGGCCATTTTGCAAATCTCGAAGTCACGTGACAAAATATCGAACAACAACGCAAGTTATCGAATGTTACTTTATTTCATTCGGTAAATAGCAAATTAGCTTTCGGTAAAATGCATTAACCATGTCATACAAAAATAAACCATTTGGTAAATATAGGCAAACTTATTTCGGTAGGGTTCAAATAGAAATTCAATATTATGCATATAATGTGTTACTCTTAAGGAATACCATAACAATTTACGCAAAAATATAATTTAACGAATGAAATATGTAATTTAATGCATAAAGTATTAAGTGATTGGCTATTTTGAAAACTTAATTTGCTGTAACAAACATATAAACGTTTTTACCGAATGGAAAAAAGATTTAGCGAATATAAATGTTTCATATATCGAATATATTTGAATTTAATGAATAAAGAAGCAAAAATAATGCCATAGACAGCTTCACAAGAACAATGAAGATAATTACAGGGTGGTATTTTGTAAATTGTATGCAGAATATTTATTTATCATCTCAAATTTACTGAGTATAGTTCATTTAATTGTGTATCAGCTGTAAAGTTTATATAGGCAATCCACAAAGTTAATGCATTTATCTAGCCAAATTTTCCTAAAAAATACACTTGTCAATTTTGCCCTACTTTTTCAAATAATCTAACTTTGGTGAACATGATGATTGCCATACACATTTTATGAAATTCAAAAATGTCATTAAGTTGAAAATATGGATTTACTTATATTGTTTAGTCAAAAACTGTTGTGTTAATGCTGACTTAAAAAATACCCAAAATTATATATAACAGTAAGGAAGAGGGAACGTGTCAGAGGTGAGCATTTCCATAACCCACAAACACTGCGTGAAATATGGGATTCCAACTCAAGTCTAAGCATTGTTCCCATTTTTCAATAAAGCCAAAACTGATATACCAGTTATCAAGATTTCAAGATCAACTCTACTCAACTATGATATTATTGGTGTTCTGAAAAATCTAAAACCTCCCGGGACAAGTTTCAGTATACTATAACTGGAGCAAAAAAATGTTCAAGAGAATTCAACTCTTGATAAGCTGACGGGATGCGAGATTAAATACTAATTATAAATGATTTCCACCATTAAATATTCAAGATTAAGCCTACCTGATAGATCATTTTTGAAATCTCCAATAGAAATCTTGTTTTGCAGGTTGATCAAATTATCACACATATTGACACAATATTATAACAAATGATAAACTTTTTAAATGAAAATAAAGGAGACAGTAAATTGTAATTGTTGTAATGAAAATAAACTTCGATGATTTAACACAGATTGGTAAAATGTAATTTTATTCCCGATATTGAACTTTATAATAGATAATTGTCATGTAAGTTTAAATGAAAAAAATATCAAAGAAGGCATTTTAGCTCATAATCAAATAATACATTATTGGTTGCAAAGTGGACAATTCACAAACAAAAGCTGGATTTGTACTAGTATGACAACATTTTACATAATTTTAAACTAAAGCTTATTAAAAAAAATATTGTAATTGTAAAACTTTTAAAAAATGTGATGGAATAAATTTTAAATATGAAAAAAGTGATTCCATTCTTAATTTAGATTTTGTTTTCGGGGAAAGGACGATTGTCAACGTATTTGTGATATCGCTCTTTATAATTTTAAAGTAGATACATGATTTTTATTTGCTTAACTCATGGTTTCTTTTTAATTTTTACTCAAAAATGCTTAACAAAAATGTTATGTCATAATAATAGATTACATAACATTATGTCATATTTATTGAATCCGACCCATATTTCAATTTGTCAAAATTGGTTTTTGTAATCTACTCAGTATGACGAACAATTTGATACCCATGATGACATGTTATACCGGATCGCTATTTATTGCGACGTTTTCATTGTTGGAAAATACTTGTATCGAGTTTCGATCCTGGGAGCCAATCTTCCTTGCATTTATACCTGGTTTTGGTCCACATTGCAACTTTTCTGGATACCAAGAGTTGGTCGAGCATGTATAGTACGCATCTCTGGCCGAGTTAACACACTTCCATAGCTCATAACCTCCACTAATTTTTGCCTGTAACGAGGCATCCGTGGGAGTATTGGCTTCATCAAGACAGCTTTCTATGAAAATATGATTTTGAAGGTCAAAAAATCACAAAATGAGTTAACGAAACTGTTTCTGAAAGTTCGAAATCAATATTTTTAAAGTTATTGTGAATTGTGATTGCATCATTCATGTACATACACTGCCCTCCATAAGTTTGGCAACCTTAGCTCCCGTTGAATTACGTGACTGTTAAAGCCCCTTCACCTTTGAATTTTTCTTTACTTAACATGCAATGAAAATACTTATACTATATTTCCACTACCTCCAAATTTTCCTGATTTTTTTCGTCAATTATGATAGGTCGAAAATTAATGAAAAATTTGATGACTTTTGGAAAATCGACGTCATTCCCATGTAAACCAATGGAGAATAGTGGGTTCGGGGTAATTCAGAAATCAGGATATCTATTCAGTAAAAGATTCAGCAAAAAATATTTTGATATAAAAAATTTAATTGTCTAACTTTTTTGTACACTTAGTGTTTTGTTTACTTGATAAATACTAAAGTTACAGAGCTTCAAAGTCGTTTTTGAAAATCATTTTGGCCTCTTGTGTTATTTCAATGGGGTAGTTTTTTGGAAAACAATTTTGACTTAAAAAACTTTATGGAACCTGTAAAAACGAATTCATTTTTTTTGTTAAATAAAGTTAGCAAATTCAATTGCCTACCTAACTTGTATTTTTTGCAAGGACTCGGATTGATGGATATTCTGCCATGTGACTTGCGGCAAACCATTTGCCATTGGTTAACATGGAATGTCGATTTTCAAAAAATCATCAAATTTATCATCAATTGTCGACCTACAGGGTACTTTCTACAATACCCGCCATGCTATCTGACCCGAACGAGCCACCTGGTGGTGAAACTGGTAACTACCTACTCGCATTTGCATTTTTGCTCACTCTAAATTCGATGGTATTCATTTTACTTACCCTCACTGGCAGCAATGTCTCCGAGGAATACTATGAACAGCACAAAAACGCCAACGTACATGTACATGATTGAATGTTTGCTGTGAATAATGATTGTAAAATAATGCCCTCGTTTCTTTTATTGTAAATGTCATTGATCGAGCCAGAATTGTTATGAACTCAAATGCATACATCAATAACTTCGCTGCCTGATGGTTGTTTTGGCAAGATGCCTTATATGGTATACATGATAAAGTCTACATTATTGAAATCCCATTTTAATTTTCAGAGCTTTCAATAACCCGATCAGTGATATAATTGATTATTCTGATGCAGATGTTTTATTTTCCAAAACATATTTATTCTTTCTGATAGCTTTATTCATACTCCCAGGTCTATTACTACCACTTTATTGAAATGGAAAGGTATTTTCCACTTGTGAATTATGACATGAGGTCCCGTGCGATGTTAATTAGGATCTTATTATACATCGGGATATGTCAAATCTGCCAATATTCAATCACTTTATTTATTCACTGCAGATGTAAATAAATGAAATGCTGAAAATTGAATTTCTATGTGTTTATCCAGCATGACATTAAGAAAAAACAATAAAATAGTAGTCTTGCAGAAACTTGGAAGCTAATCGGAAGCTAAACTTTTCATCATGAATATAGGTTTTGGCCCCCCAAATCATCGCATACCCGAGCAGCACCCTTTGGCAACTCTCTACAGAGCATTTCTTATACCCCTCTGATAAAATATACAGGGAGTACAATAAGACACCCTCATATCTCAGACATTAATAAATATATTAACTTGAAATTTTCAGGAATTAATCTTCATATTATGCATGCATGTATGACAAAATTCAAGAAACAATATTAATATTACTATAGAAATAGTAACAGAACACTATTTGTTACCGTAGAAATGCATTTTTTGCTGATTTTCATCATTTTCTTCATATTCTTGATTCTTAGACTACCTGAAGAATAAAGCATGTATTGACTAGAAGTGAACATGAAATGATTCATCATATGGTTTATGTAATATATCAAACATATGGTAACATCAGTTGATAATCAGGTTTTTTCATTTCACTTTCTTTTAATTTATAATGAGTAAGTAAGTAAAAAGGTGTTCCAAAATAACATTTCTTTGAAAGGTTGTACTCCATGGATAAAAGAAAATGCTGCTTTAGAGATAATAAACAGTCACATGATTTTTTTAAATATATCTTAATTTTACCCGCTCCTAATTAACAGCTCCCTTTGACGACTTGGTGAAAACTGACAAAAAAACATTCATTTTATAGGTTCATATTAAAAAATGCACTGGAATGCAATGCTAATTAGTATTTTAAAACATCAGCTAACTTTGCCTGATATAACAGCATAAAGATTTTAATTATGAGACAATGCCAACCAATAAAAAAAATGTTGAAAGGTACATGTAGATGTGGTCATTTTTATCGTTTTGCAGCATTAAAAGTTAGAAATGTATCAAACGAAAACAAACCTAACCCTACTATCACACCAAACTAGTTCTCACTACGTTCTCGAAAACGGGCTTAAACTGTGCACGAACGGATTTGACGTACTAAGAACCAACTAGGAACCGTTTGGGATCTGTTTACAAACTTCATGAAACTACTAGAACGAGTAGGTCCTCCAGAACTTAGAGCATGCTCAAAATTTTCTGGTGATCGTCAAAACGTTGCCGAATCGGTTTTAAACTGTGTGCGAACTGAATGAACGTATATACAACGTTCTACGGTCTGTTTTGAATCGATTCAAAATTCGATGGCGACCATGCCGTTCTGTAATCAGGTCATGATGACCTTCTAGACTAAGGGACGGTTTATACTACGTTGCACACCGACATGGTGCGACCTGAACGAACTGCTAATAAGATGGACTGTTTATGAACGAAGTAGCTAATTATTTTAGACATATATCCCGACCGCAGACAGATTGAGCCCGTTTTACGACATTTTCGTAGGACTGGCAAGAACGGGTAAGAACTAGTTTGGTGTGATAGGGGGGTAACCCTACTATCACACCAAACTAGTTCTCACTACGTTCTCGAAAACGGGCTTCAACTGTGTACGAACGGACTGGACCTACTAAGAACCGTTTGGGATCTATTTACAAACTTCATTGAACGTACTCGAACGGGTAGGTCCTCTAGAACTTAGACAATGCTCAAAATGTTTTCGTGGTCGTCGCGTTCTACAATTAGAACGAGTGACAACGTACTAACGACGAGTTGGACGTACTACGATCGGAACCGTCGTACTTCAATCCTACTAGGGACGTTTTAACAACGAGTTGAACTGTCCGAGGACGTGTTGAGAACGAGGTAGAACTAATTGCAAACGGGTTTAAACTGATTAAGAACGTATTTAACACTGCTGATGAACGAGTTAGCAAAAATATAGCTATCACACCAAACAAGTTGCCACTGCGTTCTTCAAAACTGGTCTTAAACTGTGTGCGGATGGAATGAACGTAGCTGCAACTTTCTAACGTCTATTTACGAACTTTATGAACGTTCTCAGACGGGAATGTGATTTTAGAATTTTGAATCGATTCAAAGTTCGATGGCGACCATACCGTTCTGTAATCAGGTCATGTTGACCTTCTAGACTAAGGGACGCGTTCTACTACGTTGCACACCGACGTTGTGCGACCTGAACGAACTGCGAACGAGATGGACGTATTGAAGACTGTTTAAGAACGAAGAAGCTAATTATTTCAGACATATTTCCCGACCACAGCCAGATTGAGCCCGTTTTGGGACGTTTTCGTAGGACTGGCAAGAACGGGTAAGAACTAGTTTGGTGTGATAGGGGGGTTAGACATTAAAAACTTAAATGTGACATGTTATTGATTCATGTATTTATATTACTTTATTTGTACATATTCTATTTGGTTATGGTATCATAATGCATGAGAAATTCACTGCAATCATGTAGTAGAGACTAGAGAGGTTAACATATAGTCTAGACATTGGAATCCTTTATAACCCAGAATCATTTACAAAGTACAAATCATGGCAAAAGTCCCCTTAAACTCTAAGATGGCTTTCCTTCGGTCAACCAAGCTGCAATATGCATAAAGGTTGACCAGGTTTGCCACTTGCTCATAGCTACAAGCATGATGTATGTACAGTTGCAGCCAACACTTACTTCTCATCATTCGTGGTCAGATCGTCAACTTGCCACTAACTCCAGATACCACTAACTCCAAACGATATCACAGATGGCGCCTTACATGCGCACTCTTACACATAACTACTCGGTCAGATTTCATTCCATATTGGAGCAATTTTTAGCTACCTTTCCAACATCTGGAACTTTTTCATGATTTGCACACTGTAAATGATGCTGATTGTTCTTGTGCATGATGACGGCAAATATCTGGCTATCAAAGGAGATGGTATACTTTATGCCAAGGTCTAGATTATGCCAACATCTTAATGTTTACATAAGATGGCATTATTCAAGATACATTTTTTATGAATATATAGAATTGTGCTTGTGCATATTGATTGATGACCACAGTACAGTCTGATTGGACAGATGTCTAAAAAATACATACAAAATTGTACATGTACATGATAACCTGTAGTCTGATTGCTCAGATGAGGAAAACGAATGCTTAGAATATTTAGACATTATGGCAACGTCTAAACTATGCCAACCTCTCTATTGTATGGTTATAGATTTCATGATGATAAATGTACTTAACATAAAATATACATATAAAATTGTACTTGTATATGATATCCACCATAGTCTGATTACTCAGATGAGGAAAATTAATGCTTATTATACTCAGACATTATGCCAATGTCTAGACGATGCCAACCTCTCTATTGTATGGTTAAATTAGACATCATGATGATATGTATATTAAATATAAAAGTGACGACATGTTACATATTACTTGTACATGATAACCACCATGGTCTTATTGTTCAGATGAGGAAAACTAAATGGCAATGAACCAATCAACATACTTTTTCAAAAATGTTCTAATTTTCACAAAAATGCAACCTTTTATTACATCGTTGAATGCATAATTAGAATGTGCTTTGAGACATGTTCTATTTCCTAAGAGTGGATCGCTCCAGGGACTTTAAAGATTCTGAATTTGGATGACTAAAATGAACTGAAAGCAATGGATAGCATGAGCTTTTTCAATGGGGAAATAACATGGGGAACACTCATTTTAAAGCAATTAAGTTTTTCTTTCAAGATATATTAAGATGAGGAATATTAATGCATTAAACAAAGTAAAAATTGATTGCATTTTGGGTGAAAATTAGGTCAACATCTTTGAAAAGTGTGTTGATGGGTTGATTGCTAGTTAAATATCTCCGAGTCTGTTCGACTTTATTATTACTGTATACAATTTTATTTTGAGATAATGAATGTATCTAAAAGACAAATCTGTTTTCATTGTCAGAAAATAGTCATAGTCCAATATATAATCTTCTGAAAATGTTTGCGATAACCTACGTGCTCTTTTTTCGGGTGCGGTTGTCACGGTCTGCAATTAGAACGAGTGGTAATATACTTTAGACAAGCTTCACGTACTACGAACTAAATTTCAAAAATTAGGTCATCTCAACTCAATATTCTTCTCCTGGATATGTCCTTAATTCAGAACCAGAGCTAATCTTGAAATCAGTTTTATTCACTGTGGTATTTTCGTTGTATACATAGTTATCACCCCAATAATAATCAAGACGATGTAGTGTTGTGTTATTTGCTCCCCACCATTATCTGGACCTTGAGATGTACCCGTTAGTATTCCACCATTGCATTGGCTACTGTCACAACATAGGCTGCATGTCTAAAATTAGCAAATATGTACAATAAACAATATGAGCTTATACAGGGCGTTCAATAAGTATTGCTAATTTTGCTATAACTTTTGTTCTGTTTGCTTTTTCTTCATGAAACTTTCACAACATAAGATACATATATCTGACTTTATTCTATGAAATAAAGACAATCGAATCAGTATTATTAAAGTTATGGTTACTAAGGTAACCAGTATCATGGATATGCGGGGCAAACTTCTGACGTCACTTTGGACGACATTTTGAGCGTTGAAAGCACTAACATTTAATGCCGTTTAACATTTGGGATATGCAGTGCAGTTAAAAATAATCCATTCCAGAGTCACTTCATGATCCATATTAACTTCATGAGGTGCTCAAAACAGGCAAGCACCCCTAACTTCAATGCACAGTTGCTGTCTGGCGACCCACTCGTGGTACACAATTTTAAAGCCACCCTTAAAGTGTGTGGCTAGGGAGGTGTTCACTGCAGACATCAGCTGATTGAGATTCTTGTGCGATATTCCTCTCAAATCCCTTTTCACTGAGGCGAATACAACAAAATAAAGTGTGGCCTTATCTAAAACATATGCTGCGTGAGGATGCTTCCATGCCAAGCTCTGTTATAATTGTATTTAAGAGAGTAGAGGATCTGTGAGCAGGGGCGTTATCTTGGTGGACCGTATATGTCGATGTTGCTCTTTGAGGACGTTGAAGTGTGTGGCTAGGAATGTGCAGTGTTCACTGCAGACATACGCTGATTGAGATTCTAGTGCGATATTCCTCACAGATCTCTTTTCACAAATAAATATTTTTTACATATAATTTAAACTGACAACATCACGATTTGACCATATCAACAGTTTTTATTTATCAAAGTGTTTATTTGATGTATAACAATAATTCATTATGTAAACCCTTGAGTTTGCCCCGCGTATCCGTGACATTGGTTACCCTAGTAACCATAACTTTGTTAATTATAAGTCGGTTGTCCAGAAATTTGGATAGAACAAGGTCAGATGTGTGTTGCTTATGTTGTAAAAGTTTCATGGAAAATATGCAAGATAACAAAAGTTATAACAAAATTAGCAATACTTATTGAACGCCCTGTAATACCGTATACTATATGATATAATACAATTAATATATTTTCGTCTTACAGCCATAGTGTATTTTCACTAATACCCAGTTGGCTTTTCGACTAATGTTATTTTGACGCATTTTACATATTTCCACAGTTTTATTGATTTTGATGATGTTACATTTATTGATAATATTTTACTTCTTAGTAAAATGTTATTTGTTCTATTCTTTTTGCAGTAATGTTTAAAAAGTCACATACGTTTAACCTCATATTTATTTTCTTAAATTTTTCAAAAATAGGCTGTATGTAGAGGCTGTACTTAAACACTTCTATTTATAGCATACTCATTACTTATTTAAAAAATTCAAGAGTTCTGAGACACTCTGTATTTAGAGGAGCAAGACCAGTTGCAAGCAAAAGAAACCTCAAAATGTATAACACTTCAACAACCCACCAAATATATAGTTAAATATTCCCAAATCAAAGAGCGAGGAAATTGACAGTGAATGATACAACAAATCTTTTATTCACTTTTCGGTGCCCGTGTATCTTTCACAAACAAAATGTATCCCTAGCCCGACGCGTTTCCTCGAATACTTGTGAAATATACCTTTGGTATAATATAATATTATAATGTCAATTTAATATAATATAATGTCAATACAATACAATACAATACAATACAATACAATACAATACAATACAATATAATATAACATAACATAACATAACATAACATAACATAATATTATATAATATAATATAATATAATATAATATAATAGTAATATAATATAATATAATGTATTTGTAATATATTTCGATGTTTAAGCAGTTAAATAAAAGTCTGATACCGTATGTGTTGTCGAGTGTCGTTCACATGTTTCATACATGCTAAATCTGTCGCACTTTTTCTGCTCACAACCTCTGGCGTGTGAAATGGCTGAACTGTCTGAATATTGATGTGTCTGAAAAGTGTTTACTAACCTGTACTTGTATGTAGATTTTACTATGCGGTTACTATGGTGTTTTACCAGAAGTTAACATTATTAGTAATAAAATTAGTCATCTCTGATGCAGGGGATTATTTTACGTTTGAATTGTACATTTGATCAGTACGGGATATCTCAGCTTTAGATATCTTAATGATCTTTAAACAATATTAATACACAAAGGTCACCAATTTTGTCAATTTTTACATTCTATGAGTGTTGAAATATTACCCAGCAGGCATATCCATTATTAAAATCACATTCTTCATAAGCATCAGCTCTTGTCTGATTATCGTTACAAGTCGATGTATTCGAACAACTGAAACACGTTGCTGAAACATGAATAAGTGCATAATGTTTATATTTGCAATACTAAATGAAAAATGTAGTTTTACCAAAATAATTCGTTCACGCACCATGTCATTGTGTAATTCTTCATTGAAGTCTAGACTTTTCTAAATCCAGATTTGTCACTTAATGATAGAAGTACTTAAGGCGTCACGAATCAATGGTATGGTTATGAATATATATAAATGTATATAGCTATATTACAATACTCACTCAGGCAAGCAGTTGCATTTAGTTTTGAAGTAAATCCATAAGAACACGAGGTGCATTTTTCAATGGGGTCTACACAAGTGGTGCAATTCGAAAGATCACCACACGCTGCAATACACAGACTTGTACTCTAAATGTCCTTATATTATTTAAATACATGGTACTTACTCGAATCGGAACGTCATTAAATTCAATATAAATGAAAGTCTGCTGGTTCTACCATGTTACGTTAAAAATTCAAACAATTAAGCAATTTAAACAAATTTTAGCATTCGCACCTTTACATGAACTGCCATCGAATGCTTCTGTAAAACCACTGTCACATTCGAGGCATTCTGGGAAGTTATCATTATCATTGTCGTTACATGACAAACAATTTGAAATCTTGTTGCATCCTAAAAGCAATAAAAATATATTTATTGTATATTGAAATTTGTTTTTATAGATTTCGAATAAACTGTATAATTCGACATTAAAGACAAATTATTACTCACTAACGCATGATGTTTTATCTCCACGAAGACCATACCCTGCCTGGCAAGATGTACATTCGGCGATTCCATCATTGTCGCTATCTTCACAGGAAGCACAGTGTGTCAAAAACTGGCATGCTAGAGACAAAGACAAACACGATGGTACAATAAATAACAACTCAAATCAACTAGGTAACGGTGCGTTTAGGGTGTCACCATCCTAAAATGTAATGTGTTATGTACTACATATATTTTATTTTAAGTTTATATAGGTACATACTTGAGAGTCAATTATATGACTGTACTCACTAAAACAGCCAAATCCATCTTGTGATAACCCAAAACCATGGTTACAAGCGGTACATGTGTCGGCGATTGCATCACCTGTTGACTCTATACATTCCAAGCATTCGGGGTGTACAGAAGAACAACCTTAGGAAATAAAGTAAGAGTATGTTAGTCTTCTCAATTTTTATCAAAGAATTAGATATTTTCAAAATGGTACTGTGATTAATGATTGTGATTATTCCTGATTATTCCTGGTGGTAGTGGGGGTGTTAGACATTGTGATATATGTGTAAATTTGATCATGGTTTCGCATATTGGATGTTTGTTTTGTTGAATGCTTTTATCTTTTGTTGTCGGGTCGTGTTTGCTCTATTTTGTAATACTTTTGGCCTTTTCTCTTTTGTATTTTATATATTAAATAGTTGAGTAATTTACATTTTCATATTATATTTTAGAAACGTCGATATACATAGTATGGCATTATTGTATAAAATAATGTTGATATGTACTTATACATGAAGAACCATCTGCCTTTGGAGTATTTGCCTCTTCGCATCGCATGCAATGGTCCGCAATTTCATCATTATTCTTATCCTCGCAGTGCGTACAATTACCTATCGTGGAACAATCTGAAAATTAAGAAAATATTTTGGTTACTTTACTCATACAGACAGTGTTACTTAGAAATAGTTTCCTCATTTCTGAAAACGACCGTCTCACCTACACACATGGTCCTATCCTGACTAAGTCCCATTGTTGAATTGCAGACTAAACACTCGGCGATACCATCGTTATTGCTATCTTCGCATACTGTGCAATTTTCTGGACACTCTAAAAAGAATTGGTATTGGGAAAAGTATAATTTAATGGAATACGAATATCACACTACTATACCCCCATACTGTATCCTGTATTCCTTTAACCCTTTGCCTCCCACATTGTTTTTAGCAAGGTATTTCCCATAACCGCATTGTTTTAGCAATTTCAGAGAAAAGGGTAAAAAAATTGATAGAAAAACTAAATATTGAATATCTCAATAAGTTTTCGTCTAATTAATGTGAAATTTTCAGGAAAACATTATTAGGTGTTACTTAACTGATTCACATGTACTGGCGTTACGTGGCATAGGTTTTGCTATTATGACATCATCACAATGGTTTGGAACAGAATATAAACAGAATAATAGATGTCTGAGTTCTGATTATCTACTTCTACATTATAATTTCATGGTAAAATAAAAGCACGAATTGAAACTTTACGGGTTTGTTTTGACTACACAGATATTTATTATTTTTTATACAGAATAAAAGTAATGCAAACATCATGATAGCGAAATAGTATTGCTACACTAACAGAGTGATGCAACTACTTACCGCTTACTGAATTTTAGAGCAAAAAGTCTGAAATTCTAAAATATTGAATATCTTAAAAAGTTGTAGTCAGTGTAAAATGTACAGGAAATCATAACTTTGTGTTACTTGTTTTAATGTGGTGCCTCGCCAGGGTTTAACTTGACAGGTTATAATATTACATAACAATAAGTGAAAATAGCACTGGAACTATATGAATTTTGCCCAAGACAAGAAAGTGTGCACTAGAATGCACTAATAAGAATATTGTACAGGCTACAGGGAAGTTGCAAATGGAGGACGTTTGTTTATTTCCATAGTTCTGAATGTATACTAGATTTTACACATATTCTAAGTGTTCTACTATACATTGTATAGATTCATCGAGCAGTTTGCAACGTATTATTACCAGAAAAGCCCAATGAACAAAGATAGAGAATACCCGCTCCATTTGCAACTTAACCGTACCCTGTATCATTTTTAAATGTGGTCACGTGGTAGGGTAGTGTGTATATGCGCATTATATTTCTTCATAATACAAGTATGTATAGATGATTTAAAATGCTAAACCAGATGCTTATACCTGTACAGGTGAGACCATCTTGACTAACACCATAGTAAGGCAAACATTCTTGACACATTGATTGTCCAAGTGGGTTACCGAGACACGTTGAGCAATTTCCAGGACACTCTGAAATAAGAGATAAGTTCAATTCATTCTAGTCAATATTCAGAAACTCCAGACCTAGGTTGACGTATCCATGCTTGAATAACAATATTTGTTTCAAATAAAACGTTTAACCATTACCTATACAGCCACTCGTATCGAACAGAATACCGAAGCCATCTTTACACTTTATGCAAACGTCTGTTGTGTTATCGTTCGTTGTTTCCTCACATTCTGTACAGTTCGTATCCAGGCTTGCACATGCTACAACAACAGGAGAAAGTTATGAAGTGTCTGAGTAACACGGAGGCAAAATAGATAGGATAGACTAATATCGAATATCATTTTGACTAACATGCGAAAGTACCAACAGAATCACACCGTTGCACTAGAGAAACTAGATTTTGGAACGAGCTTGCGAACAAAATTTCAAATCAAAATAATGCAATTAATACGCCCAATGTAGGAAGGATTTTACCAACACATTCTCGTCCGTCAAGTCGAGGTGTCTTCCCTGGACCGCACTGATAGCAAATATCAGCAATGTTGTCGTTCGTTGTTTCCTCACACACGTTGCAATCTGCTATTGTGTAACACTCTACAAAACGATAATACTAATTGCTCAGTTATAGTTAGTTCTAAAAAACTTCGAATGTGTCCCGGTGTGAATGAAATGATGGTCCCCCAGGGATTATGGTCACCTTTCTTAACGGCCCTTACTGGCCCTGATTGCGTATAATATAATGAGAACAGGATCTTAAGAGGTTCTGGACAAATCATTTGATTCTGGACTTGTCATATTTTTTTTTCAACGAAATCACATCCAAGGGTTGAATTTTTATTAGCTATTTAGAGAGTGAGTCCTGCCTAGTATTAATTTCAATAAAAAAAGTTAAAATAGAACCCTATTTGAGAGTCAATCTAATACTTACATTACATTGATAAATTAAGGCAAATCCTGAAATATTTTTAAAGTGCATTTTTTTATGAAATATTATCCAGCAAGTATTTAAATGAAACGGTCTTATTCAAATACAAATCATAACATGATATTTTTCATGAAACATTTTTCAATGAAATTCAATTGAAGGGTCAAGATAAAACGAGCTAATTTAGGTGAAAACCCTTACATGATGATGTGTTTTCATAACTTCTTTCATAAAATTCCATCAAGGGGTGAAGATAAAATGATCGAATTTAAGTGATTTAAGGATCACGAGAATATGTTTTCTTTGATATTTTCTATGAAATCCCATCCAATGGTCAAGGTAAAATTTTGATTTTGATTTGGTCACGTGTTCGAAAGATCCATATAAGGCCCATAGAACCATATAGGAACGTCATTTTGAATGTCACGTGATAGATCCATATAAGGCTTTTAGAACCATTTATGGAAAGATGAGGGAAGCCCCTGACCCCTGTTTCACGATTTTTATGCACTTCATTATTGTACCGAAGTTTGCCGATTCGATTCGTCGTATTTCGGAATCCTGGTGACAATTTTATACTCCATTGGAGTATTTTTGACCTACTTCTTATGACGGAAATTCCCGAACCTTGTTCGGATTAATCCGGATTTTCTGACCTACTTTATCTACCGAGATTTCACGAGTTAACATTCGTCTCATTCCGGAATCCTGGTGACAATTTTATACTCCATTGGAGTATTTTTGATCTACTTTTTCTGGATTTTGCCCTACTTATTATATCTTGACAACAAGCAAATCAAAAAGTTCGACATGAACGGGTCTCGATCAACTAACCTAGACTATGGAAGCCAGGCACGCTAACCATTAGGCCAACGAGCTACCGATATGAAAGAACAAAAGTATTATACATTTATACCGAGCGTCAATTCAAAATGATCCTCACTTTTGTCTCAACTTAAATACGACTCGTCAGTTGTATCCAGAATAGTAGAACGCCTATGGCGCTAGTGAATGACCAAGTCCCAGGTGAGTGGTTCGTATCCCTCCGTGATATACTATTTTTGTTTTATTAAATACGACAGAAAGGAGCAAGGTGTAGGTTGAAAACAAGACGTTAGTTTGTTTCAAAACAGTTTGGAAACATTAATCTCTGATAATTTAAGGTTTTCCACTCCTGAAGGGCCTCTAGATCTATGAAATTCAATAATCCACTCAGTAAAAATACGATTTCTCTGCAACCTGATGTCCAATCAAGATCATTCAAATATATATGTGTTCCTGACACGTTTGGGCGTCCGGGAATAAAATTGCTTGTGAAAACTATTTACAAAAGTGTTCCAGAGACCCTTATCTACTTGGCTAAGGTTTTATTTGAAGATACATTGCCTTATTAGCAGGTAGAGGGGCATACAGAACACAGAAGCAAATGCTATGTTGAAAATTTTCTATATTTCAATTTGAACCTGTGTTTACATGTCACGTAGGCCAGTGTTTTATATGGGGATTATATGTACTTTCCTTGTTTACATGAACGTAAATCATTACATGAAATCTGCATTCTTCTGGGTTTCATCTGGGTTTGTATTGTCTTATTGGGGCTTTTCGACTTTAAAACAAACCCTACCTAAATGGATTGTTACTCGGGAACGTTTTTGTAAATAGTTATTATAAACAATTCTGAAAGAATATCACATATTTTTGTCTTCCCGATTTCAGTCATGAATTACGTCAATTTCTCGTGCAAACATTGGGTAGACGTTGTCATAACCGGATGCCCGAACGTGTCAGGAACATATAGATACTCGAATGATGTTGATTGAACATCAGGGTTGAGAGAAATCGTAATTTTACTGAGTGGCTTCACGAAAAAAAGCAGCACTTTAGGCCACCTAAATACAACTCGTCAGTTGTATCCAGTTGGAATCCCAGCGTAATGTTTTTAATTATATGGTTGTGCTTTGATTTTTCGCTGAAAACATTTATAACTACGTCAACTTTATATTAAAACATTTATTATCTTTTCAGTTGTATTAAAATGTAAAATATGATATATGTCAGCTTATTGCTTTCTGGAGAACAGTCAAGGTTTAAATTTGGTACAATGAATCGGACACTCATGTAAATCGACATGGTTATAACATTGAACTCAATGCAGTAAATTAGTTATTTCTATGAATCACAGCGGGATTGGTTTCATTTTATATGATTGCCAACTCTGGCGGTTTTTTTGTAAATGCTTTTGACCGCTGTAAATGTGAAACTGATACAGTATTATTCAATTGTTTTATGTCTTGGTCACATTTGCTCCGATTTTCACTACGGCGCCCGGCCGATTGAGTATTGTGTTCAGAAATGTATTCAATTTTGAACAAAATACTCGCAGCAAATGTGATCCAGGCATTACACAGCGGTATTTCAAACATACTATTGTTGCTTAACCACGACCTAGCCAATTTTAAAATCATACTCCTTAATTATTTAAATCCCAGTAAACGATCAATGTCTAGGTATTTGGCGTTTGATGATACTATGGCCCTTGGCGAATTATGATTAGATGAACCGAGGTCAACATTAATGTTTCTTGTACAAGGTCATCCCAAGGTCTAAGATAAATATTTAGGTATTTTACGTTTCAAGACCTTTGGACAAATTCGATTCAACGATGTATTAAAGTTAAAATGTATACAGAGATAAAATAGGTTATCTCCTATCGTTTCCTTGTGTATACGTTTATGTCTCTGCGTAATAACGCAGATGCGAGCAGGTAGTTACCAATCTCACCACAAGGTGGCTCGTTCGGGTCAGATAGCATGGCGGGTATGGTAGAAAGTTCCCTTTAAATTTAAGTACATCTGTTTTCGTGGTTCAATTTTCATATCACCCTTAAAATGTATCTAATAGCAATGCAATTAAAATATGTCCAGTGAACGAAAATGCAATACAAGAATAGATATTTCACTTTTTGTGATTTTGTAACAATGGGGTTATTTTTTGTATATGTAACATGGTCATTTTCACATTTTATATTATTACTGTTCATATTAATCAATCCCTATTCATCTCAATATAACAGGTCCCTAAGTAGGTTGTTTGCAGTTTTACTCTTTTAATACCATGTTCACTTTTCACCTTGAGTTATTCAACTATGCAAACTGTGTCAGTTTTATATATCTATTGTTCCCCTATATGGTCTTTCTCACTCACATGTAGCTGAGTTTGCATTGGGTGTTGGCTTGTCAGTAGTTGCTGTAAGAGTTCATGTTGTACATTACAGAGCATTGTATTTTAAACATTGAAGTTTGAAATATACTATTTTATATATATTTTAATTTGAAGTTCGAGTTATTTTATTGCCACCCACGGGCCTTCCACACGCCCATTAACATATAACGCTTTGAAACAACTTTAAAAAGTGAGCAATGTCAGTGTTGTGATAATAGAGAATTTTCGTTATAAGTTGTTTCAAAAACTTATACGTATACTTATAGTTTAAAGGGTCTTGTCGAACTAAAATCAATTCAAATTGATTTTCATAATCTGTTCCAAGTGGGGCATAACTATTCCCGATATAGTCAAGCTTCATCATCAACTAGGGACTGCGAATACAATGTCCTTTGCTAGTGTCAATTATGAACACGATAAACTAAATTCTAGTTGACGGGTCCTTGTAGTGTACGATAAACAAGACCCTTTAAAGTGAATCACTACACGAACGAGTCGATCATTTCAAAGTTCTCATGAAATTATAAGGTCAATTTTTAAGTTTTTACGTATAAAAGGGCCTTTATACGCAGATTATAAACTTACAGAGTTGGATCTCCGCATAGTATATGTGTGGACCTACTGACCAGAATGGCTTATTAAAATTAATCGGCTGAATAGGCATAGTATCCAATCAAATAGCTCGACTCATTCATTAGCTGAACTAATTCTCCCTTCGTTATTTATACAAGGTGATTCAAAACGATCATCTACAAAAATATATTTGAGAGTAGATAAATCTGTAAAACCCGTGTGCTATATCAGCCTATTTGATTCTAGAAAACACATATGACACAACTAAACATGCTTTACATCAAGGGGGTACGGATGGTATGCCATTGGCCCTTTTTATTACCGTCCTAGGAGATATTTCCCGACGAATTAGGAAATTATGAAACACCTTGTTTATTGGGTTTATAAGTATAAGTATACGTATAAGTTTTTAAAAAACTTATAACGAAAATTCTCTAATAACGCCCCTCATACCTATTTATTACAGGTCGTGTAGACCATTGTTGCCTGATTTATAGCAAAAACATTGACTTTTGCACGTTGATGATGATGATGATGATGATGCGCCTTTTATAATAGATCTCATATCTTAGAAGCGTATCAGTTCAAAAAATACTAGAAGACCTTACATATTTTGTCATGCACTGCGCCTATTCATTTGGCAATTCAGTTGTAAATTTTATCTTGAAAAAAATAAATCTTCCAAATTTGTTGAGTTTTCTTGCAGAAATCGCCTACCCCCCCCCCCCCCCCCCTCCATCCATTTTGTATGATCACAAGGCGTGATTTAAGCTGCTGATATTCTTCTTTAAACGAGTCGGATTTTCAAAATCTATAAGTTGGACTCCCTTTATAGTAGTTCAACAAGTTAAACCCAATACCACGGCTTTCATTTATTAATCTGAATGTTCTTGTTGCCGTGGTTGGGTTTAACTTCCGTGCTATGCTTTCATTTGTTGCAAATTCTCACTATCAGTTATTAATTAAACGCGCATGGAATTCCATGCGGTACCATAGGCCACCATTAAATTTTTTGCATCAAGGGCCGAATAGGCACGGACGTTAAACCTAGGGCGGGCCACAAGATATGTCAGATAAGAAATAAGGCCCAGACTAGGTTTAACTTGTTGAACTACCTTTATAGAAGCTTTGAACTGAATTTGCACTGCTTAATGCTGAAATTTTATTGTTTATCCATACATTTTAAGAAAAAATGTATAAAAAAAGATGTTAAAGCCAAATGTTGCCCTAAAAATTCAGAAAATGTAAAAAATTTCGAATTTTCTATGTACAGGCCTTGTTGCCCCTTTAAGAAGCTTAATATGTAAATTATCCAATCAAACACTTCGTCCACCATTTTGAAACACTAATCAATCCAATCTGTGCTAGCGATTCATAGGGCGAGCCAGTGGGATATTTCCAGGGTTCATACACACCTGGAAATGTCAGGGAAATTGACTTGATTTTCCAAGTGCTGGAAATGTCAGGTAATTTTAAAATTAGGTCAAAAGGGCCAAAGATGACCGGGAATTTTGAAACGGTAGACATGTCAGGGAAATGTCAGGGAAATTTGTATCAGTGTTGAAAAAATAATGTTCCAGAGATTAATGTTTCCAAACTGTTTTGAAACAAACTAACGTCTTGTTTTCAACCTACACCTTGCTCCTTTCTGTCGTATTTAATAAAACAAAAATAGTATATCACGGAGGGATACGAACCACTCACCTGGGACTTGGTTATTCACTAGCGCCATAGGCGTTCTACTATTCTGGATACAACTGACGAGTCGTATTTAAGTGGAGACAAAAGTGAGGATCATTTTGAATTGACGCTCGGTATAAATATATAATACTTTTGTTCTTTCATATCAGTAGCTCGTTGGCCTCATGGTTAGCGTGCCTGGCTTCCATAGTCTAGGTTAGTTGATCGAGACCCGTTCATGTCGAACTTTTTGATTTGCTTGATGTCAAGATATAATAAGTAGGGCAAAATCCAGAAAAAGTAGATCAAAAATACTCCAATGGAGTATAAAATTGTCACCAGGATTCCGGAATGAGACGAATGTTAACTCGTGAAATCTCGGTAGATAAAGTAGGTCAGAAAATCCGGATTAATCCGAACAAGGTTCGGGAATTTTCGTCATAAGAAGTAGGTCAAAAATACTCCAATGGAGTATAAAATTGTCACCAGGATTCCGAAATACGACGAATCGAATCGGCAAACTTCGGTACAATAATGAAGTGCATAAAAATCGTGAAACAGGTGTCAGGGGCTTCCCTCATCTTTCCATAAATGGTTCTAAAAGCCTTATATGGATCTATCACGTGACATTCAAAATGACGTTCCTATATGGTTCTATGGGCCTTATATGGATCTTTCGAACACGTGACCAAATCAAAATCAAAATCAAAATTTTACCTTGACCATTGGATGGGATTTCATAGAAAATATCAAAGAAAACATATTCTCGTGATCCTTAAATCACTTAAATTCGATCATTTTATCTTCACCCCTTGATGGAATTTTATGAAAGAAGTTATGAAAACACATCATCATGTAAGGGTTTTCACCTAAATTAGCTCGTTTTATCTTGACCCTTCAATTGAATTTCATTGAAAAATGTTTCATGAAAAATATCATGTTATGATTTGTATTTAAATAAGACCGTTTCATTTAAATACTTGCTGGATAATATTTCATTAAAAAACGCACTTTAAAAATATTTCAGGATTTGCCTTAATTTATCAATGTAATGTAAGTATTAGATTGACTCTCAAATAGGGTTCTATTTTAACTTTTTTTATTGAAATAAATACTAGGCAGGACTCACTCTCTAAATAGCTAATAAAAATTCAACCCTTGGATGTGATTTCGTTGAAAAAAAAATATGACAAGTCCAGAATCAAATGATTTGTCCAGAACCTCTTAAGATCCTGTTTGAGGGAAAGAGTTGTATTTAAGTCACCATATATATAAATCAATGGAGAGTAGGGCCATACTAGTAATTTGATAGGACCTCCTACCCTTTTACACCGGGTATGCCCAAACTGACAAAAAGAACTAAAGATAACCAGTGCAGTCCAAACTATTATCAGTGGTATATTGGTTATACTGAATTACAAGCACTGCTTCTATGGTATGCATTGATACGATAGTTAATATTTACCGACACATGTCCTGTTGTTAAGCCTTGGGGTCCTTCCAGCAATACAACCCAAGCAAGTATCAGCCACTCCGAATCCCCCACTGTCTGTACATTCAATACAGTTTGAGATCACCGTACAATCTTAGATCAAAAACATTAATTTAATAAAATATGTTCTCTATATCAGTGTAAAGAGCAAAAGAGGGGAAATGAAATTGAATTTTTGGACGACACAGAAACATCCATAACGCTCGTAAACTTAACACAAAAGATAACACAATAGAACAAACGAGTTAAGAGGTCTGATAAACATACTTTGTAAACGTACATGTAATAAAAGTTGCGCTTACGGTATCCTTTTTACATTTATAAAAATATAACAATATACACATTTTTACATGAATAGAAGACAACGCGTAGAAGATAAATCATTAGAGATTGCTCACAATGATTAACAAATAAATCATCTATTATTAACTAAAACCGTTTTTTCTTTCTCGTGACAAATCTCAAACGAGATTAAGTTTATTTACGTAAGATGAACATTAATTTCAATTCCTACTTACCAACACAGGTGAGTCTATCATTACTTGGACCAAATCCAATGATGCATTCAGTACATTCTCCAACCCCGTCATCATTTCCATCCTCACATCGTGTACAGTTTGTTGGACACACTGCAACAAAAGGCCGCATTAAAATCACATATAAACTCCTTATTTCGAGCTTTGCATTCGTAATACTATTTAGATGGTTTTGGGGGTTTGTGAATGTTGTACACAAAAACTATATAATGCGCTTCGAACCCTCTATCATGTTTTGAGGCCTCTACAGATATCGAGTATTTGTAGTAAATAGGCAATTTATAAAGCCAACGTTTTAAAAGATGTATAACACTCATACATTTAGTGTCGATATACCTCAAATATTTACGTATCTGAGCGCATTTACCAGCTAAACTATATTGAGAATACATGGAATAGAAGATACTATTTCTGATCACGCACCTACACATCCTGAAGAATCACTTGTTAGTCCATAGCCGCTTTCACATGCAATACATTCAGACAAACCGTCACTGTCGCCATCCACACAAGACATGCAGTTCATGGGACAAGCTGTGGTGAACATGAAACATGGGGAATCGTGTGCTTCTCATAAACTTCCATTGGTTAAACTTGTAAATTAATGCTTCTTGATAATATTTTACTACATTGATGCTAGTCTGGTCATTTCGATAGATTTAGTTTTGTTGTCCAAGCCAAGAAGTTTATACATTTGGTAATAATGTATTTTCATACTATCAGTATTGTTTTAGAATACATCTAAATGGATAAATGAGATCACACAAAAATGCCTACCGACACAGCCTTCGCCATTACCCTTGGGCCCATAACCAGGAAGACACGCTTTACATTGAAAGTCTTCCTTGGTACAGTTGTCGCAGTTAGAGATGGAAGTACAAGCTAGAAATGTTACAACATGAATAATAATCAACGAAGTGACAAAAAACCATCTGATGCAGCAATATACTTAATTTAGGTAAACTTCTACATTATACTTTGAGTTCTATCCCATTGAAGTGTCTTATACTGGACAAGGTACGTCCATATACTTTGAAAAAGATGTTTAAAAGGTAAACTAAACAGTAATAAGACTTTACCCGTATATTGAAGAGATGCCACATTGTTAATCGGGTATGTACAGAGGACGAGAAGAGTTTCAAGAGATAAAAGATGAATCCACTTCATATTTTAATTCTGAAATTAAGAAAATAACTTATCTAGTATTACCTTAACGTAATATATGACATTTTTTATGTAACTATATCATAATTTTCCACTGGTAACAAAAATATTGTTTGAGACGATGTTCTATGAACATCACAGTAACTATGGAATATAAAACGAGATATTGTGTAGAACATGACATGAAATAAAATAAGCATTCAATTGGGATTACAAAACTCATAAGATCAATTTGAAATTACATTTACCTTATAATCGCTCCGATTTGAAAAATCCTAGTATCTACTTGATGCGTACACGTTTAGTGAACTGCTCTTCATGTTCAGCCTTTCGTTTTCTAATAACTAAGTGAGACTTAAGAATCTGTCCCATTTAAATCAAATTGGTCAATTGTTGAGATAGTACGTTTTAAGAACTATAGTAGCGACTAACAAACAAAACAAATTGTTAAACAATGCATTGATTTATTACATCCTATCCCATTGTTGTGATTAGCTTGATCAACAAACATTTTTCGGAGAAGACAAATCAAAGTTTACTTTTTTCAGTTGAACGTTATTTGTATTTCATTTAGGTGTACACATGTGTAATTCTGATATACATGTTCGAGACGTATACGTTTTATTTTTTCACTGCAATCTTCACTGCTTAAAGCAAGTCCATTGTAAGAGCGAGTCGTTCACATAAGTAGTTGATATACCCCAAACACTAGGCACATGACCCAAGAACTAACGACTACCCTCGATACCGCGTTGGTCTTGTCTGAAACGAAATGTCATAAAGCAATTAAAATGCATATTCATTTAGCAAAATGGAGTCGGCGATGGAAATGTCCGAACCCCGGCCTACACGTACTGAATTAATCTGTTTCAGAAGCAAGAAAAGGTACATGCACTAGGGTTGATCACCAAGTGTTTTGCACTGTTTGCTCAATATTTTTTTAATGAATATTGTTCATATTTTATCTCAACCATGTTTATGTAAAAATGCACAACACGATTTACATATTAGATGTCGCATCGTCTCGAGTTTTTGTGTTCAGTCGTATCACATTGTATTGTAATGTACACTCCCCTCCATAAGTTTGGCAACCTTTTTTCCCCCATTGAACTACGTGTTAAAGCCTCTTTACCCTTGAATTTTTATTTACTTAACCTGCGATGAAAATACTTATACTATTGATGGAAACGTAATTTGACTTTAATTCCAATACCTCAAAATTTTCTCAATTTTTTTCCTCAATTACAATAGGTCGAGAATTGATGATAAATTTGATAAATTTTTGAAAATCGTCATTCCCATGTTAACCAATGGGAAATGATAGGTTTGCCGCAAGTCATATGACAGAATATCCATCCATCCGAGTCCTTGCATAAAATACAAGTTAGGCAGGCAATTGAATTTGCTAACTTTATTTAACAAAAAATTGATATGTTTCTTCAGGTTAAACAAAGTTATAGGGCTTTAAAGTCAAAATTGTTTTTCAAAAAACCTCTCCCATTGAAATAACACAGGAGGCGAAAAATTATTTTCAAAAATGACTTTGAAGCGCTGTAACTTTAATATTCATCAAATAAACTAAACACTTAGTGTTCAAAAAAGTTAGACAATTCAATTTTCTATATGAAAATATTTTTGCTGAATCTTTTACTGAAAAGATATCCTGATTTCTGATTTGCCCCGAACCCTCCATTTCCCATTGGATTACATGGGAATGACGATTTTCAAAAATTCATCAAATTTATCATCAATTTCCGACCTATTGTAATTGAGGAAAAAAATTGAGAAAATTTGGAGGTATTGGAAATAAAGTCAAGTTACGTTTTCATCAATATTATTAGTTATTTCATCGCCGGTTAAGTAAATAAAAATCCAAACGTAAAGAGGCTTTAACACATAGTTCAATTGGGAAAAAAGGTTGCCAAATTTATGGAGGGGAGTGTAATGTAATGTAGTGTGCAATACAGGATATATTCTGCTCGAGAAATTCCGTATTGGAACGAGACGAAGTCGAGTGCCAATACAGAATATCGAGACAGAATATATCCTGTATTGCACTTTAAATCATTCAATAACGTTTTTATTGTGTGATCCTCTGTATTGCTACTGAGATCGTTCCCTCCGTACCGATATTTTCTGTATTGCGACGGAGATGATCAATGGGAATAATCTCAGTAGCAATACAGATTGGTACAGCACAAGAACTGACCAATCAGAAGGCTTCATTTTACAGAGCATACGATAATGTGTTATATTGTATAATATAGCAACGACATGCTTGACAAAGATAAACGTACCCAATTGACATTGATTTGTGTCACATTTCATTCCATCTGTATTGCACGAGCAGACACCACATGGCCCAGTGTTATCCATTTGCCACTGTGAACCCAACGGATAAGTCCTACCAAGGTACTTACATTGCGGAGTACAGTTGATGTTACTGCACACTGGTCCATTTAGGGTACACAGACAGCTATTACAACCATCCTCAGCCAAGAAACGGTCCCCATACTTGTAACCTTGGGCGTTATAGCTACAGTCTCCCTTTTGAGAGGGATCTTTTGGTGTCGGCCGAGCTGAAGGAATCGGGTCAATTATTGGTTCATCTGTAGGATCAGGTGGACCTGGAATAACAACGTGTACAGTGGAGCTTGTGTTAAGGGGTCTTGCGGCATTCTGATTTCATCTATTATCTATTTGAAAATCTAGCATCATATTATTAATTTTACCCCATGGATAGCACGGTCCATCTTTCACATTGCCGTTATAGCAGCAACGACATTCACCGTCATCCAGCTTTCTGCATTCTCCTTCCTTCAACCATTCGTTAGTACATTGTGGACTTGATGTAGGGCCTCTTGGTGTCGTCCAGCTAGGTTCAGTGTTGGCACATTTTGACTTTGAGCAAACAAGCTTGGCATTCTCGAGACACTGGCATGTTTTACATCCTTCAAGTATATCGAATTTCGTACCGATCTTGTAGAATTTACCATCATATTTACAAACCTTTGGAAACGATAGTTTGCATTCTATACCTGTTTTCTTGCAATAGCACACTTTATTCTTATTGTCCGTTTCGATAATATCTCCGACTTTGAATTTTCTGTCACCAAGTTTGCAAACTTGCTTTTCACAATCGTCCTTTTCGGAACATTGAATACCCTCCTCCGTGCATTTGCATGAATAACAACCATCTCTCCCCTTGAACACGTCACCAATCGCATACTTTTTGTCCTCATGCACGCACGCTCCACAGTCAACGATATCTTCACATTTCACTCCCTCCGTCGTACATTCACACTCGGCGCAAACATCTTTGAAGGTGTCCCCTACTTTGTAATCCTTGTCGCCAATTGTGCACCCTTTGCAATATTTCTTTGTGCAGTAAAGTCCTTCTTCAGTACATTTGCAAGTGTTGCAATTATCGCCCATGGGGAAAACGTCGCCAATTTTATATTTCTCGTCTTCATATATACAGTATTGTGGCGATGCCTCTGTTGTCTTCTTACATATAACCCTTTCGATACACCTTACCCCTTCCTGTGTACATGTACATTCACGACACTCACCCATGTTGAAAGAAACTCCAAGTTCGAATTTGCGGTCCCCGACTTCGCAATACCTTCGTACCTGGGTTGTTGTTTCACAAAACCTTTTCGTACAGATTACTCCTACTCTTTGGTTATCTACATATCTGCAGATACACTCGTTGCAACCATCTTCAGCAGGGAAGCTGTCTCCAACTTCGTAAACGTTGTCGTTATACATACATACGGGAGGTCGTCGTGTGGTCTTCATACAATCAATTTCTGTACAACTTACAGATGGTCGATTGTGCTCATTTGCTTCGCATATACACTTATTGCAACCATCTTCGGCGGGGAATCTTTCTCCAACTTTATAAACTTGGTCATTGTACCTACATAAAGGAATTTCATGCGTTCGGCGCGTGGTCTTCATACAAGCCATTTCTGTGCAATGAACAGACGGACCATGGTGCTCATTCCCCTCACATGTACATTCATTGCAACCATCTTCGGCGGGGAATCTATCGCCAACTTCGAAGTTTCGGTAGTTATATCTACAGAATTTTGGCTTATTGGTCGTTGAAATTGCGCATCGGTTTTTTCCACAAGTCACAGTTGGTTGATTTTCATCACTCATCAGACACTGGCATTTGATACACCCCTCTTCAATTTCGAACTCTTGACCTAGTCGATATAGTCTACTTCGGAATGCACATTGTCTGGGAGCACAATTGTTATCTGTGCATGCAACACGGACTTGTCCCCTGGCTTCTACGCATTCACATTGACCACAACCATCTTCTGGAGGAAACGTCTGCCCGGGTTGGTATTCACGCCCGTTATACTCACATACGGGTAGAAGGCGCGGCTCTAAATGTAGAGGTTTAGACATTAAAACATAAAATGCTATACTAAAATGGTATTTTCATTCAACAGTTTTTATATAGTATTTGTGGGTGTAATACGTATACATACATTGGGCTTTATGTAAAATCAAAATGTATATATAACCCTCTGGGTGTTTAGCAATGGGTTTCCATATGTTTTCTGAAAACTAAATACTTTTTCTAAAATGAGAACTCTCTAAAACTCTTCTTGATGATAATTTAGAATGTAAAGATTAGAAGGAGAATGAAAGAAATGTAAAGAAAATAAAAAATACATTGTAACATTTTGATAGTACAGCTATGCTCATTTTATTTCATGTAAACGTTTCCAAGAAAGTATTTGTAAATTGCATTACCGGTCGGATGTGGAGGATCGATGCACGGTTCTTCGTTGCAGTCGCTCCCGTGTGTTGTACATATGCATATGCTACAACCGTCCTCTCCAATGAAGTCATCTCCGACGTGGTACCCCTTTCCTCCAGAGTAACAGCGCTCGGCAGCTGATGGCAGCGCTACAGCTACATACATATTGCACATAGTTCAAATTACAATAATGAACGGTAATCTGGCAACATAACAATGGAAACAGTCAATGCCATCTATTTTGCAAAGTATAGATTATTCGAACAAGCACAAATGTTTCAAATAACTTATCAGACTCACGAAAACAAATCGGTCTGTCTCCTTCTTTAATGATTCTGCATGTTTCTGATCAAACCGACAATAAGTGAAGAAGAAAATCATTTACCTGACAAAGCTAATAACCAGTAACGCAACCACCTATTCATCTTAAAAGTTGTCGTCTTAATAACAATTTAAAGCTTTGGCAGATGGTCTTATGTTTTCTGTCAGCGAAGAGGTTTTGATAGGACAAGTACCTGTTATACCAGATAAAATTTGTCAATGAGCATCTTCAATAGCTGTGGCTCTGACATTGTGCCATTTGTTATCTACTCTGATATCCAATGGACATTGTTCTGTTATTCACTGGTGTCATCATTTTGCATATTGTTTGTATTTTTAATTGACATTTTATTGTATAACCTGGCACGTTGGGATACTGTATAAGTGGTAATTTTGCCTAATCATTTCATTTGCCTATTTCCTAATTTTTGCCAGGTTCGGAAAATTAAATGTCGGAAATATTGTCTTTATAATGTTATCCAATGGGAGGTTTCTTGTCAATAGGAAAATTAAAATTAGGAAAATGATGAAATTTGACCATTCGGAAAATTAACCACTCGGATTAAATACCACTTATACAGTAATCAAATGGCAGCGCTTCAATCAGGATCATTGAAGCTGCTTTTAAATGAAATAGCAAAAGTTTTTTAAGGTAACGGTAAAGGTAATCAAAAGTACGAAAATGGTAGCCATATTTTTTGATAAAGTCACAAGATTTTGTATATGTTTTCCTTGTATGTGAATGTATTTCTTTGACTAAAGAGACATGTCAAAGTGAACATCACATTTAAAGGCACTTTTCGTAATTATGGATTGGATGTGCATGGGTCCACAAATCTTGCATGGAGACTGTGAAATGAGGCCAATTTTTGGAAGTTTCAGGAAGTAGCCTTGTAACAGTCACACATTTGCAAGACACATTCCATGCCCCTTTGGTGTTCCTTGGTAAGATAAGATGATTTGTGGAAATTTTGAATTCTTTCAAATGTGACACTGAAGCACTCTTACTCTTTGACGTTTTCAAAAGTTAACCTCACTTCACAGTTTTCATGTTAGCTTTAGGGGCTCATATCTACAATTCTCGTGTTCCATTACACAATTTTTGATTGAGTCACAACAAAAGCGGGAATTCCCTTCCCTCTCAATTCATTTTTAGTTTTGCAGAAAACATGGCCATGTCACCCAAACTGAGGAGAAGGAATAGTAGGATTTAGATTCCAAGAGAAAAGCAAGCTTCAGTACTGTAATTAGATTTTGTGTGATCAACATTTCAAATTGGAACTTTTGAGAGAACGTTTTGCCATATAGTTTCACTAATATGTAAAGTCATGAAATCTTTGCATTATGTTTGTCTGATGTTCAACAATCTTTACGTAGCGTTGGAATTGTAATTAAAATGTAAAAGAGTCTCCTGATGTACTGCCCGGGGATTTGAACCCATGCTCTATGGACGGCAATTTCCAGCTCGCGGAGGTTGTTAGTTTGGAGATTCTGTATCTGGCGATCAATATAATGCCACATATTTTCAATAAGTGATTGGTCTGCGGAATATGGGGGCCATCTCATTTTGTTAACGTCGCTTTGAAAGAACCACTCTTCAACTTGATTCGCAGTATGAACGGGAGCGCTGCTCTCTGTCACCGAATATCTATTCAATGGATGGTAGAAGGTTCTCCTGCAAAATATCTATATATACCCTCCCGTGATGACTCCAGGGACCGTGACTAGCTCCCTAACACGATGATACCCGACGCACCCCCAAAACATGAGACCACCTCGTCTTACAGTTCGTCCCATGTCGAGGCACTCTGGGTTGTATTTCTCAGCATTTGTGCGCCACAATATTGTATCTCGTTTCATCAGAAAAACTACTTTACACCAATGAGTATTAACATTCCAAAGCCGGACATTTGCCCATTCCAATTGTCGTTGTCGTATGATGGGGGAAGTAATAGGCTTTGTCTTGGCTATTCGACCTTACAGACCTCTGTTATGTAACTTGAAATATTAAAGACATTTTATAGAGCATATAAAACTTTAAAACAAAACCAGTATTGTCGGCAATAGTTAGCAATAATTGCGTAAAGTTGATGAATATTTTCGAGAAGTTCGTCAAAATTAAAGTATGAAAGATAAAAAGTGACAATATTGCACCTTCTCCTGATAGTAGAGTAGCTTGCACGTATGTTAAAGTTCATCTGCCAGAAGGTTTTCAGTCTTGGGACTGTTGTCTTACGTTCAAGCCGGGTATGGTGGACAAGGGGGCGGTCCTATCTCAATGTAGAAATGTAACGCCTTCCAGAGCTGTGTCCCTCCCTGTTTGACCCTGTATTTCGAAATCGGTTGATGGTTTTTGATATTGTGCCCTTGCAGCGATTCAGTGTTAGACCAATATATCGCAACGTCCGACCCTCATTGCGGAGGGCAATAACGGTTGCCCGTTCATCACGAGTAAGCTGACGTGCAGACCCCATGAGAAATGAGCGAAATGTCAACGCATGTTTCATGTGTCATAGGTGTATCAAGACAGTGATCAAATCACTCATTCACTGTCATGCATCATTGAATCAATTGTTCAGAACTCATTTCACCAATAAGGATCAAAATAATATATCTCACCAAACCGGTATTCTATTTTAAAAAAGGGCACTCCAAATTTGTGACCAAATCATGTATCCTCGTCATAGCGAACGAAATAAACCATACAAATGCACTAATGCATTCAATAATTGTAGTTTATAAAGATTACTTTATATATCACACATCCATCTTTTCTAAAATATCATGAAAAAATTATTTTTTGAAAAATACTGATTTGATTCTTCTACCATCCGGAAATTGTTTGATGAATTTACATGTATAAAAAGATTGCCAAACTTATAGAGGGGAGTGTAGGTCCAAATAACTTTTGCTTGGCAACTTTAAGTTGAATAATGCATATCAATCACTTGTACAAATGGGTTATCATATTATTTTAACATCCAATCAAATTTAGCCTGTTGATACGTTTAATCAATACGTCCATCCATTATTTTCATGTTATATTAATGTTAATAGTATTTAATGCAGTAATGTAGATATAGTTTTTCATTTATATACACTATAGACGTCGCTTTTATCTGGGAGTAAAACCTAAAAACTAGGAAATCAAATACCATGCCTTATTAGTCGTTTTATAGAGATGCTTATTTTAACAAAAATAAATTGCAAGCTAGCACTACAGAAAAAACTCGCTTTATATTGAATCTTCTTCCACATGGTCATGCAAAACAATTGATCACGTGGTATAAGGGTAGTGGACAACAACGTAAATCATAAAATTAAAAGCAAATCAATTGTGTCATCTAACTGCTAAGAGCACAGTTTGAATCACGTTTTTCTACTCATGATGTATCGGAGAACCTGTAGTGCCTCTGTCTATTCCTGAATGATGTTTACATAACAATTCAGAGGGAAAGGAAATTAAGATATAGCACTTTTGAAAAACGGAATAAGTACAGACAGACCCAAAAACTAGTTCAGCAATCTTTTCCAGATGTAAAACAAAAATACACCAAACAAGTCAATATATAATCTCAATGGTTGGTTTTGTATTTTGATCAATCAAGTAAACCACAATTATAGTTAGTTCAATCCGAATTAATGCAGCGTCAAACGATCTTACTTAACAATAATATGAGTGCAGTTGTTCCTTAACTTATAATTAATATAAAATGGTATAATTTTTCAACCATCGTGCGCCATACTGTTGGCTGATATTCTATGGATAATTAAAAACTATATTAATGTGCTGCTCTTTCAGATTTCACGTAAACAGGTACACGAGTTAGACATTAAATGAGCTTACAGGCTGGGATCTATAACTGTTGTCTAATGATGGTTCGTATTGATTACTCCTGTTGACAACTGGTCTCAAAGCACCTTTTGACTCTGAATAATCACTTTGCGTGTATGATGGTGAGGAGCTGTTAACTTCTCGTTGACCGTGATTGCCGTATTGTCTTGATGAATAATTTGTTTTATAAGAGGAATTTGTGTATGAATTAGCGCTCTCAGATCTTGATGTATCGTTTGAGTACCTTGTTAGTGTGTCGTTTCTACGACTTGGTCGAATGGGGTCACCTGGCCCTGTGTTGTTATTATGTCCACTTAATCCAGATTTGTGACTCTGTTGTTCGATGGTATGATGGTCCCTATAGTCGGGTGACTGTCTTTCATGTTTCGCTCTACTCGTTGGTCTCGATGGATTCCTTTGTTCATCAAACGCGGAGTCGCCTTCGTGTATCATATGATGTGTACGTCCACCCGCATTATATTTTATAGTCTGTTTGTCAAATGTGTCTATACTTTCGGGGTATCTAGGGGCGTCATACCTCGGTGATATTCCTTGGGCTCTATCAGCAGATCGGGGTGTAGGCACATCTCTATTATGGTTGTGCTCATTGTAGAAAACAGCATTTTCCTGACCTGAAATGATCAAGTTAATCATAAGACTGGCATGCTGTCATATTTAATTTACGTTAAAATGACCCGATTGCGTTCATCAGCAGGTATGGCTAAAATCATAGGAATGATATCCATTTTGAGGTCTACAATTGACCTGAGGTCATTCTTGTTCTTTGAATGAATTCATGATCTTTGGCGTATCCTCACAGATAGAAGTCAGATTGGGACACTTTGAACGACGTGTGCGGGTTTGCCTACAGCGCAATATTTGACACTGAAGCATATTCTTGTAACATTGTTTCTAGGCTTGTAGGAAATATGTAATAAAGATCAAGGGGAAATGACCTGAAATGACAACGTAATGAAGAAAATAGCGGCAGGGTCTCCATTTTTACTACCCTGTACGTGCCATAGTGGTGGTATCGAGTGACGTCTCTATTTTAAAAATACGACATGACATTTCAAAGACAACAATCTCAAAATAGCAAACAATCAAAACATGTTCCGCTGATGTGCAGACTGCTATACTGATTCTTCTTCCCTGTCACACTTACAGGGCTGCTTTCTTAGAATGACACGTACTGTATTCACGTCAACACATATATTTGACAGAGTAAATCCTGTTTACTCTGAATGAGTGAACATGATCATGAGACACAGATCTCAGTGTACACCATCATATACATCAGTGATCCAAAGACATGGATGATTACTCGCTAAAGATTTGAAATGTGGATAAGTTTATAATTTAAAGGATAAAACGGCTCAACTCACAATTGAGGAACTAATTTAAACCCTTTCAAAATTATAATGATCCATCTATGTTATCTATCCCAGTGATGCAAAATGGAAGAGCATTATTGATATTCCATTTTTCAGTAATTTTAGTTATGATCATACTTGAAAATATAAATTTCTAATTCATATTTCTGCTAAAAAATTAAAGCACGGGGTATTGAAAGCTGAAAAGTTTAATATCAGTATGAAATTATTGTTCCGAATTTTATCCTGACAACTGTATATTTTCATTAAGACCCCTAGTGTATGTTCACATTTTTGTTTAGAAAACCCTTCACATTTATTTCTTGGCTCACCTTTTATACAAGTATATTTAATACAGGGTGTTCCATATGTTTCAGGAATGATGCTGTGTTTTATTGGTTGTCTTTTCAATCTAACTGATTTTTTGACACAATGTGTCTAAACATGTTTTGAATAAGTTGGGAAAGTTTCATATCGTGAAGTTCAGTAGTCTTAATTATATGGTTGCTATAGTAACCTAGGGGTTGGGTAGGTGGAGCAGGTGTAACAACGCGCAAAATATATGAAATATTTATAAAAATAGTTTTTTTTGTACGAAGTGTGACTAAGTATTAGGTTGTCAGAGTTGGATCAAACTTGTCGGTAATTAAACAAAAATGAAGGTGGATTCCAAGAAAGTAAAAAAAATGTCACCACCCTTGATCACATCACAATTTAAACACCTGTCATGTCATGAGTCACGAAGGAGAATAAACACAGGTAATTTTGGACGAGCGGCCATCTTGAAAAGTGAAAAAGTCATTAGCAAAGGAAAACCTTCGACTTAGGCAACACACAACAATCTGTGACAAGACATGACATGTGTGAATAACAGTTTTCTGCAGCAGACATAATTAAATTCCGAACGAATGCACCTGGGGACTCAATGATGGTACCCTCTAGAGTGTATGAGTGGTACAAGCGGTTCAAATCTGGAAGGGAAACTGAGACCGATTATCCAAAATGTGGACATCCGAGAACAGTGAGAGCGATAACTAATGCGGAAGGGATAGGTGCTGAAATAATGATGATGGTTAATAAAGGGTGTGATCATTTTTAATTTCCAGGAATCCACCTTTATTCTTTTTAATTTCCAACAAGTTTAATGCAACTATGACAAATTAATACTTTGAACACTTTATACAAAACTACTATTTTTACAAAAATGTCGCGTTTTGCGCATTGTTACACCTGCTCCACCTACCCTACCCCTAGTTTACTATAGCAAACATATTATTCAGTCTACTGAGTTTCATGATATGCAATTTTTCTAACTTATTCACAACATATTTGGACACATTTTGTCAAAAAATCAGCTAGATTGAAAAGAAAACCAATAAAATACAGCATCATTCCTGAAACACATGGAACACCCTGTACATTAAATAAGTGGAATAGACAGCTTATTTCAAAATATGAATGTTACAGCATAACCATGCCATATGAGACAGACGCTGCAAGATTATAAAAAATCTAAATTATAAGGTTCAATTGTGAAAATTGGTGTTGCAAATCTTTGGAGGGAGTGTTGTTGTATTCCTCTATATTTATACGTTTGAGTTAAATTACCTCTTTGTGGGTTTGATGTTCGATGATCTCTTTGATTTTGAGCATGAATTTCAGCAACAGAAACTGTCTCCGGGTATTGCTTAGGGGAATACTGATTGTATCGTGCTGTTAAATTAGAAATAAAAATATATTAACCATTATAGTTAAATAATTTGCAGTCTAGTCTTGTAAAATGTCATCTTTAATTTTCACCGCAGATGATTTAGGTATGAATGATACTTCATAAATAATACGTTTTCTTTGGATGTAAGGGAAATTATGTAAGTGATTTAGAATAATGATCACGGCACATCCATTAATGATAGGCCTTTAACATGGTGTAAGTAACTTACGTGGATTGAGGTTCAATGTCGTCGTTGTGTCACGCTGATACAAGTGTCTTCGTGGATCTCGTCTCATCTGATAGCTCGAAACGTCACCGATAGTAGACACGGGTGTATTAGCCGGTGATTGGGGGTATTTCTTTTTTCTTTTGAAAGAACGTCTTATTGATTTCATTATTGAGCCAGGCGTAATGCTAGGTTCAAACTTTGCATTAGGGGTTCGATTGACAGCTTTATGTGTTGTATAAGCAGTTATATTCCCCGATGTCATTTCATTGTGATTTGAAGGTACTGTAGCTTGATGGGAGAGACACGCTGGAATCATAAATAGACTAACATGTTGTTTTAAGACATCGAACCAGAAGTTTCGGAAAACAGAAAGAGAATAGCGATTTAATTTATAAGTATGTCGCCAAATATGTCCAGCTCAATTATTAACCTATTTTAGTTACAAATAAATCATTTAGATAAAGTTTCGAATTGCTTTTACGACTATTAAACATGCTCATGACGATATCTACATGGTTGTAGCACCTCCCTACCTGAACCAATATATCTAATCGCGACTCTGACATCCAATGACGTTGTACTGATCATTGGAAATAAAGGTAATCGTCCTCCACCGAGGCCCTTGAAGGCAACACCGTAACTCGACTGATAACTTCCAAATGACAACGTCCCTTTCTCCATATCGAGGGATACAATAAGTTGATCGGGGATGTTTGGTTCCTGTCCTTGGAGGTCAGGGTATTTTTTGATGGTTCTATTGTTATGTATAAGATTTAAGTTTTTTATGTTCCAGCCCCAGGACTGAATATTGAATCCAACCAAATCCAATAATCCTCGATTGTACAATGGGGCTTGGTAGGTACCAACTCCGATGCTGGAGTGATTATCTCGACAATCTCGTGGCCATGTGATTTCCCAAACATGGCGTCCGCGGAGGAATCCGAGGTTTGAACGAGCGGCATGAGTTCCTGTAAACTGGTGAGTGATGAGGACTATAGTGTTGGCATCTTCTATTGTGAAACCTTCAGATGAACCTTGTCTTGACCAACAAAACTCTTCGTCGGTGAATGCCTTTGTTATGGCCAGTTCTACAGTTCCGTGATCGTCATCTGAAAAACGTAATACCCTATTTTTAAACTAACCTTGTTTATTTTAGTATAGCCATTACGAGATTTGATTGTGGTGTGATTACTTGATAACATAATTCTTATCCACTACATGCATTAATTAATTTGAATATACGATTTTATCCTCAAATATGGATCTGTCCATAGATAGTAAAGGCATTCAAGATTAAAAACAAACACGCCATCTTTAAAACTGTCACGTGGTACTAACCATGATGATCAAATGGGCAGTACAAAAATTATAAAACAATATCAATTTAACTTTCATTTTCTAATTGTAATTATGGTGCTAGTCTATCTATATTAGTTTCATGTTTCAATTAAACCCGACATTACAATTTGACTTTCAAATGAATGCCCGTCGGTAATACTGTTATCAGCAATTATGTTTGGTGGAAATAATCATATAACATTGGTTATCATTGTTTGTATGTCATATTACACCAGAAATACAACATATATGCAAACGCATATTTTATATAGATAGCTCATTCTTTCCTTCTCACAGCGTATGCAAGGCTTTACAATAGACCCAAATGCATCAATAAGTGTAACATATTATCATAAAGATAATATTGTTAAAGAGACAAAACAAACCAGTCGAATGTTTAAAAGTTTGAACATTGCCTTGACAAATGAATGCGAGTGTTTAGACTTTTAATTATTTTGTAGAAGGGTGGGCCTTTTAAAGGCCCCATTTAAAGTTTGGAAATATGTTATCTTTAATTTACTATTTTCAGGCCTTAAAACGTTATTTTAGAAATTTGAAACAATATATTTTGAAAAAGAAGTTGTCAGCTTTATATTTCTTAATAAATATTCAAATTTCCCGCCATTTTCAAATATATTTTTAATCATAAAATATTCCACTGTTCAGCGCAAAATAATATTTTAACACAAATGAAAAGATTGAACAAATATATCAATCAATCAATAATAAAATGTCTAATGTCATATCAATTATATTATTAAAATATTTTGCCACCAACGTGACATCATCGTGACATCACTCAGGTGGACACCTTTTTTGTCAATCTTTTCTAAATGTTCTAAACTTCACAAATAAAACAATGTTGATTGTCTAACCAACCAGGTTGAAAGGAAGAATGATTTGTTTTGAATATCATTGTGCCATTGGTTTCTACTAAGATTTTGACATGAATTTTTCTTTGAACCATTTCATTTCTCGCTTATTTATGAACCTATTTTCTTGATTTTTACGGCAAAAATCACGTGAGGATGATTGCTATGCATCGGTGTGATGCATTTCCTTCCTTATCAATAACTTATTCAAAATAGACCAAGATGTTACCCTGAGCGCAGAGTCTAGTTATAAATACGAAGCTCTCTTTTAAGAAGCAAAGTCGACGAATACAAAGGCAACCAAGATGCATGTACTGCTATAAATCCTTGTGCTTAATAAGACAACATTTTATTTTAGATAACATAAATTCAGATATTAGTACTTTTAGTACTACGGTTACACGCGTGTACCCTAGGATTGATATAAGATTGATGGATCAAATCGCGTGAGAAAAGATTGTATTCAATGTACATTTAAATCAATCACTAATACAATTTACCTTCATTCGTTACTTCTTTCTTAGCTGGGCTCATGTAACGTTGTAGTTTTCTTTGATTCATACGACAATAGCAAATTGCAAACAGGAGAAGGGCAGCAACGACAACTATTCCTATCACTAGTATCAATATAGAACTTGGTTCCATCGTTGCCTGCTGACGCACGTGTTTGTGTGTGTGAAACTCGGGGTGAAACTTCAGGGTGTTCACACCAAACCGATGTTAATGAGTCAGTAAGTCATTGAGCTTGGATCCTCTGGACATCATGCTGCTGAAGGTTCTTGTGTAGTACCTCGTTTTATCCACACACTCCTGAATGTTTGCACAATACGACTAAAATATAAAAGTGTGGATTTGTCACAAGCATCATATCTATCATATGTATAGCCCACTTAATATGTACTTTTATTTTACTCACAAACACAAAGCTAGCTGGTATTTTAATACATCGCATAGCATACTTTAATTTACTACATTGTAATTTCCGTATTAAACATTATTCGTCGTACTTCATATTAACCAATAAAAACATTGATTTGCAGTACTGCAAGGGCATACTAACTATAGAAACATATATTAAAAATACGTAGTTTAATATCAAATCACTTCGCATTCATGTGTGCATCTTTACTCTTTATACACCCTCCGTACACAAGGCCATGACATTCAAAATTATATGTTCCTATTTGAGCAAAGTCAAAGAAATAAATGTCTCTTCAAATAATTGGGACACGTTTTGATAAGTACAATACCTACATTAGTCCACGGTATGAAATTTCTAGGACGTCTAATTAAGGAGTTGGTGGCACCATATCTGCATAATGACATTTGAGCTTATATTTAGATACCTACATGTGTCCCGCGTTTTATTGTTGTATAGCCGTGATAAATACGGCGGGCTTTTAGGCCGAATAATGCATGTCATTATCAGGGGTCAAAAAACGTGTAAAACGTTTTTCGTATTTTTTTTCATAATTTAAAGTACAAACATTAAAAGAAAATCACATGAAAATATTTTTAATATATACATCAAGTTTCTTGGCTATAATTTTGCGGTATGTGTTCCTTGAAATACCTTATATATAAAAAATCAAGGTTTCAACATTTTATGTCGTTTTGGAGATATTGGTGAAGCAATCAATATATTGGCACCTTTATTACCTGTGAATAACATATGGTTATAATATGTCAGTTTTTTACTAAATTAGTTGTAATACATTTTGAGATATGGACAGCCGTATTCAGGGGTCAATTGCCAATAAAGGGAGACTCGTTGTTCTTCCTTGTCTTATACCGTCTGCGATTGAAAATTGTTGCATATGGTTGAACATGAATTGGTTGCTTATATAAGGACCATATCTTAAACATTTGACTACATGGATCTTTGAGAAATGTCGGCAATAATGTAAAAATGAATCGATGTAATGCATCGCAGTGACAAATATAATTGTTGTTATATTATACTGTTTGTTACACATTAATAAAAAATCAGAATTCTGAAGTAACAAAACATGAACGCACAAGTGGAAATGGAAAAGGCATAGCAACAAATGGAATGTGTTCAAGAGTATACTAATATAAGGAAATATCAAAGCATTAACATGCAAAATGCCAACGCATATTCGTTACATACACCGAGCGCCGAATATGTACTGTCAATGGACTTTATGTTGGAAACTATAACAATATGTCATACCACTCTTGGTGGTGACATAAGAAACACTAGCAATCCCAAAGTCAAACGTCTACCAACCCCTCCCGACCCACGAGCTAAGTATAAACATCATTCCCAGACCATTACACCAAGTAGCACCCCATTATACTCGAGTCATTACAACACAAATTGAATAAAAATACAAATTGTGAGCCAATACTCATAACAATACTAATAGTATATTAGATAACAATATTTAGAATTTGGTCTTAATGCTTTGAGATAGATATTATAATTCGTTTAACGTTTAAAGGGTCAGCATCCCACTGCAAACCTAAAGCCTTCAGTTTTAGCAATTTAATTGACAATGCCTAAAATAATCCCCACATCCTTCAGCATCTCGAGTACATAAACTTAAACGGTCGCAAAATCCAGAAATTATTTTACAAAAAGGAACACTGTTCATTAAACAAAACAAAATACCTCAAATAAAAATCAGTGACTATAGCATTTGGATTCACTCGCATAAACCAATCCTCTCATGAAAGCTCTTATATAGAACTAATAATTCGTTTATAAATCACAGGTTATATTGCCTAACATAATGCATTCGCAAAAAAGTAACATCTCACATGAAAAATCAAAAACATAATAGCCTCATGAATATAATCACAAACACGAATACCTCACATATAAATCGTAACTGATATAACAACTTCTTCAGCATAGTATATTCCTCGCTTATTATGTGGTACTGTATAAAATGCATTAAAAAAACCTCATACTCCACATCACGCGGTACTAACTTCGACCGTTAATTTGAATTTTTGACCTACCAGGTGCTTGAAAATCAAGGATTGCGAGTCTCATACTGCACCGTTTTTCTTCAAACTTATACCATTAAAAGCAAAACAAAATTGCCTTTCTGTCGGTGCATTACTTGATTGTAAAGAGTCCCTCGTTCACGCAGCGTTTTGGTCCCCAGCTGTCGGAAGGCCTTCTTACAGCTGGGGACCAAAATGCCGCTGGAAGTAGGGTCTCTTATTAAGAGAATAATGTACCATCAGAAAGGGATTTTTGTTATGCTTTGAATGGAACAAGTTTGAAGAAAAACGGTCCAGAATGAGACTCATAATCCTTGATTTTCAAACATCCGGTAGGTCAAAAATTCAAATTAACGGTCGAAGTTAGGACCGCGTGCACATTAAAACTTGGATTAATCAAACGTTATAGGATGCGCCTCACATAAAAAAAACAATATAGCATCACAGAGTACACTATTTGAAAGGAATACCTTTTATAAAATCTCAAATATTATCACTACTACCCACCTAGTTACACAGACGTATCGTCAGTGTATCATGGCTGAACTACTTCCGGGATTTGAATTTGGTAAGATATTTTTATTTCTCGATTTACATCTACTTATAAGTCACGATGTGGATTATAATTTGGCTCGAAGTTATGGGAGATAATTTAGTTTGAGAATGTGTCGATGGTTTTAGGTTTGGTATGTTAACGAAGACGCATTTCACATATTTAGTCCCTCGCTTTTGTTACACTGACGACTGGCATTAATATTGCCAATATTACACTGATATTGGTTGTTCGTCAGTGTAACAAAAGCGAGGGACTAAATACCTGAATTGTGCCTTTGTTAACATATAAAACCTAAAACCATCGACACATTCTCAAACAAGACTATCTTCCTTAACTTCGAGGCAAATTATTATCCACAACGTGACTTATAAGTAGGTGTAAATCGGGAAATAAAAAATCTTACCGAAACTTAGTCCCGGAAGTAGTTCCGCCATGATACACTGACGATACGTCTGTGTAACTAGGTGGGTAGCAGTGATTATACAGAATATAGAATGAAGTTAAAAGAAACTTGTACTCCCCTAAAATAAAGTGTATGGATAGTACTCACAATTAGCAACGACCCAGGGACAATGACTACCACTCCACATAAGACATTAACAATGATATTGAACTTCTTCACTACTTCTTCAGCATAGAATTTACTCAAAAATGAGTAATACATGGTATTCAAGTATAAATTAAATTACCTCCTTCATATGTGACATATAATTTCACCCAGAAACTAGTTTTTCTAGCAATACCCGATATAAAGACAAAAGAGATATAGCCTGGGAGTAGCCATTTTGTCCCAAATTCTATCCAAAATGTCATGAATATGTACGCACGAGTGCCAAATGCGAAAGACCAAAAATGACAAAACATAGCAGGAAAATGAAATGTCTAAGATCTCATTGCCAAATGGAAAGAAAATTCAACTATCCCAAATCAATATACAACGTGAAAGGAAAATGAATCTTACAACACTCACAACAATTCGTAAAAGTGCAATTCGCATGGCTTTGGCGACATAAAGTTTGTGCACAAATGAATAATGCCTGATTTGATAAAAAGTTACAAATTATAAAATGAAGTATGGCTTCCTAAAACTCGAATGGAAAGATCGGAAACGAGAGATGTTGGATTGCTGAAAAAATTGAAAGAACCGGTCTTACAAAAATGATTCGATGTCGTCTTTAAATATCTGAAAGATTGGATGTGTGCAACACTATAAATTTCTCCCAATTCCAATCGGGACTTTGCACGCGATGGGTGAGTTGATATGATTGATAGGGTCACACCTTGGAACAACGATACATATCGTGAACACAGATGATAAAATATAGATAGTCAATGAAATAAAATATAAATGAGTACCTTTAATTTCGTATAATTCACAATCTCGCCCTGCTGAATGAAATCGTCTCTAATGGTGTCACTCATCCATCACGAATGTTGGTTTCTGGTTCTTATTAATGACAGTATGGCTCTCTTATAAATTTACATTTAGAATAGAACGAACATTTGTCAAGTTATGATCGAAACAAAAACTAAATCTTGTCTTCGCAAGGGACAGTTCAAAAAACTAAATTACTATCTTGAATTTCACAAATCTTGCTCTACTGCATCAAATCGTCCTGAATATAGTCACTCGTCAACCACGAAAGTTGATTTCTGGTTTCTTAATCAATCATTCTAGCGTTCTCATTTATAAAACAATCGATAATTAAAACTGATTTATATTATAATGCATTCAATGTTTACTTTCTTACAACATTGCATGGTTATTTTATTGTGGGAGCACAGCATTGTGACACTATGATATTTGCGACGCATTTGACTGCGCCTTCTTTATTCCTCGATGCAAATCATCTAGTTTAAAAATGTAAACATTCCAATACCAAAATTAGATTAATTATTTAAATGATACATCCTTTATATTTTTATTTGATTACGTTTTGAATATCATTAACAATAATCCGTTGTATGACCTTTGAAAACGCAAGAAATATTTCCGTGAATATATTGTTTCTATAAGTACAAAACTAATATGTTACTAATTATAGATTTTCTGAATATTTCGCATAATTTGGTCACATCTGCTCTGTCTTATTTTTTTCTAAATAATAAAACGTTGAAAAGTACCCTAGTGCAATGCACTAATTGAAAAATGACATTTACGTTAAAATAGTATTATATTTCTATGTAATCCTAATCCTTTAAATTATATATAAGTTTCGATTTACAATTTGAGTCTCATAAAATGCACTAAAATGCGCATGAAAAGTTTCACGTTTTTTGACCTCTTGTGATGACAGACATAATGCGACCCAAAAGCCTTAATACTTTTTACCAAATGGCATTTTAAAAGCATAAGGACATATGCCCCTCCCTAAATATCGGTTCAAATGTCGTTATGCATATATGGTGCCACGGATTTGTAATATCTATGAGCCATACCATGGACTACATGTTCATGTACATTTGGAAGGTCTGCAATGTGTAACCAGAATACGATCGATTCGCGATGAAATGATGAATTCGTTCCAAAGCGCCCCTTGGATTGCTAGCCCGGTTGACTGAACTAAAACCACTGCTTTTTGTGACATTGAGATTATATGTCAACAATACTTGCCAATGTATATACAAAAGGATACACTTGTAGCTCTCGAAACATTTCAATTGTCATCCATGTATAAAATATAGGTTTAAAGCCAATGTTTGCCCAATTTCGTTAAATTGATCCACCTAACCATTCACTATATTACTTAACATTATATATTAATGAAAATATACGGAAACAACTTACCAGTAAAATGAAAATGGCCTACATTTAATATATCGTACCTCACTTTAAACACGGACTTTAACTTCATTACTAAAAGGTGAGATCACAGGTAAATAAACAAATGAACTTAGTTGAATACTTTAACTGAAGTGACTTTAATCATACTAATTAAGTTAAATATTAACTATCATTAGTGTAACATCAGCATTGTTTCATTATAATTTGTCATGATTGCCTATCTGTTTGAATTATATTGGGTTTTTATTTGAATGGACTGTGTACGTAGGTCAATTCGGAAATTCTTTCTCATAATTACTGAAACTGATAACAGACGGACTGTATGTCATGGCATTTATAAAATATAAAATTAGACATAATGTTAAGAGATGACTTAACATTAGGAAATGTTATGTTACTTTGGCGACAACTTTTGTAATCAATAAAAGAGTAGACAGTCATATTATCCTCATATCTGTGAATAAGCCAATCTTGGTAATTTTGAAATTTTAAAATGACGATTGTGCCAATTTGGGGGAATACTTACACGAGGAGAAACAACGATTTTTATATCATGGGGGTCTTAAATATTCATTATCTCTGCACAATATATAAAAGGTATTTAATAGATATATTGTACGCCTCTGCCATGTCCAACCATCTAATTAAGTAGACTAAAGAAAATAAGTACATACATATATTTAGAGTTTGTGCCTAGGGAAGGATTGTACGTTAGATTTATCCTGGGAGAGGGACCAAGTGAAGATAAAATATCTTCTTGAAGGATGCAACACAAATAAACCCCCACCGGAATGAGATATAATACCCTTTGCATTCGTTCGACTTCATTTCTTAAAAGAGAGACCCGTTTTCTTTTTCCGGTAGTTTAAAACTAGACTCTGCGCGCAGGCTAGAGATCTAATGAATCATGCTACGATAAAAACAAAATTTGAAGTAAAAAGTATTTAGTAACTAAAAGATAGGTACGTTTTTCAAATCAATAAAATAAAATTGAATGATTATCTCAAAGATATCTTGGAACGATTGGATGAAGAGCAGACAAAATGTTTCAAGAAGCAAGCCCAGTGTCTATTCTATTCTTACTTATTAGCAATACTATCCAACATGAATATTCTTGTCGAGACTCGATCAACTTGAGTTCTTCTGGAAAAATGAGGATTTCAGCAAGGATGCATGGCTTAAATATTATATTGGACAGATTATATTTTATTTTATTTTACTTGACGTATTTATTTATGTTTAACTATCAGATGCATAAGGGTAATATGAAAATTGAACCACTAAAACTGATGAATATTCAAGTGTTAGAGAAATTTCTAATACCCTGTCATGTTATCTACCCCGAATTAGCCACCTGGTGGTGAAAATAGTAACTACCTACTCGCATCTGAGATATTACATGTGTAATGTCTCACATGCGAGTAGGTAACGTTTCAAGTCAATAGCACCAGATTTATATTTTTCAACTGAAATATCAATTAATAACCGATGTGACCACCGGAGCTGGATGAAAAATCGTCTCAGCATGTTTTCAAGTAGCAAATTCACCTGAGACTAACCTTCCTCTCTGAAATACAAGTATTCCACCCCTATGCACGACTGTTACCAGCAAACCAGCCAAGATTTTGAGGTGGAGGGTCTCGCTGACGAAAGGTATGGTCAATCACCTCGATCATACATGTATGTTTTTATTGGACTCAGTCTCGTTTGGACTTAGTCGGAAAAAATCGGGGACATGGACACTAATCTATCAACCACCTGGTTAAATTACGAACATTGCAAGTGTGAACTTTAAGTATGGCTCAAATAATCACTGAGTCGGGTCACCATGGGTGGCGCTGGTGTCGATTTCACCAAGGACATTTTAATAAACTCTAGAACTGAAAATAAGCCTTACACGAATAAACTAAATGTATCCATGTGGGAAAGGGACGATCGTAAATTCTTGAGGTGAATTCCTTTGTTCAAGAAGGCCTTAAACTCAAGTTCGATCAAATAGCTGGTTGATGAGACATCGACTACCAATAATGAAGATATCTTGATCCATTGACCCACTTTTTCAAAACCTCCAGTGCAGCTGAACTTATTGTGAGGCGTATGTCTGCTTACAGTTACCAGGTAGAGGGTCGACTGCATGGGTCTTTGCAAAGCGGACCAAGTTCATCAGCATTTCAGTTATCACTGAATGGCGTTAAAGACATGGTTTAAGGTTTCTTCAAACTTCATATCATTGTTTTGGATGCTAGGATGTGTTTCACTGTACGTGACTGGTTGTTGATGCCCCTTTGCCCAATCGGTCTCCTCGTTTTATGCTTGTGGTTGCCTTGAGCTACATGATTGTCCAATATTTCGAATCTTATCTTTCAAAGACAATAACTCCACTCTCACTAAACTGACCGGTTAAAATGTTTAACCTATAAATTGGCTTCTGCTGGGGGGTATATAAAATGACACAAATTCAATAATGCATGTATAGTAGTGTTGTATGAAATGTTAACTTCTCGTTTACCTTTACTCTGTACAGGATGTTCAATAAGTATTGAAAATGATTTTTGCTGTTTCATATTTTTATGATGTATACTTAAAGTATAAACGTTTCTGAAGTCTACTCAGAGTCTACTTAAAGTGTGAGTGAGTTAGGCTCAAGTTGGAGGTGGTTGAAACACCGAAAAGGACTGCACCTTACATAGATGCTCCTCGCATATATTCTTTTATAACGATGTTGAGTTGCATCAAGTGACAACTTAACTTCTGTTAAAAAGTGTCGTTACATTTTGATTTACAGACATGCATTGAGAAGTGTCACCCAGTCATGTTACTTTTGGAACACATTGTATTCTTGGTGTGATACAGTAGCCTAAATCCAAAATCGTTTTTATAGTGTTAGTTCTTGAAAAGAAGATTATAGTATGTATACGCACCTCGGAGTTTAACTCGATCCTCTGTTGATCTAACACAACACAACATCACTCAGAAAACAGGAATTCCCAAATTAAACATAGATGCAAATACTACTTCTCATTGTTAATTTTATCAAAGACAATAGCTAATTCCCTCCTTCTTAGCCCTCTCTAGTATCCTCTAGTCCCGTCACCTTGCCCTAGTCCAAGACCCTGCCTGCTCTGCCACTTCTACTTCCACCTGCCCCCTATTCTTATATAATGCCATTGTGGCGATTTAAGAATTTACATGTCTGTGTATTTACATTTTTTGTATTCTATTGAAATAAATTTATTAATAATAATAACTCAGAGCAGTCACAGCTGAATGAATAGTTCACTTCATTGAATGAATTTACCCAGATATATTGTGACTTTTGTACTTATTGAATTCCATAAGCGCGTTGTTCACATTATATGCTAGCGGAGCAAGGCTTCCACTAACACACTAGTACAATGATTTGCGAATTTGGGGGGTGTAGGCCAATAATAAAATAATATAAACTCAAAATTACAGGTATATGTACAATGAAAAGGTATATTGCTATAATCGTAATGAGATATGATGTGCAACACATAAAGAAGAAAACATTGTACTGTAGTGTAGCCCGGATGAGGCAGCCTCGTCGCCTTGAGTACCCTGCATGCAGAGTCTAGCTGAAGACGAAGCTCTCTTTTAAGAAGTGAAGTCAAACGAATGCAAAGGGTACGCTTTGAGAAACATTCCTCTATCAATGATGAGTTGTACAAATAAATGTATAACTTTTATCGATGTTTAATCTTAAATTATCAATTTTTATTTCAATTGTGCACAATCTCATCACGCAAGGGTTACCATGGTGTGTTGCCATAATCCAACTAAGTACATGTTTTAATGGCCTTTATAAGATTATTAGGACTTTGAGTTCATATATCCATGGAATAATTTACGTTCGTATTTCTAACGGCAAAATAAGCTAGGAGAGTCAATGCTGTGGCGAATCACCCTTTTTTCACAAAAAATGAAAGGACGATTCTCGGTTTGGAGAACGAAGTTCATCAATCTAAATGAGCACCATCCCTGCTTCGGACAAATTTGATATTTTTACATAATATAGATTTGAATGTTTTCTTTTGAATAGTCATACTTTAATTTGGGTAATATTTCTAGACTTTTCGCAAAAAAATATTAGCGCAGTACACTGATGAACTTCTTTCCCCAAATCGAGACTTGTATTTTATTGAATCGGTCTAATTGAGCGTTATCCCTGCTTCAGACCAATTTGTTATTTTTACATCTTGTAGATTTAAATTTAAATTTAGTCCTCTTTTGAATATTCATAGTTTAATTTGGGTAATATTTCTATATTTTCATGAAAAAAATTATTAGCTCAGGAGACTGTTCTCCAAACCGAGAATCGTCTTTTGTTAATTAGAAGTGTTATTTCAACATTTTAACCTATAACTATTTTGATTTTTGAGCAACGTGTATGTATTCTAAACTAATGTGCAAATATCTACAAAAATAATCGATAATAATTTGTAATAATGACAATGCTAACCATGCGTATGGTTCTAAACAATGTTATTCATAGTCGTAGTCTAGAAAGACGAGCAGAAAAGTTGTTGACAATTTGAAATTACCAATAGTAGAGATAATGACAGCATTTATGTGAATTCTTTTGCTCTTGATAACCTGCTGTTAGATCGGTGGTTATGGCGGGCCGCTTTATATTTTGGGCCTTACAACTCGCTATTATAAGATGTATGGTATATGTGTGTTTATTCTGTTATAACATAACATCAATGCCATGAGAAGCGTAACTGATATATACATAGAACAAACTATACGAACTATCATATTGGATTTCGTCACCAATGATAGTCAATAATGTGCTGAACAAAATAATTGATCTGAATTCATTAAGGTGTTAGCTAGGGGTCAGGTTCCATTATATATATCCATTGTAACTCTTAACACAACATTTTTAGGTTCAATAACTATAAGACATATTTAAGACGATTGCTTATAAAATTATGTGTGTTTGTGCATGGGATATTTCGGCAAAATAAAATAAATACTCAGCTATATCAATTATTTGTGATGTTTTGAGTGAGCCAAATAGTTGATCTCTAATATCAACAATTGCATAACAGTAGTTTATGACTATGAGTGAATTATTTAAATAGTAGAAATAAATTCTCTGTTTGGGCTCCCTGGTAGTAGATGCCTATGTTGTGTATATATAAGCGCTGAACAAACCCATTTCTCAGACGCTACTTCACACTTTTGTGTATCAACCAACAGTTTTACTGAATGCATTTGTAGGAATGCCAACACATCAATACTTATGGTGTATAGGTTACAATTGTCTTAGTTCCGTTGTAAATTAAACCCATGGGAAAACATATATGCAGTTTTCCTTTCCCGTGCTGTCGATCCTGCTCTGAGGGGTCACTATTATCATCGATAAATATTTGAGACCATAATAACATTAACACTACAACGTTCACCTATTGGAAAGTACCAATCGTCTTTGAATGTATTGTACTGCAGTGGCTGAAACACGTTTGGGATTAGTTCCATCAAGAAAATTGGTTGATTTGGAACTTCGATGTAGATACGGTATATATGGAGGCCAATCGTCAACACAGTGAGCCATATGAGATACTACTGTCACCGCTCCTTTGTCTATGAAGGCCAATCGTCAACACAGTGAGCCATATGAGATACTACTGTCACTGCTCCTTTGTCTATGGAGGCCAATCGTCAACACAATGAGCCATATGAGATACTATTGTCACTGCTCCTTTGTCTATGAAGGCAAATCGTCAACACAGTGAGCCATATGAGATACTACTGTCACCGCTCCTTTGTCTATGAAGGCCAATCGTCAACACAGTGAGCCATATGAGATACTACTGTCACCACTCCTTTGTTTATGAAGGCCAATCGTCAACACAGCGAGCCATATGAGATACTACTGTCATCGCTCCTTTGTCTATGAAGGCCAATCGTCAACACAGTGAGCCATATGAGATACTACTGTCACCGCTCCTTTGTCTATGAAGGCCAATCGTCAACACAGTGAGCCATATGAGATACTACTGTCACCGCTCCTTTGTCTATGAAGGCCAATCGTCAACACAGTGAGCCATATGAGATACTACTGTCACCGCTCCTTTGTCTATGAAGGCCAATCGTCAACACAGTGAGCCATATAAGATACTACTGTCACCGCTCCTTTGTCTATGAAGGCCAATCGTCAACACAGTGAGCCATATGAGATACTACTGTCACCGCTCCTTTGTCTATGAAGGCCAATCGTCAACACAGTGAGCCATATGAGATACTACTGTCACCGCTTCTTTGTCTATGAAGGCCAATCGTCAACACAGTGAGCCATATGAGATACTACTGTCACCGCTCCTTTGTCTATGAAGGCAAATCGTCAACACAGTGAGCCATATGAGATACTACTGTCACTGCTCCTTTGTCTCTCTTCTGGGTAAGTGAAATGACAATCGATATTAATGCAAAACATCTTAACCATCAACGCAAACCACTCTCATTTAATCATTGTACTACTTGGTATTTCATTTTTTACATTTGCGATTGTCTACTCATGTTATCGTATGCCAATAATAGGAATACAAGGTGATATCTGGATGTAATAGTTCATCTCGTGGGTTTATAAATATATACTTATATTACACGAGGGATACGATTGGATTTCAATCACATGATGGTCCATATCACTGAAATGGGTGTAAGAAGACCTTTTGATTTTATCTTTCTTACAGAGAACAGTATTCATAGAAATTATTACACATTTATATGACACAGTACAAGTGGAAGTGTGACCTAACTTCCCCTATGATGGTAGTCTAAATTTGGCAAAAGACGAATACGATAAAGAGCAATTAAATGGTGTTAAATGAGTTTTGTGAATAAAATCAATTGGAAATTACCCTTATCCGAAATTTATTTCAAGAGATAAGCACAGTTGTGGTATTTTACATTTCATGTGTTTCGCTTATACTGGTTCAGATAGTAAAAACATTAGCTTAATTATAATAACTCATTCAATATGATAATATTCATATGTTGGGTAAATATTGTTTAAAAACTTTCATAATAACATATTATTATTGATTGAATACTATGTTTGTTGTAATTTTATAACGCGGTAAATAATGCTTAGAGCACAGCCACTGTGACAAGTACGTAAGCTTTGTAGTATTCTTTGTGCAATTAATAGATACATTTAAAAACGTTCATTTGGCACGTCAAGTGCCTTTTATTTTTAAATTCCAATTACTCACTTATTTTGTAAGAATTTATTTCAAGTTGTTAAATCATTGAATAGTATTTACTTTTTATATTTCAAATAGTTAAATACAAATACTTTCACAAAGTAATATTTCCAAGAACCTGGATGTCTAATGGATATTTAATTTGTGAAAAAACACAAGTACTGATCCTAGATACAATGAAATAATTGTAATTCACCGTTATATTCTTCACTTCCTGATTAGGTCACTTCTAAACAATAACTACTCTAAACTAAATAGAGATGTGTTTCATATGTAGCCTCCAAATACAGTTTATCTTTTCAACATTAATCATAATAATTTTACTTCATGTAGTACCGCGTGTATTGTTTTAACTTTCGGTAAAAAAAATTCGAATCGATTCCAACGAAGTCGAATTTCAAATAAATAGATAAAATATAAATAAACTAAGTATGACATAGATTATAGCCGACAGGGGCAATATTGCAATTCGAAGATTTTCTTTAGAATGGGTGTACGTGTGGTTGGTTGGCTTTCACTTTAGAGGTAGGGTGGAACTACACGCCCTTGATCAAATCGTCACTAGCGCCACCTTTCATGCTCTGATTCATGGATTACCGATGCCCTTCGAAATACTCGGCTTTGAGAGATATTTGAAATACCATCATCCCATTCTGAGCATTTTTCATATAATAATCTCTTGATTAAAAGTTGAAATTTAGTTTCGATATATACCGTTACAGGCACCGTAAAAATGAATCAAATATAATGAGCAACGGTGTAGAAAAGGAAAGATGTGTATGGGAAGAATCAGACTCCAAAATCCCAAGCTGAAGAAAGCTCTGATATGAACCAACGTTGATATTTAGAAAACCATGTTTTATAATGTCATGTGTTCATGAACTTCAGTGATAAGCAAGACAATTGATAGCCGTCGGTTTTGATCTAATCGCACATACATATCTTATCTGATATAAAACTATACAACCATTTCATCTTTAGATTCTGAGGCTTCATAGGCTGTACATCCGATCATGCTTGAAGGAGTTTACTAAGTGACTAAGAAAATAACTATTTGACGTGCATGATGTGTATTATTCATGTTTCATTTATGTTTTGCGTTAATCTTTCCGTCACAAATAGATTAATTGAAATTTTGTGTTTAATTACATGTTTTGCTCATTAACAAATAAAATGCCTCTTTTGACGTTGTCGTTTCTCCATCTAGTTCCCCTCATTCCCACTGGCCACTCCGCTCACTTAGTCTGGATCAGTTATTAGGCAAATCCCTGACATTTAACAAACAAACGCAAAAAAGCAAAAAGGTATGTGAATCTTCGTTTCAAAATTGATTTGCTTATTTCTGTTATTAGTTTAATCTATGAGCCAATGCGCATTCTTGCACACGCATTTTACCAAATGAATATATTGTACTGGAGAGCGATGAGTTTTGGATGCTTAAAGTTCATTTCCTCCAAAACTAAAGAGTATGGTGATTGAATAGTGAATACAAAGAAAAATAATAATTTTACAGTTGAAATATAAAGTGTAAGCTTGTTTTAATGAAATAAATTTAAAAAATGTATCATAGACCATTTACCTTACATAAGAGTTTAATATATAAGGATTTCTGTCCTGGGCCACCTAACAGTCGGTACTCATGGTTAATCTATTAAAGAAATTATAAACATCATATCATTCGAAGTGTGTTTAGAAAGTTTTGAATCTGGCATTGTGTTTTCGTCTTTGACCAATCAGCAACGGTGGTTATCTCTATATAAATTTTCATTGAAAATATGGTAATCTCTGGACCCTGGGGTATCCCCCATTTAGGCCAAAAATGCTCCGGAGCAACTTCAATCAGTTTAATCAAAATTATTTTTTAACATTGGGGACCATGGAAGTGAATTCTTTGCAAAGTCGACACATTTTCATGTCGTATGCTCGTGAGATCAAATACCTAGATCTAGGGTCTATCGGAGAACGCTGCTAATGGACTGGCAATATATAGGAATTATTGAGCGGTTCCGTACCACTTTTAAGACGTTTACTCACGGATCAAAAATCAACTGATTCAATTTGATATGTAATTAAAGTAAGGTGGTGAGGTGTCGTTTATCGACTGTTCACACACATGGGTCTATTTATGGAAATACCTTGAGATAAGCAAGTATTGTCATAATTACTGCTTTGATGCAATGCAACGGCTAATTGCTATTGTTTATAGCGGTTTTCAGTAGTGGAATTACTTTTATTACACTAACATATTTGTTCGTAGTGTCATTATCGACGTTTGAATTTGTAATTTAGGTAGCATTTGCGAATTCAACTGCCTTACTAAGGTAGCATTAACGAAATTTAACTGCCGGTTGTCGTTTAACGGTTTAATTTGCTTTTTATGGCCAACTCGTTTAAATATTAATATGAATAGATCCAGATACTATATTAAAGTGGGTTGGACATAGAATAGCAGATTAAACCGTCACCCGACAGTTGGCAGCTCAATTCACATGCTTCCTTAGGAAGGCTGAGATTGAGATCAAATTATACCCACCGCAAAGAACGACGTTTGATGGATGAGTTTTTTGTAAAATATATAATTCTAAAAATATGCTTTTCCCATGTCAATATCCTGATAAAACACGTATTACAAAATTGTGTTAGTCTTGGTAGGCGTTTATCTGACAATGTGTCTAGAAGAATCAGATTATCTGTATGGATATGAATTCTTAGAAATTAACTAAAATAGCTATAATAGTAAATTTCAGAAAATCGCATTAAGATCATAAGTAAGTTTGCTTTTAACCACGTCATGAATAAAAAAATGCCACTTTGATGAAACAGATATGAGCTCTTCTTAACCTCCAATTTAATGATTTTCTCTTGTCCAAATCAAGGTCACTGACTTAGATTGCCCCATATTACTTTATGAATACGTTATTCTTGAGACATTAATCGGGAAAATAAATGAAGTCCCTTTAGACGTGTGAACATGAAACCTGAGCGTGACTGTAAAACCTTCCCATATGTTCATGATCGTATAGAAAATAACAAGGTCAGAAATGAGGAACTAAATATTATATCATATGAAATTTAATCACTCATAATGATGTGATATTTGTTTGATGGTGGTTGGCCATAATGACAATGGTATCAATAATAACCATTTCCATCGTCTGATGCAGCGGAATGTGACACTTAGCACTGAACCAATATCTGCGTACGAAATAAAACAATGGGCAAAAGTTAAAATATCCTGTAGAGGCTCGATAGTTTATCGGCATCAATTAGTTAGAAGTATATTTGGATACCAGTCCTATAGGACCTTATATAATGCTTGATGTTCTCTATCAATAATTGGAGGAAGGTCTATAGGTTTCTTAGTGTTTAATTGATCTCCCTGAAGCTTTCTCATCTTTGCATTGTGTGAATTTCAGCAACAGAAGCTGACAAGGCCTGAATCACAAAGTGACACTCAGTCTCCGAGGAAGTCGTTCTGTCGTATTATTATATCTCAATCGCCATGGTATAATAGCTGAAAAGGATCCAGGTGAAAAAGATGAGCATATAGTCCTTTGGGCTCATCATTCATGTTTCGACTGAATATGATTATACAAGATAGATGCGTACAATCAAGGATTAAGAGATAAAAAGGAGCGAAACTATCAGATAAAATAAGTAATTGACTTTCACTGTACTGAAGCTACAAACGAGAAACTGTATTATTAAAAACCAATTCTAGTTTCTGTTTCTGCATTTGACAGTTGAAAAGCATCACGGCACTGCAAAGAGCAATATTAACAATTTGAATTTTATGACAAAAATGTTGCGTCCTTTATAGAAAAATAAATGGCAGCGACACAGATATGACCAAATTAAACGTGATTATCGGATGATATCGAAAATCATTCCGACTCAGTAATTTAGTGTCATTAGATCTATAAAAGCATCTTAGACACAATTATAGTAGTTGAGAAACCCCAATGGAATTATTTATAAACCTGAGGATTATAAAATATATAAGCGAGGACTCAATGTACAGGAAGTCACGAGAATTGGAATAAAAATTACTGGATATGCTTTTTAAATCACAAAATGTGGATTAACGGCACGATTTATGAGATTATGAAGAAATTGCCTCTGCTTGTTTTTCTGGTCTTGACGATGATCAGCGGCACAACAGCTGCGGGAAACGGTACTTCGGCAAAAAAGGTGAGAGATGTACACATTACATAACATATAAAAATCCCAGTCTCTTCTTTATATGTATTGCTGTGTATTTTGGTTTTAGCTCTCAACTGACCAGGTTACATTTTAGTGTACGCGTTAATTGATAAAAAAACTCGTCCATCAGCATTATCGTAAATCTGCCATCCTTGAAAAGAGAGCAAAACCAATATGTTAAACAATATCAACCAGGTAATTTTATTTCAGAAGCTAATTGTACATATGCTGATTCTGCTCAAAGAGAACAAATCACCAGGATATTTTTGAGACAAGTGTTTTTAAATTATTTGAAGGGCGTGGATGATATATCCCTTTAAATATTAGTGTGAAAAACAAGTTCTACCTGTTTCTCCGATTGAAAAATAGGTAGTTAAACACCTTTATCACTTGTCCATCCTTCTATTTATAAATGGACAATTAGGGTTGACACATAGGTTCGTTAAGTATTGACACCTTTTAGTTGTCAAAGAGTATCAAAGGTGTGAGTTCAAGTCACATTGTAAAGACGGTCTCGGAGAACACAACTCCAACGTCGATCCCAGTTCCAACTTGTTCAAAATTAAAACGTTCGCGTTTGTGATTGGTTTTTGATCACGTGGTGTGTTTTGTTGAGCTAATTAGAATCATCGTTTAGGTTTGATATCTTGGAAGTGAGTCCACATTTCCTGTAAATGCAATCTCAGGTTGGGATTAAGACGCATGAAGTCCAAGATGCACGTTGAGTATGATAATGCTTCATCCCATCCTCGTAACTGATTGTCGACCCGATCTGCAGAACCTCAACTAGCTATTGGTTTGCGGTTATGCGATTTTGTGACCCATCATTAATTGAATAAGCCGCACTTATCCGTGTTTTTAATTAATTTTTAAGCCCGGTTCATAAGAAATAATGACTATGGTTCATATTTAGCAGTTTGGTAATGATACGCACATTCACATTACATTTATAGTCATAAAATGTGATACTTTGCATGAATATTGAAATGAACATAAAGAAGGTAGATGTAGATTTAATTAACAAGGTGTATGCGAATCTTTTCAGGCCTAAACCGGTAGGTCGATGTTCACGTCTAGCGTCCAATTTACATGATTTTTAACTAAATGTATTTCAAATGCTCAACGACACAGGAGTTTGACTGTAGCAATTAAGTAGTTCCTCGTTCATCAAACAAAGCTGTGGTTCATCCAACATATTAAGAGATCTCAGTTTGGAACAGAGGGACCTGGCTTAAGTTAGAATCATATTTAATATCAACCACCGTATTCAATTCTTCGAATACAATTATTTTGACAGCTCCAATTAAAGTATTCGCAGTGTTCTTTTCCGGAAGCTTGACAGCATTGTTAGATCAAGAATATTCCATGTCATTTAATATACAACAAGGAAAACAGGTTGTCAAATTACGTGAGATATGGCTTCATATAAATTCACATATTAAAAACAAGGTATTTTTATGATGTCTCCTGAATACGTGTTCATAAGAGGAAACAAAAGAAACTACGAATAGGTTAAACGGACACAGCGACAGCAGTTTTGAAGTATGACTTTCTAATGTCCTTTTTGCACCGACGCAGTTTGTTCTGTGAAGGATTGTCAATGAGTGGCTTTGCTGATAGTTGTTCCACGCCAATCATAGCAAGATCGAGTTCCACTATGTACACATCAGTTGATGTCTACAGGAATTCAACATTAAAACACCATTGGAATTAATAAGAGACCCAGCAAATAACATATCTATGTGATCTGACTTAAATGGCAGATAATTCAGTTAATGCATTAATGAAACATCAAGCGAACTTCAGCTATCTCCACCGTATAGCCCCACACAGAAACAAGGTATTCATAATCACATGTTCAGGATGAGCCTCAGAAATTTCAATATATGTTCTAATTCATGGGCGTAGCAAGCTTCCAGTCAGGGGGGTGCTATCTCCAAAAAATCAGTTTTCAGTCTGGGGGTGCATGCGATCGTGGCAAAACGAGCCAAAACTCGAGTTGTATTGAATTTTACAAAAGTCGATGTAACTTCCTTCAACATTGAGCTAGAATCTTCAAATAAAAAGCATTCTAAAGCTATTTTTCTTCTATCCAGTGGTTTTATTTATTTATTAATAAAACTATGTAGGGATGTTTTAGATAAGACCTGGAGGGCTAGGGTATATGCTGTTAATCTGTACGACTGTTGATTGTAGGGCTTTGAACAATAGAACCATCACTGGTGATCCACTCGATTACACTGGTTACCGAAACGGTTCGTTTTGGTAACAAAATGTCGGAACGTCGAAGGTACGATTTTTCTTTATTTCACGCGTTGTAGGCAGAATCCCCACGACGTTTTTCTCACAAACGTATATCAGTATCATATATTTTGGAAAATGTACATATTTGCGAAAAAATAGCTCAGAAGACAACAGAATCGTCGATTTGATTCCTCACTTAAGTTACATAAACGGTTTGGGTTAAAAGTGTAGATCTCAACTGTCTTTCGAAATACAATATGAATATAATCTTAGTTCCATGAACTAAGATTGTGGACTGTAGGACGGTGTAATGCAGGGCAATTAGTTTGTTGGATTGTGGACTCTAGTAGTGCTGTACACTGTAGGAGCCTATAGGAAGGACATTGATCTGTAGAGATGTGAAAAAGTTATCCGATAGTTTGGTAAACCAAATCCGAGAATGAATAGAAACAGCAATTTATAAAAATGCATAGACCCTGGTTGACTTCTGGCATCTTAACTTCTGCCAAAACTAAGAATAAGCTATATACCAAATATTTGAAAAATCCCTGTTGCAAAACAGGAAAAGCTTACAAGTCCTTCAACCATAAACTTAAGCACATAATTAAATACTCAAAACGTACATATTATCAAAATAAGTTTGCCGAAGTAAGTGGTAACATTAAAAAGTCTTGGTCTATCATTAATGAACTACTTGGAAAAAACAAAAGAGCTGCATTGCCATCTAAATTCACTATAAATGGAAAGGAAACAACAGATCATGAAATCATTTCTAATGGATTTAATAATTTTTTTGCCAATATTGGTAAAAATCTAGCCAAGGAGATTCCAAAATCCAAAAAATGCTTTAATGAATACCTAGCAAGAGCTCAAAAAGTTCAATCATCTATTTATCTCAAAAAGACCTCAAAAACTGAGCTTGAATTAGAAATGTGTCTTCTGAAATCTTCCTCGCCTGGACCTGATGGGATTCAACCATCACTTATTAAGTCTGCTAGACAGTTTTTAATTGATCCACTCTTGTATATATTTAACTTATCTTTTAAATCTGGTATTTTCCCAGACGCCCTGAAATTGGCCAAAGTAACACCTGTATTTAAAAAAGGTGTCACTACAAATCCTTCTAACTATAGACCAATTTCAGTTTTATCAGTATTTTCTAAATTGTTAGAAAAGCTCATGCACGCCAAACTCACTGGTTTTTTAGAACGTTTTGAAGTTATTTTTACTTATCAATTTGGATTTCAGAAATTCAATTCTACCTACATGGCCATTTTATATTTCATTGAACAAATTCAAAAAATCAACTGATTTGGGGAAAACGAGCATTGGCATAACATTAGATTTTTCCAAGGCCTTTGACACAATTAATCATGACATTTTGATACAAAAACTTGAATATTATGGCATCAGAGGAATAGCTAAGTCCTGGTTTGAAAGTTATTTAAAAGACCGCAAACAATATGTCACCATTAACAATTATGAATCTAAACAATCATCTCTAAATTGTGGTGTTCCGCAGGGCTCGGTACTTGGACCACTATTATTTATTCTTTACATAAATGATCTGCCTTTTGTTGCCCCTAATCTAAAATTTATTATGTTTGCTGATGACACCAATCTTCTTGATAGTGATTATGATTTAAATGAACTTATGACTAGAACTAATGCAAACTTGAATTCAATAGATAACTGGATAAAAGCAAACAAACTTTCACTTAATATTGGCAAAACCAATGCTATTCTATTTGGACCCAAAAAAATCAAACAAATCTGAATCTTAAAATACGCAATGAGAACATAAATTTCCGGGAAAAAATTGACTTTCTTGGAATTATTATTGATAAAAACCTGAAATTTAAAGAGCACATTAAATCTGTTGAAACAAAGATTTCTCGCGTCATTGGTTCTCTTTATCACATTAAACATCTACTTCAATTAGACAGTTTCAAAACAATTTACTACTCATTGATACACTCTCAATTAAATTATTGCAACATAATCTGGGGTAACACATTTAAATCATTTTATGATCGTCTACATAAACTGCAGAAACAATTCTTAAGGCTAGCTTTAAATAAGGATAGACTTTCTCACTCCACTCCCCTATTTAAAGATCTTAAAATATTAAATATTTTTGATGTCAACAGATATTGTACTGGTCAGTTCATGTACAAAATCTTTAATAAACACCCCAGTCTTCCAAAAAATCTATTTCAAGACTTGTTTGATATCAACATTAATATTCATCATCATTACACAAGACAATTGCATTATTTTCATATCCCTAAATGCTCTAAACTTTCCCTTCGCTATCTAGGTCCTAATCTTTGGAATGCTCTACCACATGATATTAAAAAATGTTCCACTCTAAATATTTTCAAATCTTCATATAAAAAACTACTCATCTATCGATAATGTACAATACCAATCAGATCATACTGTATTGTGACTTTATACTGGTACCTGATTTTTTGTAACATTTTTATATTGTACATCCTTAGATAAATTGTTAATACCATTTTTATATACCTACATGTAACATAATATAAGTGTTTTCTTTTATATGTAGTCTAGATGTCATTTTAATAATTTCTGTTAAACCGCAACATATACCCACTAGGGTGTCTAGCGGCTTGTTTTTATAGTGTATATTATATAAGAATTATGAAATAAATAGAATTGAATTGAAAATTGAATTGAATCTAGGCATATCTTATATCGTTTTATTGTCACAGTACAGTCCTCAGTTTTTAAGGTTTTAAAGGTTTGTAAGTTCATGCTATTTTGAAATGGTTCTTTCAACATGGTCTTGTTGTTCTGTTTGGCGAATTTGAAAATATATGAAAAGGATAATAAACATGATTTTAATATTAACATTAAATAACATTTAAAACGCCATCCAATTCGGGGTTACCAAAATATTTTAGGGGACTGTATACATGTATGCCGAAATATGATATTTAGGGACTTATTATTGACGTCATGCCGATCGTATCATTATACATCTAATCTCTTTGGCATTGGATCCGAGAGGTTGTTGACCTAATACTAGTTAAGTAGTGCCTTTAGAGATGCCAAAGTTCTATATGTACACTCCATTCCAAATGGTTTGTAATGTCAACCCTTGCATCTTTATGAACCACGTGTTAACCCCTATGAATATTTGACCATATGCAATTTTTTAACGATATCATCTATGTTGTAAATTCAGAACTAAATGTAATTGAGGCTAAAAGACAAATTGAAACCGCCCTTAACAGGTATATCGAATGAAGAATCTGTGTTTCTAAACTTTTGAAAGGGGGTGTAAATATCATGTGTACAGTGTTACAAATGAGAAGGTGTGAAGTATCTGAGTTAATCTGTATATGACTATCTCAGAATTCCCATTTATAAAACTCATCCATTCACCTTGATTACTTTGGCTAATGTTCAATCTCAAAAAACAATTATAATGAGCTACCCTGCCTTCCGGACGAAGCGCATTAATCCTTTTCAAGGAAGACCTTAACTTGAAATTAGAAAATATACGCGTGGTCAAGTATGTTTTCATTGAAAAACGCAAATCACACGAATAGCAAGATGATATTCAACCAATTTGTGCGCTTATTCGTTTTTATCGTTACGAAATATAAAAAACTTTGTTTGAAAATGATGTTGTCAGAGGGAAATGGAATTAGCAGTGTTTCACAACATATTCGGGGGAAAAACTATAGTGCATTTTTCCATCATAGGGTGTTCAAAAAACGCAACCGAAAGAAATCGTTATATCTTGGAAAATACTAAACGAATTGACATTGTGTTCATTTTTTAATGCTATTAGTATCAAAATGTCAAAGGCATTATGTTTTTCAACCAACCTACTACCTATACATTTGGTTAAGTATTTCCCAAGATTTAACGATTTCTTTCGGTTGCGATTTTAATTCTTAATGATTTTACATGAAGTTATTTTGACAGGATAAACTTTAAAGCAATCCTTACATATAAACTATATTTTTAAACTCATCAAAAATGATGGCTAAATTCTGCCTATCACCCCAGTCACATTTGTCGTGCGTAGGCCGTGCGTCGACCGCAGGTCAATTTAGGCCGCAGGGTAGCCGTAGAAATCATAACTCTGAGTTATAATATTTTTCATTTCTACGGTCCCCGTAGAAATCAACAGGATGTTGCCAGACTGCAGAAAGTTCCAACGGTGGCCACATGTCGGGTTTGCCGTTAACTTGCGTCTGCTGTAGGGTTTGATGGGTAGGCTAATGTACCTTTGGAAACAGTTTTATGTCAGTTTTTGGTCATGTATTTGCTGTAAACACAACACAGTACGTATACTGTTTGATGTAAGGTCACTGATACCACAGCAACTTACACTCCCCTCCATAAGTTTGGCAACCTTAGCTCCCCATTGAACTACTTGTTAAAGCCTCTTTACGTTTGAATTCTTATTTACTTAACCTGCGATAAAAATACTTATAATATTGATGGAAACGTAACTTGACTTTATTTCCAATACCTCCAAATTTTCTCAATTTTTTCCCTCAATTACAATAGGTCAAACATTGATGATGAATTTGATGAATTTTTGAAAATCGACATTCCAATGTTAACCAATGGAAATGGTAGGTTTGCCGCAAGTCAATTGACAGAATATCCATCCATCCGATTCCTTGCAAAAAGTACAGTTTAGGTAGGCAATTGAATTTGCTAACTTGATTTAACAAAAAAAATTATATGTTTCTTCAGGTTCAACAAAGTTATAGGTCTTTAAAGTCAAACTTCTCTCCCATTGAAATAACACAGGAGGCGGAAAATGATTATCAAAAATGACTTTGAAGCTCTGTAACTTAAGACTACTCTTAAGTATTCATCAAGTAAACTAAACACTTAGTGTACAATAAAGTTAGACAATCCAAATTTCTATCTAAAAAATTTTTTTTGCTGAATCTTTTACTGATAGATATCCTGATTTCTGATTTGCCGCGAACCCACCATTTCCCATTGGTTTACATCACGATTTTCAAAAATTCATCAAATTTCGACCTATTGTAATTGAGGAAAAAATTGGGAAAATTTGGAGGTATTGGAAATAAAGTCAAGTTACGTTTGTTTTCTAAATTCAAAAGAAATTTAGAAATCCACCTGTCACCTTCTGTTTCAGTACTACTTTGAGATCTCGTAACTGATTAACATGATTATAATAATCAAAAATGAATTCATTATCAAACGAGGTCTCCGTGAAAACCAAGTCGGAAAAATAGGCCGACATATTTGAGGTATACAGGTATATTGTTTGTCTCAAGTGTTATCGATTATAGTCTAGCAAAAGAAAGGCTATTGATGAAAACCTCGCGCCCGATGATCGGCAGTGTTGTAGAGTGAAAATCAGTAAAGAGGGTCACAATGACATTTTTAAGTTTCATATTCAGTGCAATATAATATTGATATATTGGACGGTATTGCCGACCATGTTGTTAAATCAACCCCGCGTTGACCAAGCGTTCTGTGTTGAATACTATTTGTCGTTTAAGGGTCAATAATCTTGCACTAAGTCGGTTTTGCTCGCTTCAATATAGAGTTAATATACAACTACGTCTCTGTTGACTAAGGTCATATTGTGTTATCAAGTTATAGTATTTCATCAGCCGTTCTAGTAAAGAATTCAACACATGTTGAAGTTGGATGGACGGGTACATGATATAGAAGGCTACATGTGGATGATTGCTTGATTATGACATCATATGCTTGTATCGTATCCAAACAACGAAACACAAACGACGGACAAAGTATTGCATCATCGTTTAGTCAGACTGATTATTTCGATAATGATGAAATTGGTGGTGTATTTAAATAATGGGGAAGTACCGATCTGAGGCACAAGCTGTACTTCCAATACACACAGTGTGAATATTGCCTTTGATAGAGATAACATGGAGAAGGAAATTAAAAGTGCAATTGTTATGAAGGACGAGGACAAATTGAAGTCTATCCTGAGCAATCTCGACACATGTCCATGTAAAACATTGCTATGGGCTATGCAAGAATACTTTATAGAGCTAAGCTTAGCAACTATTAAGACATTAATACACAAAGGTGCAGATATCAATGCTAGGGATAATCAAGGTAAAACTGTGCTAATGATAGCTATAGAGATAAAATATACCCCATGTGCTGAGCTCCTCATATACTATGGGGCAGACATACATGTCATTGATAACTCCGGGCAGACAGCCCTCAACCACATCACAGACTTCTCACCAGCGTATCAACACCTGTATTGTTTACTCACAATATTAGGGGCCAATGACAAACAGTACCAACATCTATCTGTCTTACTACATACAATCGCAACGGAGGGACAAATTAAACAAGCGTGTGAAAAAATTGACCTTATCAAAAGCTTGTCAAAACTCCGTTTGAAATATCGAGTGAGAACATTTTTATTTGAAAACTGTGCGAGGACGAGAGACGATTACAGAAAATATATTACAGAGCTCGTGGATGTTGGTCATTTGCCTCCCGGACTGAAATCATTCTTATTATTTGTGGATGACATAAGCGAGATGATGGCTATTGTGCGGGGGAGTGTTGAAGGTAATCCATTAATACACCTGATACTTCCCACTCTAGAGGCTGTTTACAATGTTTAAAATGAAAGGACGTGATCCTACTGTATTACCAATAATATATATTGTGAAAGCTACATCAATATCATTAGCAATCAAAACATTAACCCAGAAGCATTAAACACTTATACAGTACATGTTATTGTATACTTAAGTAACGTAATAGAAGATTACATGAGTCTACTATACTTTGATTTCATGGAAACAAAATAATCGTTATTACGTTTTAACTGCATGATTTATGTGTAAAATAAATACTAAACTTAGTAGGCCTGCCACAAATTCTTTAATATCAGTTTGATATTTAAACCTTTTTTACAAACGCAATGCACAATAGAACCACAGTATGACTAAAGTATTTAAAATAATGTGCAAGGGTTTCTGCTATTTGTATCAATTTTGAAAGGGATAATGATGTTATTAACATGATTTTATATTTTAGGCTGGTTCTTATATAGTAGGGATCCTTCTATATTCGACGACTTTGACAATTTCCAAGACAGTGAACCACTTGGTACTATAGGCGGGTTAGTTGCTCTTGTTGATCCTGATACAAACAATACCAGTCAAGATGAAATCTTTAGTCTGTCTGCGAATCATCAAATATTACCAGACTCATTCGGCCACCATAGAGAATATGTGACTTGGTCAGAGGTTGATTATCAACGAGAAAGTGTTTTAACAATTGGATCTGAAGTACCTTATCGAATACCACTTAAATTTGATGAGGATGACGACCTGGAGAATGATTCTCCTGATGATATGAACTTTGACGACATTGATTTAGATCGCAATGAACACCCAGAACAGATTCCCATAATGTCATTTGAATCCGAGGGTATAGATGAAACAGAAAGTGATACCGATGATGAAGAGGAACCAACGTTTGATATAGCATGCATTAGAGTTGAGAACGAAACAATTAGGTCCCAATACAGAGTCTGTTCACTACATGAGTGTTGTAGTTCCTCTCCCAAAAAAGAACTTGTTGGTTCGACCGTTATGAAACTAGGATCGGGTCCAAACGCTACAAAAGGGAGGTTATTGGCCATTAACGCTTCAGGGGAAGTTAAAGTTGGTCGTAAAACTGTGTTCGTCAACAATGTTGCAGTCATTTGTGCTCTAGATGACATCGATCTTGATGCAGCATTTTCTAATAAAGGAGATGGCGGTACAATCGTCTGCATACAGGACACAATCATCAGAAGGGATAACATTGAAGCCCATTGTCCTCATTGCTTCATGATATTTGCTGGTTGGGATAAATATAACCAGTACAATAAATGGGGACGCCCTGTGACTTTAGCATTCTCTTTATATGATTCCTTGAAAATATTAGAAAGCCAGGTTAAGGAGAACCATGATGTAACTAGGAAACATTTTAGGTTATCTTGTTGTAGCTTTGCATTGCAATGATCTCGTGTGTTTAATGTTACAAGAAATTATTCAACAAATATTGTCGGCTTAGTGCTATTTCTACAATAAGATGTATCCGTATTTTAACTTTTTAGTGATATTTCTTACACGTTTCCTCCATTAGATTACATATATATATTATTATTTTATTTCATATTCCCGATTTTCATACATCATCAATATTTATTTTTCAATATTGTTTTAGTATAGTGCTTGTCAATTGCCGATAGGGGCAATTCATGATCAGGCTAAGCTTTATTCCCGATTATGGTCGAATTATCATTGTAACGCAACATACATATGTACACTGTTGCTCATAAATATGGAATATTATATTTGGCAGCTCAGAATTCAAATTTTGGAGTAAGAGAACATTTATTTGGGGTCGGTTCAGACATTTATTTTCTAGACAAATCATAACCACATATTTCATCTACAAGTCAACATTTTTTAGAGAAAAAATATTCACATTTAAGTTTAGAAAATTACTGTTATTTAAACAGGGGTACGCTAAGAACTTTTGCATTTTCAAAACACCCCGATCCAAATCGTCATGTATAACAGATCAAACAAAATAAACATCTGGTCATGAAGATTGGAGTGTCCTCTATCCAATGGTAGCATTTATATGCGTTATGTCCTCTTTGTGCTGCAACAGGGACCAGCATTGAATGAAACATCTGACCTTTCTAAGTGAAATAAGGCCCCATTCCTCAATCTGGGCAGTGCGTAACGTGTCTAAATTTTGAGGTGGGGGTCTAAGTCACGAATATCATTACCAAGGTCATCCCACTTTTGCTCTGCATTAGCCTGATTGGATGACTTTTGTGCCCATGGTAGCTGGTCCACATTGCCTGCCCTGATGTAATCCAACACGATGTCACTAGCATATGCAACATCATGATCATTCTGCAGTCGAATGTTGCCCTAAAACACTCTGTTTACATGTGGTACTTGGTGGATATCCAAAAGGTCAATTTACTCAGAAATTATGTTTGGGAATCACCAAGGGGGTGCAACTTCTGTAGTACTGCTCCAAACAACCTCTGTAATACTGCTCGAAACATAAATATGGACTGCCACATCAGTAAGTGTCCTTATTGTCTCTTTCCTTTGGTCTATGACAGAAACGAACACAATTATCAACTTTGTGGAGGACACATCTTATTTCTTCACATGCTATCATATGACAACAAAGATTAGGTCCAACATTTTGGTGCTTTCCTACCCATTGAAGGCACCTTTCTTTGTTATGATGAGTCAGCTGTGATCTCGACCTTTAAAGGTATTATGGCCTTGCATCCGTTATAAAGAGATCATTGATTGTCTATATGGTTTTGAGGTGAGACAGCCATTCATCTCGTAGACTACTGGTTGACTTAGAGCGATTTTGATGACATAAATGCAGCAGATGGTGGTCTCTCCTTACATTTTACTCTCTAGGGCTGCTATTGCTGTGACCTGGAGTCACATTCCAGTGCCTTTAATTGGTACCACTGCAGAATTTTAGAGACTGTTCCTGACACACCCCTAGGGTCCTGGCAATGGCAGTTTGTTTCATGCCAGAGAGTGCCATCCCTATGACCTGCCATGCTCTTTTTCGCCTATTCTATGTGGTATGCCTTCTAAAAACTCTTCCAACTCTAAATTAATTTTTTATAAAATGTGCACAATGATTGCAACAAAGATTTGGACACCTCTTTCAAGTTACCAATATCATGGGGTCACCTGAGTGAATACAAGTTTAATCAACCATAAATGTTTTAGCTTTTCATACCAATCAGTTTTATGAGGGATGAGGGAATGAGAACACATAACAAATTTTCATCAAAATGTTATCATTTTGTAGAAATTCCATAGAACAGTTCGCATCTGTAAAATATTCCATTTTTATGAGCAACAGTGTATATGTTTGCCTAACCTAATTACCTTTTCATCATTTGAAAAGTATTTTAAGCGAAATGGTCGATTGACAAAAAGTGTCATTATGTCACAATTCAGAGAAGAATAGATTTGTCTCCAAGATGATGGATAGATAAACGTATTCAGAGAATCAGAGGGTTGGATTGTTTGACTGTTGGATCATTGTTTGAGACGTTGGCGGTTTGTTCTATGTTAGTTGTATTCCTTGGTTTTCCATATGTTTTACTGTATTTTGCCAAATTCTGAGCCTCATTCTTAGGGTCTCATTCTGTCATCTCATCCTTCAGAGCAATGTAGATGCTAAAAAGAGGATTTATGACTAAAATGATGTAGATTCGCCTATTATCCATAATGATTTAATAAGACAATGTCAGGGAAAGGATCCGGAAGGATGCTATCTGTCAGTATCACATGGTTATAATGACCTTGACCTTCAAGCTTGTTGGAGAAAACATTAACAACGAGGTCGGCCACGCACTGAAATAATAACACCGAGTGTTTTCCTTTCAATCAAACGTTGTTAATAAAAAATCAGAGAGAATAATAAATTCCAGACAATCAGAACACATTTTTTTAAATAAAATGTATTTCCTAAAATAACAATAGAGTGCATGACTATTTTTAGGTTTGGTGAAATTGAATAATTTCAAGTTGGCAGTTGGGTGAAGTTGTATCTAATAAGGAATAGTTAGGCATGCGCTATGCAGCTCAAAATTTCAAATACTCAGTTTTGACCATTTAATCTTGCAAAACAGTTTCCTTGCAAAAATGATTTCTGTATTAATACTGAACAAAATCTTTTGCAGTGTGCTGAAGCACACAACACGATGGTATAATCCGCTCACGACTAGTATCCTAGACTTTGATTTGGGTAACCATCGACCGATTTTTAGACGTCGTACGGGCGCCGGTAGATTTTTATCGCGGGGATAAAAGTTGCTGATTGTCTATCTGATCTTTTCTCAACCAAACTTATCGGAACCTACCCGGTCGTGTCCCGGCTCCGGGTGGCAGCGTTCGGCCATCTTGTCGTTTTGTTCAATTTTACATACTCAATTGTTAATTGAATCTTAATTAAAACTGATAACGTGATATAAAAGTTTTCAAACAATACACTGGAATTTGGTATGATTTTCGAGGCTCTTGTAGATTGGCTGATGTCCGAATGGGTGGGGTACGGCAAACGCAAGGTTGCTGCACGATCGTGCATTGATATCCGACATCCTGCAGATATCTGATCGATTTTTCTGTCAAATTGATTGTGGCCTCCATGTGGTGTCCGTACCTGATGTGACCATACTAATGGCAAAATCAAAAAATCAGAGAAAAGTAAACAGCGTTCGCAACATCGAGAGATCGTCCAGTTCCTACTACTGTAATCGGTCGGCGCCCGGCACACATGTGACCTAGGCATATCATTAAGTTTTCTTATGCATATGTAGAACGCTGAGTAACCATTCCTCGTTCAATGCCTAGGATCTTTCAAATGATCGTTTCATGCATAGCCGTAGGGACCGGGGGTTCGATGGGTTCGGACGAACCCCCGGTCGGGATTCCCCCCAAAAATATTTGTGGAAAATTCATTGCAATAACCAATAACATATATTCAATTTATATGACTAGTAGATAAAAATAGTAAATTTACACTTCTCTCCAAAAGATTGGCAACCTCAGGCACAGGGTGGGATTGTTTAATTTTGGGAAGACCCCGGAGCATTATGACATTATGCAAAGAAAAAAAATCAATAAAAAGCTGCTCCATCTACAGTGAAATAAACAAATTGTCTTAATACTGATGAAAACACATTTTCTTTCAAATCTGTGCCCCTCCGTTTTGTTTTATTTCAAACAAAAAAATTCTTGCTAAGTCCCCGGGTCTGACAAGTCCTCAAAAGCAAATATTAAATAATATAAACATTTTGAAATGAGTTATTATTAAAAGCATATGTATCATTTATAAACACAAGTATTTGATCGAATGGGTATTTATTATCCATCACTTTTTAAGGAAAAATAAATCGATTGCGAAAAAATCAGTTTTGCTTTTTCAGATGCACGTTCATCTCGGAGATCATTTTAAGATTAAAATGTTGCTGTTTCAGTGTATTAAGTATTTACTCTATTTTCAAGAATATCAAACTTTAGTGGATCGCGTTTATGACATTAATTATAATATGTTTCGCAAATAAATGGATTAAGGGAGGCAATTAGGTGAGTATGTCTGTGTTACTAGATACAAGTGTAAAAGGTACACACATTACGTGCAGTGGAAAGTTCTGTCCAATAAAAAGGTCAGATGCAGTCATCTTTTGCTGAGGAAAGCAAAGGCGTAAGGAGGATTATATCAAATAAGTCTAGATTTATTATTTCAAATGAGTATTACATTCTCACAGTTATATGGAGTTTAAACTGCTTCTTTATTCGGTACATTAAATATTCCATGAATACCAAATAAAAAAAACAATTTACCAAACCTTTACCAAATCTATCGAATGTTTTTTATTTTATCGAATGTAATAATCTATACAATTTATATTCGCTAAATAGTTTCACTTGTTCTTTGTGTTGGCATTCACATTTGATATTTATACACAGTGTACATGTATTTGTGTGATGCAGCGTATCCTTAACGCACGTATAATTCAATTAATTATTTGTACATTCGGTATTTAAATTATTTATATTCGATAAATACCGAATGCCACATTCGTTAAATTTCATTATTTTTCGATACTCTACGAGACTTTCAGTCACGTGATATATTTGAACGATGTAGAATAGCTGCGCGGCCATTTTGCAAATCTCGAGGTCACGTGACAAAATATCGAACAACAACGAAAGTTATCGAATATTACTTTATTGCATTAGGTAAATAGCAAATTAGCTTTCGGTAAAATGCATTAACTATGTCATAGAAAAAAAATCCATTCGGTAAATATAGGCAAACTTATTTTGGTAGGGTTCAAATAGAAATTCAATATTGTGCATATAATGTGTTACTCTTAAGAAATACCTTAACAATTTACGCAAAAAACATATCATTTAGCGAATGAAATATGTAATTTAATGCACATGGTATTAAATGATTGGCTAGTTTGAAAACTTAATTTGCTGTAACAAACATATAAACGTTTTTACCGAATGGAAAATGATTTAGCGAATATTAATATTTCATATATCGAATATATTTGAATTTAATGAATAAAGAAGCAAAAATAATGCCATACAGTTAAGGGAAAAAGTTCATAATAAAAAATATCAAAAAATCACATGGTGTACCAATATGCATTGCTTCCTGATAATCACTTTTTATTTTCTAAAAAACTGATCCACTGATAATCACCAGCGGATTAAAAAATTCAACAAAAGAGGTAAAAAAATGGGAAAATTTGGAGGCATTGGAAGTGAAATCAAATTACATTTTAATCAATATTATAAGTATTTTCCCCACAGGTTATGTAAATAAAAATTCAAATATAAAGAGGAGGCAGGGAGCTTAG